ACAGCACTGAGACTGCGCTTATCAAGGTGACAAATGACATCCGCCTGAACACTGATGCAGGCAAAAGTCTCAGTCTTGATCCTGTTAGATCTGAGTGCTGCTTTTGACACTGTCGATCATGGGATCCTCTTACAGAGACTAGAGGACTGGGTGGGCATCTCTGGTACTGTACTAAACTGGTTCAAGTCCTATCTAGAAGACAGGAAGTATTTTGTTGAAATTGGAAACTGTGTCTCAGATCACATGGCCCTGACCTGTGGGGTGCCTCAGGGGTCAATCCTGGGCCCCCTGTTGTTCAATCTCTACATGCTGCCATTAGGCCAGTTAATAAGCAGCAATAATGTTTCCTACCACAATTATGCAGATGACACTCAGATCTACGTCTCTCTGGCAGCAGGAGACTATGGACCAGTGGACTCACTTGGTCATTGCATCCAACAGATCAGTGTGTGGATGCAAAACAACTTTCTCCAGCTAAACTCTGACAAGACTGAAGTCATAGTGTTTGGTCCACAAAAACAAAGGGACAGTGTCAGCAGTCACCTCCAGTCTCTCTCTCTAAAACCTTCAAATCAGGCAAGAAATCTAGGGGTAACAATGGACTCAGACTTGAACTTTAACAGCCACATCAAATCAATAACATCTGCAGCCTTTTACCATCTAAAAAACATTGCAAAAATCAAAGGTTTTCTGTCTAAAGCAGACTTGGAGAAACTTATCCATGCGTTTGTCTCCAGTAGATTAGACTACTGTAATGGTCTGCTCACTGGTCTCTCAAAATGAGCTGTGAGATGCTGCAGAACATCCAGAATGCTGCAGCTCGGGTCCTTACTCGAACTAGGAAGTACGAGCACATAAGTCCTGTGCTCAGGTCTCTGCACTGGCTTCCTGTGCCTCAGAGAATAGACTTTAAAGCAGCTCTGCTTGTGTACAAGTCTCTCCATGGCCGAGCACCAAAGTACATCTGTGACATGTTAGTGTCATATGAACCATCTCGCACTCTGAGGACCTCAGGGACCGGCCTCCTGCTGGTGCCCAGAGTCAGGACTAAACAAGGGGAGTCAGCGTTTCAGGTTCATGCAGCTAAAACCTGGAACAGTCTTCCTGAACATGTGAGACAGACTCTTCTGTGACGCTGTTTAAATCCAGGCTCAAAACATTTCTGTTTAACTGTGCATATGACTGAAAGGTTTTCATTCCGCACTCTTCTCTCCAATTTATGTCTCTCTTTTTTAATTTTAATCTTCATGATTATTTATGTTTTGATTAGTTTTTATTATGATTTTAATGTATTTCTTATTCTGTAAAGCACTTTGAATTACTTTGTGTACGAATTGTGCTATACAAATAAACTTGCCTTGCCTTGCCTTGCCACTTCAGGTATTTTTGTTGCTCGTAATTTAAATGAAAAACATAACTTATATTTAAGATTTAAAAAAAAATTCCCCCTAATTTAGCATTTTTTTATGTTTCAAGTTTTAGTTTCTGGTTGGAAATCATGACATTATAATAGGGAATGTCATAAATGTTACGTAGCATATTGTACACTGGGCCAAATCTCCTCTAATGTACACAGAAATTATTATAAATTTTAAGAAAACACATTTATTTACAGGCATGAAAACGGGTCAGGGGTGAAAAAAAAAAAAAAAAAAAAACGTGAGAAGGGTGTATGAGGTGGGAGGCGTTGTTTTTTGTTGTTGTTTTGTTTTAGTTGATCTATTTCTGGTTAATAAGACCAGGCCATGTCTAAATGAATGACGATTCGCCAGTTTATGCTCTAGTGTTATAGTCAAACCCGCACTAATTGAGACCAAGACCTGTCCGAGACCACAGGGTCCCGAGACCAAGACAAGACCAAGACCTCTGAGGGTCGAGACCAAGACAAGACAGAGACTTTTAGGTAAAATTATGTTAAAAATATTGGGGAAAAATCTGTTTCTTGTTTAGTTGTGCTGAACATTTGGACAGAATTCTCCCTGGAGTGATGTGTTTTCTTTTCCTGTAATTTTCAACATATTTTTAAACTTTTCTTCACAAATTGCTTCTTGATTGGTGTAAAAATATCCATCTTTATCTATTTATAACAAGTATTATCCCACTAAAGTAAGTAAAAATGAGAGAATCATTCAAAACCAAACAAGCTTCAACTGTTTTCTTAGCACAAGTGAAATCTTACACGTGATTACAACACATGGTCACAATAGTAGACGTAGCATGACTGTGCGTCTGCTTGTATTTCAGTGTAACAAAGGTCTCAGCCTTGATCACACTTCTTACTCATTTCCACAAAGTGATAAGCATCTGCTGATGGAAAACTGAACCAACACGTCACGGGTCAAATACAGCCATGACCATGCTTTTTGTAGCCCTCATTCCCAACGTGTTTTGCACCAAACAATGACATAACCTAAAGAGATTAGGAAAAACAATAGAGAGTGCTTTGGTAATAGAGTAAAATAAAATTAGACTCCATTGAGTGGGATTATTTAGGAAAGTTCACGATTATATATTATGAGGATACAGTAGGTCTGTCATGATAATTACGATCAAAATGAAAGCAATACAGTTAGTATAGTTAATATAGTTTCTTTGCAAAAGTGGTGAGATTTTTGTTATTTTAGTTCTAATAAAGAAAAAAAAAAGAGCTGCAGACAGTTGAAAAAGCAATTTCTATGGCTAAGTATTGGTTTTATTCATGTTTATGTCACAAACCAGGAAGAAACAGATCAGAAAAAGATGCGATTACAATTTCCAGCGGGCTTTCTTCACGGTAGTAAGTCTGACACAATCTAGGAAAAGTGAGAAAATGGCCCAGAAAATTCTTCATCTACAGTGTAGCTTTTCCGTTATGTTCGGCTAATCAACAATTACAACCATACCTCAGTTTTCATCATTTCTGCACTGACACGCAACTCCGAGCACACTGGGTACATGCTAGGGATGTAACAATAACCGTGGACCATCACAATATATCAAATTGCAAGTTTCTTTGGTTAAATTAAGAGTTATGGTGCAGCAATAGTTAAAAAAGACATGATCCTTTGCTCCATTTCAGTGTAGACTACAAGAAGAAATAACAGTTTTAAGCACTTTTAAGTCTTTGGATTAAGTCTTGCCAAGCCATTTTAAGAGGAAAAAGTAGAATATTGGCCTCCATAAAATATCACAATAAATATCGTACTGTGGGATGAATATCATAAAAATATCGTACCGAGAGATTTGGATATTGTTACATCCCTAATCGTGAGCCTCCCCACCATATCGTGAGCTTTTCCACGATATCGCAATAAATATCGTACCGTGAGGTTCATACTGTGACGATATCGTATCGTGAGACTTGAATATTGTTACACCCCTAGGACATGCGATTAGAAGAGATGAGGAGCCAAATTCAAAATGATCCAAACAGAACATGCATATAGAGTCTTCATTTTACTGCTGATGACACTTACTTCAATGGATTTTATCACGGTCAGTCGGCAAGTCCAGTGTCATTGCATGTTTCCAAACGCCTTCCTGGTTTGTGACGTAAGCGTGACTTGGATTATTCTGCTCTTTATTTGTTGCTGCTCGTGTCTTTTAATGATTTTGACCATTTAAAAATGGTTTACTGGGATTATTCTGCTTTAAAAGGTAGACTACTTGCTTGTCTCTATGCAGTTGTCATTGTTTCACCTTGAATGTTCCATTGTATGTTATTAAACGTCAATCTTTTAACTTTTTCCATGGAGATGTTATTACTTTGTCTGGAATGTTTCACAGTATGACATTAAACCTTTCTATCTTCACGGAGACCAAACCAGACCAAGTTAGACGTCAGATCTGTGGAGAGGCGATCCCACTCACAGTCAGAATGCTTGTTTTTCTAAGTATTTCTGAGTTATAAAACCACCTGTAATTGAATAAATGTAAGGCAGAGCTGTTTAATGTCATACTGTGGAACATTCCAGACAGAGCAATGACATAAAAAACATACCCACAGAAAAAAGCAGGTGACGAACCCCAACCAAAAAGTTACACAGTGCTCCTTTAAGGTTATTGAGTAATCTGTATTGGCCATATTTTGCTTTTTTTGCTACTTATTTAGAATTTATTATTTATATTGTTTACTCTTTGTTATTATATTATATTGTGATGTGTGAGCTACTGTGTCCAAATAATTTCCCTTGTGGATTGGTAAAGTTTCTCTGAGTCTAAATCTAACTGGCATAAATTTGCTTCAGCAGTATTTTTATGTCAGCGATAATTATGGTGGTTTAAAATGTGTTATCGTGACAGGACTAGCAACATCTGAGGTCACTGGGAACACACCACAGTGACATTTTAGAATCCGTGCTTACTTGCACCGTTCACCTGCTATGCTGAGCACATGGATGCCACATGGGCCCCAGCATCTCTGCAATGTTAACATGAGAAATTACGCACTTTCAAATCTGTCATCTCTATCTGGGTGTTTAGAGACACGACTTGCATAGCTGGCACTGCCAACTAACTGCCCAAGGACGTTAGATCCTATTACAGTCAACTTTTTAAAGAGCCTACATTACGTAAAATTGACTCCTATGAGTTTTAAACTATGTTATAAAGTTGTTTCCTCATCACAAACATACCTGGAATTGTTTTGTTTCATGCACACGTTTGATTAATCCTTTATTATTAGTTTGTCTACATTTCCAAAGCTCAAAATGCTCTGATCCACCTTGTGTCATGAAGCTGTAGTTTTCAAGTTAACAGCTCCCTTTACCTTTAGTTTAGTAGAGATTATGCGAGATTTGAGATTATTATAATGGAAATGCTGAAATTATCCAAATGATTCTAGTGAAGGTGTATGGAGTGGTTTCAGTTTGAGAGAAGACCTCCACCTAAATATGCAGGGTTTGTGTGTTAAACATGTGTGAATGAAACAAAACATAACACCAAGTTTGTTTGTGATGAGGAAACTACATTATAACAGATCAGAAAATACCGTAATATGCGCCCTTTTATGTTAATTTTACCTTTGGTCCAAGAAGCTTCCATTCCAACAGGCCGTGGATGAGAGCTGATTGATAATGTCCCTGGAAACAAATAAACAAACACATATTCAGTGATCAAATGCGCGCAATAATATTAAAGATGCATTGTGTGACTTTTCTGGTGGAGGGTCCGTTAAATGCTTTTCTTCATAGAGATGTTATTGGTTTGTCTGGAATGTTTCACAGTATGGTATTAAGTGTTTCGATCTTCATTAGGGATGTGCAAAAATATTGAAATATCGAGATATCTTATCGTTTAATGTGATGATACAGTATCGATATCATGGGCTGCTGATCGATATATATCGCCAAGAGTATATTTTGGTATATTTTACTAAATTATTTTGTTACAGAGCTAGTTTTGTTGCTTGTTTAGAGGAACAAAACTCATTTATGCAACATATTTGATATTTCCACTGTTTTGATTATTAAAATGTTTGTGTTTCTTATTCACTTTGCACAAGAAGTGGTTTAACAAAGACTTTTAGTATCACAGCCACGATTTAGCCTTTAATTTTTATTGAACCGTATCGAATCAAATTGAAATATATCATATCAAATCAAAAGCTCAGTGTATCAAGGAATGTATGGTATCGTGGCCTATGTATTGTATTGTCAACTTTTAAATGATACCCAGCCCTAATCGTCATGGAGACCAAACCAGACCAAGTTACAGGTCAGATCTGTGGAGAAGCAACCCCGCTTACAGTCTGTTTTTGTAGCTATTTTTGAGCTATAAAACCACATATAATTGAATAAATGTAAATTAGAGCTGCTTAATGTCATACTGTGGAAAATTCCAGGCAGAGCAATGACATCCACAGAAAGAGCAAGGCAACAGACCCCTAACCAAAGAGTTACACAATGCACCTTTATCACAAATAATATAATAAACACCGCAGACGTACTCTGTGACACTGGACTCTGTGTTGTACATGAGCCGCAGCCTCCAGGAGTTACAGCGCTCATAGTTGATTGGAGAAAGGCTTTTACTGATGCTGTTCACTCTGAAATCTTCTGGGGCGACTGCAGTCTGTGGGGCACGAGAAGTCTTTATTTATTTCTATATTAATGTTTTGTTTTCTCTGTATCTCGGGACAAAACATTCAGGAAGTTTAGACCACTAACATAATTTATGATGAAGAAAGTATAAACAAAAGTACACACTATTTATATGCAGTACATCTGTTCAGTAAACTCCACTACGTTTTTCTGCATTACAAATATTAAGCATTAGTGCCATCTAGTGGTAACATGCCATTATTGTAAGAATACAGTGTTTACAGTGAATACAAGAGATTATGGTGGCCCCTATAGTTTAAAATTCTCCTCCACAGTCTAAAAATAACTTATACTGGCAAAACAAAATTAGCCTTTATTGCTCAGTATTTTAATATAAACATAGAAGAAACTACACTGGTTAAAATTAAATATATGCAGTAAGTGGCATTAATACTCCACAAATTCAGTGAGATTAAATCATTCAGATTCATCATCAAAACAATTTGTGACACCATAATCTTGATGAAATCTGTGGGAAACACTGAAAACACTTATGTATATGAAGGAATTTTCTGTACTGCTATAAACTATTACATGAAACATAAAAGGTTGTTAAATTTTATAATTTGTTTGGTTTTCAAGTTGGTTATTTAATCAAAAAGGTTAATGAGTTTTCCATTTACATTTAAGAAAATTGTTCTTGTACATACCTGATCATATGAGAACAACAAAAAGCTATGGTCTCCTCCACAGATGATTTTTGTTACTGTGTACTGTTTTGATCCTGAAAAACAAGTATAAAATAGATTCACCATGCATAATAAAAAAATAATATTGTCACATTCCACAGATCACAAAATAAATACTATTAATACTTTGCTAACCTCCTTTCTGAAAACATCCCACGAAAGGAATCCTGACGGAACATGGGCTTTTGGAATTTCCCCACATCCCCGTTCCCAGCTGGCCGAAGTTGTTACAGCCAAAAGCATAAACCAAACCAGAAGAAGGCACAAACGCCAGAGTGTGGTACCTGAAACAGTTTAAGAACACTGAGTTCCCCTTTTAGAGACAAATACAAAACTTAGACTCAGTGATGTCGAAACCAGAACTACAAATTCGGCTTTCGGGCAAATGTTTCTTGGCCCTCAGGCTTTCTGGTGAATTGGCCCAAATTTCCCTGGGAAGTACTTTTTTTTTACTGCTATTGATACTTTGCACCTACATAACACCGGGGGTGTTCTACATGTATCTCTAATGGTGGAATGTTTAGGAGTTACCATAGTGACACAATGCACACATTAGCTGTCAGAGAAGTTTTAAGATCATCTGAAAACTCAAGAAAAAATACCAAATGGGTTTAAACAGCACATTTTCAGGAGCCTGTGATCAATACAAAAGTTCAAGGTTTAGGAGTTTGATTTTCAACAAGACACACTAACTTTCTGGTCAGATTGTGTTGGAATAAAGCTCAGATTAAAGTCGAATAAACCCTCAGACAGAGCATGCCTACAGTTAGCATCACACCCCCAAGAAATACTGATGACATAACCTGCAAAGTAACAATAGTTTTAGTTTTTTCTCCCACTATAACTTAAGAAACTAAACATTTAGATGTGAGACAGACCTGATATTAAAGTTCTGAGATTGGACCGAGCTGTGGTGGCACTTTAAAAAACTCAGAAATGCTACATTTTTAAATTATTCACATTTAAAAAAACATGCACTAAGGACTACAAGTGGAAATTAGCCCTAGTGTCTCTCCTAAATTTTGTTAAAATTAATGTATATTGTGCATTGTACCCGTCTCATAAATAAACTAGAAAAGCACTCCGAGAGCGCAGACCTCCGCCAAGGACTACCCCCATTTTTTATATAAATTGCGATAAAATCAGTCTTCTGGATCAGATCTGGATCAGCCTTTGGAATATGAAAGAGGATCCCATTGTCCATCCCTGAGTCAAATTTCATGGGGTTTGGTCAATAATTAACCGAGATACTGAGAAACAAAATTTTTGGCCCCATTTACCACAATGTTAACTAAAATTTCAAAGTGATCCAGAATCCAGGATTTCTTCCGGATCACCCCCAAAATGAAATCAGTTCTTCCTTTTCACATTTCCAACAAATCCTGAAAATTTCATCAAAATCGGTCCATAACTTTTTGAGTTATGTTGCTAAAAGACAAACAAACCAACAAACAGACAAACGGCGGCAAAAACATAACCTCCTTGGCGGAGGTAACTAAATAAAAATATTGACCTCCAGCCTATGGCCCTGCGTGAGAAAAGTTTGGACGCCCCTACTTTAAATGAAATTAATTGTTGTAAAATTTAAACCTCACCTGCCACAGGCGATCTGGGACACCTCAGTGCCCATGAGCTCCAGCACTCGTCTGGGCTGAAGCTCGTTATTGGTCGACCCGTGACCCAGCTGACCCCAGGATCCATCCCCAAATGTAAACAAGCCACCGTCCTGAAGAGAGATACTGTTTAGATTAAAGCTGCATTGTGTAACTTTTCTGGTAGAGGGTCCGTCACCTGCTTGTTTCTATGAATGTCAGTGCTCTGGAATGTTCTACTTTACATTTATTAACTTACAGGTGTTTTTATAGCTCAAAAATACCAGTACCAATACCAGTAGAAACAGGTATTCTGACTGTGAGCGGGGTCCCCTCTCCACAGATTTGACCTCTAACTTGGTCTAATTTGATCTCCATGAAGATAGAAAGGTTTAATTCCATACTGTGAAACATTCCAGACATTTGACGGACCCTCTGTTAGCTCTTGTTTTTATGTTTACCTTACCTGCCTCACAGCTAGGGGGCCCTACAGCTCCTCTTGCACTTGTTACATGTATGTATGTGAGGAGAGAGAGTCGCTAACTATAAAGTGCTTTGGGAAACACTGTGGTGCACATGATGAACATGGCGGAATGGAATAAATCTGCCTGAACTAAACCTGAAGTCATTATTTAGACTAACACCCACCACCTGAAAAGTTACGCAATGCACCCTTAAGTCATAAAAATAAAACAGAGCAGCCAGACATTATGGCTGCTCTGTACTAACACCCTAACTTTGACTGTGTCCACTGAGGATCTTCTCTTTTGGAGCTTTAAAGAGGTCGTATTATGCATCAGTGTGCATGTTCAAACCTGTCTCTATCTTAAAAGGAATTAAAGAGTGGGTGATATGCAAAATTGGCTTTTTAGAGGTTGTATAATATTGTATATACATATATGTCACCCATGCATGTTTGATTAAATTACCAATCTCTTCTGGGCTTTATTTGAAACTCCTTATAGTTAGCAGTCAAGCCTGTACAAGCCTCAGCCCGAGTAATAACCCCTCTTTAAGTCTCTCCAAGGCTTAGCACCAATGTAAATTTCTGACATGTTAGTGCCATATAAACCATCTTGCACTGTGAGGACTTCAGGGACTGGTCTCTTGCTGGCGCCCAGAGTCAGGACTAAACACGGGGAGTCAGCGTTTCAGTTTTATACAGCTAAAACCTGGAACAGTCTTCCTGAACAAGTGAGACAGGCCTCTACTTTGACACTGTATAAATCCAGGCTCAAAACAGTTCTGTTCAGCTGCATATGACAAAGTTTTTCATTCTGAACTCTTCTCACTCATTTAATGTTTCTCTCTTTCTTTTTAATTTTATTTTTGATTTGTTTGTATTATGATTTTAATGTATTTCTTATTCTGTAAAGGACTTTGAATTACTTTGTGTACGAATTGTGCTATACAAATAAACTTACCTTGCCTAAGTTCCTATGTTTTCCTCATAGTTTATATCCAGATAGGCAGGGCAGTAAACGGGGTGAGGGATAAAGTGGTCTGTTGTGCCGGGCCCCAGGGTTTCAGGGGCATAGAACTGGACCCTCTTTCTCTTCATTTATATTAGAGGGGCGCCCATATGAGGTTTCTTGTTCTTGGTCCCTAAATTTCAGTTTTATAGAGCGAGGGGTTCAAACCTTTGTAAGAGCCGCAGTGTGTTCCTCTCCACAGCTGATGTAAACAACTTTCTGAGATCGCAAGAATTTAATGTGACAAGGGACGGCACGATCTGAGGATGAAAAAAAAAGACAGACAGTTTTAATTACAATTACATAAGTCTGGTACAAGTTAACACAAGCACCACATAAACACCTACCAGTATATTATGCAAAATTGAGTCATGTGAGCCTTTAGCCATGTTATAATGGCATTACCTCACCACAAACAAGCATTAACACATGACATCACAAGGTGCAACAAAGTGGTTTCTGTTTGAGAGAAGAACACAGCCTAAATACTCAAGTCATGTGGTAATACAGTACGTGCTAAACTGTTTTTAAACTTCACACAACTTCACTAGAATTATCTGGATAATTTCAGACCTGGAATTACCAATCTCTACTGAGCAAAAGGTAAAAGATAAAATGAAAACTATCAAAGAGCATTTTGACCTTCGGGATTTAGACAGACTAATAATAAAGGATTATGTGTGAACGAAGCAGAACACAACCTCAGGTATTTTTGATGAGGTAACAGCATTATAACATGCAGTAAAGCTCAGGTATTCTATATTCTGTAACTAAACACATTTTCAAAGCATTCTTCCAATCACTGTCTATGCACACTACCGGTCAAAAGTTTTAGAACACCCTAATTTTTCCAGTTATCCATTGCAATTCAAGTCATGCAGGTCCAATGAAGAGCTTGAAATGGTACAAAGATAAGAACTGAACAGCCAGACGTTAAAAAGAATATGCATGATACAAAACACAAGTCCAAGCTCTGCCAAAACTACCTCAGGAAAAAAAACATGATGTTAAGCTTGAAAACATGGAGGGTCCAGCACAATCTCCATACTTAAACCCCATCAAGCTGGTTTGGGATGAACTGGACAGAAGAGTGAAAGCCAAACAACCTACAAGTGCCACACATTTATGGGAACTTCTGCAACAGACTTGGGAAGAACTTTCTGACAAATTTTTAATTTCTCTTGTAAAAAGAACAAGCCACGAGTGTGTTCAGCTGCTATATCTGCCAAAGGTGGACATTTTCATGAATCAAAAGTTTAGAATACATTTTCGTCAACAGTAAACAGTAAAAAAAAAAACTGGAAAAAGTGTGATGTTCTAAAACTTTTGACCTGTAGTGTATGTATTAGATCAGGGGTCTCCAACCTTTTTCCTCTCGTGAGCTACTTTTACAAAACGAAAATGCCTGAAAGCTACTAGTTTTAGCAGTCACAAGAAATTTAGCTTATATAAGAGCCATGTCAAGCCTTAAATGAGGTGCAGTTAGATGTTTATAAAACATAAACAATTATCCATTTATTAGTGCACAAAAATAGGCAAAATAGGCAATAGGCAGGAGAGTTCCCGAGCTACAGGTTGGACATCCCTGTATCAGATGGTGAAGGTTATTTATAGGCAAGTAGAAAATTGACCAATTCCTGTGTAATTACCTTGTTTATCATTTAGCCCCAGCTGTCCAGCCCTGTTCTTGCCCCATCCAAACACCCCTCCAGACAGAGAGAGGGCAAAGCTGTGGTCGCCTCCAGCCGTTATCTGCGCCAGAGGAATTCCCGCTAAAGACTTCAGAGGTTGGGGTAACAGTTTGCTGGGCTCTCCTTTTCCCAAACCGAGCTGACCACTCGTGTTCTGACCCCACGTGAAGAGCTGACCATCTGAAAATGAGAACGGACAATGATGCTTGGTTATTCATGAGATTTCAAACCAGCAGTAAAAAAACGCTACCAGCAATATGTTGGATGAGGAGAAGCAGCCATCTATGGAAATGCAGACACTGTATTTTAATGGTCCTATATTGCATGTAATTGACTCTTGTAAGATTTTAACCATGTTATAATGTTGGTATGTCATCGGAAAAATATAAGGAATCGTGTTTTATTTTCATTCCGCACTCTTCTCTCTAATTTATGCAATTAATGTCTCGCTCTTTTTTCATTTTAATCTTTAATTTTGTGATGATTATTTATGTTTTGATTTGCTTTTATTATGATTTCAATGTATTTCTTATTCTGTAAAGCACTTAGAATTACTTTGTGTACGAATTGTGCTATACAAATAAACTTGCCTTGCCTCATTCACACGTTTGAGTAACCCTGCATTATTAGTCTACATCTCCAATGCTTAAAATGCTCTGTTCCACCTTGTGTTGTCATGAAGCAGGAGTTTTCTTTTACCTTTAATTCAGTAGAGACTGGCAATTCCAGGGCTGAAATTATCCAAATAATTCTAGTGAAGGTGTATGAAGTTTAACAAAATAGTGGAGTACTTCCTGTATTATCACATGAGATCACGAGGTGGAACAGAGTGGTTTAAGTGTGAGATTAGAACTCAGCCTAAATTTGCAGGGTTTATGTGTTTTAAACATGAGTAAATGAAACCAAACCCTGTATTGGAGCTTTTTGGTGTTTTGGAGGATCATGTACATTTTAGAGCTACAAAAAAATATTCTTTGGCTTTCGCATTGGCACGTCGAGTCATTTTATTCAGGTGGAAGGACGCTAACCCTCCTACCTCCTTCACATTTACAGTGGTTACAAGAGGTCATGTCCTGTCTAAAGCTGGAAAAAAAAATATTTTCATTGAAACAAAATATTAGTGCATTTGAGAAAACAAGGGGCCGTTTCCTACAGTTGAATTCAGCTCTTTAAAAAGAATAGGCTGTGGCATATTTACATGTGAAAAAATACAACACCTGGTATAAATATTCTACCCATGAAGTGACAGGTTGGGTGGTTTTTTGTTTTACATTTTGTTCTTTTTCTTTATTTGGATCTGTTCTGGTGGGGGACTTTCTTTTTTTAGAACTGTGACATCTGTGAGTTTGTTACCTGCCAGTTGTATATATATATATATATATATATATTTGATAATTTAACAATAAAAACATGAGTGAATGAAACAATTCCACAACACAACTCCAGGTCTGTTTGTGATGAGGAAACATTATAAAGTAAATCAGAAAATAGTTCTCTTAAGCAGACAGGTGGGGGCACTGTGGGTCTTGAAGCTGGCCTGAGTTTTAGGCTTAACAGTTTTTGAACGTGCCCTGTCTAATCCTGTGGAAAAATACTGGATGTTGTGGATATCTGCCCTCTGTGGATTACGTGAAATTTACAGGACATTCTCAAACATTAATTCACTGTTTCCAATTAATAAAAAGGAGACTATGGTGGCATCCCCAAAGTCTAAAAACAACCTAGACTATACATTGACACCACAAAATCACACTTTGTTGCCTATTGTCTTATTATAAACACTTAAAAGTAACTCTACTGAGCAAAGAGAGCTGCTTTGAGATTTAATACAAGTAATAAACAGCATTTATACTGCACAAATATAACATGAAATTATGAAAATCTTAAGTATTTAAGATAAGATAAGCCACAATGGAGAAACTTGTGCCACCACAGTCTCCCCAGAATCTTGAAATACGGCTTCATTAAACCACAATTATCTGTTACTGGAAATCTGGGAACTGATTACTCATTAAACACTCAAGATAAAACTCAGATAGCTACACGAGGGCAAGTCAATAAGCTAACTTGATTTTGCCCCTACAGTAATCATGTTGCAGGAAGAGGAGAGAACCACTTTCACACCTCTTGAAAGTGCAATGCAGTGCTGGTTCCCACACGTAACTTGTGAGATACGATGATCACAGAGCCGCTTCACCAATCTAAAAAGAAGATGGAAGACAGAAGAGAAAATAGGAATTTAAGAAAGCAGAACAAACCATTTATGTCAACAAGCAAAATATCTACATAAAATTACACAGAGTAAAGCATTAGTTTGTATATTTTATTTGGGCACGAGCAGCAGATATGACATAACTGTTACCTAGCAACCATAACGTGAGGGCCAAAACTTCCCTTTACTGCACAATATTTATGATTAGACAAATAATAAATAATACTTTCATTTTGGTAAATAAAAGAGGTATTCTTCTTTCTCTTCATCCCTACTGACGACCAGAGCTATGTAGTGCAAATTTCTCTGATCTGGCCAAGATTTTAACACTTATATCAGGTTATTCATCTTGTTTTCAGATTTATTATTGACTACTTCTGAGACTGATTAATTCTAGTCTGGAGGTAGTTTATTTTAAAACACTCTGCCCCCCCAGGTCAAAACAGCCCCCACTGTGGAGTGTTTTAAGTCTCGTCTTAAGACCCACTTTTACTCTCTGGCATTTAACACTGCGTGAGTTGTGTCGTCCTCTGCGTCTTTTATTGTTATTTTTAATGTATTTTACTGGCTTTATTTATTTAATGCTATTTTATGATTTTGCTCTTATTTTACTTTACTGATTTTATTATTTTTAGACTAGTATGATTAAATCTGGGCATTTATTTTATAATTTTATTATTGTTGTTATTATGTATTTGTGCAGCACTTTCAAAACTGTTTGTGAAATGTGCTGTATAAATAAAGTGGATTGGATTAAAATAACTTGTCAAGTAAAATTATCTGCCCATGCAGCAAGATAATTTCACTACTTTTAAGTCATTTTCTGATAGATTTTAACTGTTTATATCTTAAGCTTTTTGCAGTGTGGTGATTGCTTTTAAAGAATCTACATTTTGCTTCTATGGGGTATTAACTGATAACACATCACATATTTAGATCACCATGTTACCTTTTATTGTTCTGAAAATGCTATACTCCAAGAAAACAATGCATTCAAATGTTTTCTAAGTTTGTCTCTGAGATGCTCTGAGACTCCTCTCCCTATGCGTTAAGTCACTCCCCCTTCAGAGCGCCATCACAACACAATCAGCGTGCAACTCACTAATGAAACTACTGCACATCGCATCAGGTTTTTCAAGCCGCTGTGCAGTTTTGTTTCATGTTTTTGTGCATTTATGGAGAATTGTCGTGTGGGAGCATGGGTGATGTAGACTTGTGGGCAGAGCATTGGACAGAACCTTACTGCTAAAAGTAAAGAGGGTTTGAATAGGACCTGGGAGAGATCGCTAAAATACGCAAACATATATGGATGACGTCTGAAACCTCTTTGGGCATGTTTTTGATGATGGAACAAAATTATAACATGGTAGAAAAAAGATTTGTATAATACCCCCTCTTCAGTTCTAATATTGAAGACATGTTTCAGCTTGTTAATATCTTAAATAATACTACAGCTGTTCTGAGTTATTTTAAATCATATCAACGACCCCTGTTCCATTCATAAAAATAAAAGTACATTTCCTTGTGTGGTTACCTGGGTATTCGTACAGTCGTCTCTGTGGTGCCCAGACCGAGCTGCCCTCCATCTCCTGCACCCCACGCGAACACCTGCCCCTGCTCGCTGACTGCCAGAGAGTGGGCCCGGCCACAGCAGATGTTTGTTATTTTCTGAGTATCCAACGCCCCAACTAATTCTGCAAAGAAAAAGACATTTAAGTAACAATGAAGTAGTAGTGCAACTATATTATATTACTGGAAAAATAAGGAGACATTTACTATTACTACTACTATTACTGGACAGTTCAATCTGTATTTACAGTCAAGCTTCGTTTTGCTCATGTTTGGCTCATGTTTAGTTCCCAAAACAAAGAAAAAAAACTTTGCAGCTCATCTATGTTTCACAGTCATGTTATTGTCATGTTGACAGTAACTCCAGGGAAAGTCCAATATTTCAAGGAAGTTGAGGGAGGAAATGTGAAAGCAAAGTCCAGGGAACCAACGAAAACAATAGAACACTTGGTAAGTACAAAGTCCGGACCTTGGTGCAGACTTTCAGATCAGCGCTTAAATCATGAAAAATTGTATCAAGGAAAAACACAGGACAACGTGCTCATGGGATTTTCGCAATTTGTTTTTTAAAAAGGAGTGAAAACCCCTTAATGAAAACATCATACAAAGCTTTTACTGATAAAAGAAGTAGATCACTGATGATTAGAGACAAATTAATCTCTGAAGTCTCATTTAAAACTGTATTAAGGGATGAACCGATATGATACTGCTGGTATTAGAAATTGGTTCAGCATTTTTTGCATCGGATATTAGTTTCAAGATATTGGTTCAGTCGCTATCTCATTTTGGTCTATAAATTTACAATTTACAGGCCAATATTGTCCCAAAACAACACCTCATAATATTGAACTTAAATGTTTTTTAAGCTGTTGTGTAGTTCCTTTAAATTATAAATAACAGTGACAAACCACATTTGAAACATTTTCTTTTTACCATATGCCATTTGTTTTTAATAGAAACAAATGACATTTTCAGTCTCTGCCCTGGTATCACTTAATATTGGGTATTCAAAAGTGAAAAAAATATATAACACACTCAGATGACAGATGTACAAAAGTTTTTTTTGTTTTTTTTTTAATTACATTTCTAGAAAAAGCCTTCATCAGATAATTTTTCTTGCTTTGGACCACAGTATACAAAATAGTTAGTAAATAGTATACTGTAGTCCAAGTAAGAAAAATGATCTGACGAACTCTTTTTAATGAAATGAAATTTTAAAATAAGAAAGCTTTTGGACATGTGCCATCTGAGTGTGGTATGCATTTTTTTTTTTCACATCTGAATTGCTGTTCCTTGCATTTGCACTTGTACAGGAAGTGTGTGTGGTGTGTGTGTTCTGTTTCATTTGATACTGGGTATTGGCAGATATTTAAATCCAATGAATCGAAGTTGGTATCGGAACAGAAAAAGCTGGATTGGTCCATCCTTACTTGTATTAACTGCACAGCCCTTAAAATTGGAGCAGATATCTAACAATAACATGAACAGAGAACCAAAAATGATAAGATTAACCTTTAGAAAACACAGACTTACCTGGGGAAGTCCCTGGTTTGTCGTGGCCCAACTGCCCACAGCTGTTGGAGCCACATGTGTAGACACTCCCATCCTGAAGCAAAAACACTGAATGCTCTCCTCCGCAAGCGATCTCCTTCAGTCCCCTCCCAGAGAACACTGAACAGCTTTTTGGCTCATAGACTGGATTCTTCTCCACACCATTACCTAACTGTCCATCTCTTGCATTGCCCCAACACAGCATGATGGCACAGGAGAAGGTGGGTTAGACTCGACAGAAGAAAACACGTCTAGGCTTGATAGCAGCCTCGCTTCTTCCTTTTTATGTAAATCCCAAACCTGAAATATAAAAAAGCAGCTGAAATCACACTAGAATGAACCCCCGCCGTAATACCTCGCAGCATTCATCTAAGACCTTGATAATGAGTCATATTCAAACATGTCGTGCGTGTGTGACAATGATAAACACAACCCAAAAGGATGTGCTGTGAAAACCTGACACTGTAATCCCTGCTTAAGCGGCTCCAGGTTCTTATTGTGCACCAACATGCATCTGAGAGACTAGAATAAGCAAACACAAAGTAAACAATGTGGTCACTGTGCAAATAAGTTAGTTGTGGGTCAATAAAGTTTGTCTATAGTGACTAAAACCTTATCAAGTGAAGGGTGCACACATAAAAACGAAGGCCTAGTGATTATAAAGAAATGCAACAGCAGCAGCAGCTTTATAATACAGCTAAAATGATGATAGTGCGTTAATAAAATCGACAAATGGTTGTATTTTGTTGGAACTTTGGACAGTAATGGAGAGGTTTAAAACAAACAACAACAAAACAATAACACCGTGCAATAAAATGACCCAGCAGTATTTGCAATCGACAAATTTCACAACGATAATTTCTCAAACTTTGGTAACGCTGTCAGAAATTAATGTCGACGTATTTAAAGTGTATTCAGTAAACGCATTAGATAAATAAAAGCCCAGCCTGTTCTATGATAAAAAGCATTATGATCATAGTTAAGGTTAGCTAGCTTTATCATTAGCAAACCACAGAGCGTTCACTTTCAACACAGTGAGGTGGAAACCCGTAAGTACGTCCGTAAATGAGAAACAGAGCGGCGGTAAAGTCTATATGTTGTTAAATGTGGAGGTGCAGGTCGTATACCTGGAGAAATGCATGCTGAATTGGGGCGTTTGGTTTCGGTTCAGTCCGAGGAACAAGCCAGGAAGTGCCCCAAACCGACGTCACAGAAAGGAGCGCTGTGATTGGCTGAAATGGTGTACGCGTTGCTGTAGCTACTAAATGTGTAGATTTTGTTTTTATGATTTTTATGTACAATATCCTCCTGGAAAAAAAAAGTGTCTTGCAATTTATATTTTTTATGATTTTTTTTTTTTTTATGTAATGGACGTTGGGGAACTATTTGAATTGTGTCCATAATTATTGGGACCCATTAAGATAGGGTGACCAAACGTCCGTTTTTCCCCGGACATGTCCGTATTTTGCGTCCTGTCCGGGGCCGTCCGGGTTTTTTTTTTTTTTTTTTATAAAGTGATGCAAATGTCCGGGTTTTCAGTACCGTTCATTAAACTGAGCGTCTCTCGTAGTTCTCTGTGACTCAGAAGAAGCGAGACACAAACAGTGGTCCACTGGTCCACTGGTCCTGGTCTGGTCCCGGTCTGGTCCCGGACCGGTGCAAAAGTCCGGCATCGCAGTCACGGAAGTCACGTAAACGGGAAACGGTCGTTAACCGTTTTTTCCATCTTAATTTAAACACAAAATCGAAAACTGAAAAAACGAATCGTTATCCGTTTTTTTATTTCGGTTTTGTAGACAAATAATGAAGAAAACTGTTGTTTTTTCGTTTTCTTATTTTTGATTTTATATTGAAAAACGAATGAACGAATGATACCCAGTACAACACCGCACCAGCCCGTTAACCCGAGATTATATCAAACTTTTGCGCTGCCTACGCCATGGACTGAACCAAGACCAAACCTGGACTAACCCAGGACTGATTCCAGGACTGTAGAGGAGGACTAATCCACGACTGAACAAGGACTAAAACAGGACTAAACCAGGACTAAACCAGAACTCAAATAGGACTCATCGTCGGAAAGGGCTTGGAGGAGAAAGGACCTCACGCTGCAATAGGAGGGTTTCAGTCACGTGATCACGAAGATTTTCTTTCAATTAAAAAAAAAAAAAGTTGTGTATACATACAGCAATGTACAAAGAACTGTGATTACCATTCAAACATTGTATCGTACAACATGTACAAATAAAATAAATAAAAAGTAAAGTAATACGTGATCACGAAGATGCGCGAATAGCTGGGTTTTACGTAACGTCACAGGGCTACGTTTTTCATCACGCAAAATCAGATGGAGGGCAGAAGTGAACTGACTGGAGGAAAATGCTGATGTGTTGTGTAGTTTACGGCTGTGCCAATTGTTCTAACCAAGAGAAGGAAAAGCGATTTTTTTAGAGTACCGAATATAGTCGTCCACAAAGGTCAGAAATGCGAAAAGCTGACAGAACAGCGCCGTAAAAAGTGGATTACAAACCTGTTACCCAGATAAACTGGTTACTGCCGGTACACTGCAGTTTTTCCCATAACAGTCTATACACATAAAATAAGAGAAACACTCACCCCGGTAAAGACCAAACGATAATCATCATTTAGGCGTTTTGCACCAAGGTTGTGGACCCATCCACTCACAAAAAAGTGATATACCTCTAAACTTTTGTACGCCTTCATCTGTTGTCTATTGTAGAATGATGTCTGAAGAGCTAAATAGTTCGTGATATTCTCTGCCTCCATTGTCGGCAAATCTTTTACTTCGGTTGAAAATTCTCTCATTTTCAATAAGATCGGGGTCATGCCCAATATATTTGTCAACTAACTGCTCGTACTTTTGCCTTGCTACTGGCTCTAAATCCTTACAATAAGAACTCTTCTCCATATCTGTGTTCTCCAGAGCCGTGTTTGTCGTGTTTGTCTTCACTTCCTGCCCTCCACCTGAAATTCGCGCATCATCGTGATCACGTGACTGAAACGGCCTTCTCTCTCAAATCCAAGATTAGACCCCGCCCTTCCCCAAGGTGTCCGGGTTTTAACAAACGGAACTATGGTCACCGTATGCCAACGTGTTTATTATACTGTTGCCAATTGTCAAGAGGGGACTGGTTACCTCCCTCCCTTGACAACTGGCCACCAAATACCAGGGTATTTTTCATTACCTTTCTTATGAAATTACTGGTGCTTTCTTCTTCTTCAATTGAAAATAACTTTTGAAGTGTGCTGGGTAATCTAAGGGACTATGTATTGTTGACTATACTCCAACATATACAGAACAGTGTGATTTATCTGTTGTGTTATGAATGGTATGTTGTCAGTATACTTGGATTCAACATTCAAATATTTTGAGAAATTTTGTTTTAACTATCACGTGTTTTGGGTTGCAACCCCTATAAATGGTCACACCTGCTGCTTACTCAATCAGTCCTGATGAAGACCAAGTAGTCGAAATGCGATGGCGTGACTATTAATAAATTCACTGCAAATCACAATGCCTCTGCCATCCTTTTTAAAATTTGAGATTGTTTCATTTGGTCATTTTAGAAATAAAAAAAAAATTCTGCCAAATCTGAGATGGCTCATAGGGGAGACTCCTTGAAAACTGCTGATTTCATACGGACTGACCCTTTTAGACTCCCTTTTAATTTCTTCTTCTTATTATTATTATTATTTTTTATCACAGTGCAACTCCTTTCATCCTGGACATGATAGTATAATTCCCCAGCCCTATTTAGGTAGCGGGACCTAGTGCCCTGTTAAAAGGAAGATCTCAAAAGACTTAAACACAATGACACAAATGAATGGGTCGGTTCTCAGGAGAATATACTGCCCTACAAAGGCAAAAGACCTTAACCCAACAGAGTTGAAACTAAGAAAAATGACTTTCTGTTTTGTCCAGATAAAAATGTGACAACTAGTTGCTATAATGAAGAAGTATTTGTATGGAAAAAATATTGAGCAAAATTGACCTTTATTTGTCAATTCCTGTTCTCTGTCTTTGTATCATGAGCCAAAAATAAGGAGTCATGCAAAGGCAAAAGGCAGGAACTAACATGATCATTATTTGCTTGATGTTCCCCAGAATTCCATCCATGAGAACACCTCACCAAGCTCTAGTCATCATGGTGTTTGTTTGAAATGATATAGAAGAGCTTTGGATTTCCTGTTTAGTGCCCATCAGGATAGTGCGGTGACACTTACACAGTTAAACAGTTTGACAGACAAGCGACTTTGCAGTAAAGTGTGTACAGTATGAATAAATACACAAAATACTTTCACATTAAAGATAACTTAAGTATAACTGAATACAAAGGTAAATTTATTTAATGTGTTCATACCCTGTGCCAAGGCCGCAACAAAAAGAAGGAGGTGATAGGTTGGATTTTAAAATAAAATGTATTTATTAACTAAATCACAAACAAAACATACACTGTTACTGCCTTTTGCCTTTAGTTTTTGCATGACTCATTATTTTTGGCTCATGATGCAAAGGCAGAGAACAGGAACTGATAAGTAAGGGTCAAAGGACAATTTTGAGCTCAATATTTTTCAAAATATTTATTCACATGAAAAAGAAGGTCTCAAATACAAACAAAATGACAAATATATTTTTGACCAGACATGATTTTAAGGCGTTCTGCTTATGTAGGGCAGAACTGACCCTTTAAAAAAGTGTAAACATTCAGGGATCGAAGCAACTGGAGGCAAAAGTGATGCGGCACATCATTTGATTTCAATGGAAAAACTTGAATTAATTCCTGAATATCAAAAAATATGTTAAATTAAAGGAAATATGTCAGATAGATAACCACTCATATATGTGTGAGTGATGTCATGTCCTGGTTTAAAAATATTTACAATTGTGTTTTACCTTTATTTGTTAATTTTAAAAGAGAATATTACTTCAAAGTTGAACTCACTGCAGTTTTCCACTTAATTTATAGATATATTTCATCATAAATTATACTTGTTGTGAAGCTCAATTCACAATTTTGAGGTTAAAAATGTTTGTTTTTCCATTCTTTTTAACAGAGAAGCAAATAATGCAGTATGTGTACCTTGGAAATTCAAAACTATTGTTTATTTTTATTTTGTATCTCGTAATACCATTAGCATTTAGATCTGTTAATCAGTTAACCAATCAGCGCCATTGTTCCCTCTGACCACCACCATCACTCACACACACACCACTTTCATACTGGGCAATGTGGGTGAAGTGTCTTGCCTAAGGACACAATGACAGTTTTTGTGACTGGCACCCCCCTGTGGCAAATCTTTTTAAATTGATGAACTCTTTCTTTTACAAAATATTATATTATTATTAAGAACCTGAAACTTTAAGAAAAAGGCAATTTCAACACAATGTTTTAACATGAACTTATATGCAAATAGGAATAAGTAAATTTTTCTTGGAAAATCCTGCACTTGGCTCCACTTTTCTCACTTTTGACATTTTGCTGATGAGGGTGTCATGGACAACAGTCAAAACGATCATCCTTTAAGAGCATTTGGAAAGAGACAAGTCTTCATTTGTGCTGCACTGGTGGCAGGGGCCACGCACAGAGACACTGGAGACACTGCTGTGCTAAGCACCGCAGAAAATTAACAATATTTTAATAGAAAATATAATTAAAATATTTTAGTAGAAAATCAGCTAAGGGCCAGATTAAAGGTCTTGGAGGGCCGGATCTGGCCTCCGGGCCTTATGTTTGACACCTGTGTCCTAAAATGACCAATAATCATAGAAGTACCTTTTTACTGCAAATATAATACTCCCACTATGACCTCAAGAAAGAAATGTTCTAAAAAAAAAAAAAAGAGACTCAAATCAATGGCTCTGTCAGAGATATGTTAAATGTACCTATCTGATGAACTCACAGTTTTAATCACCTGTGGTCTTCTGCCATGAATATATTTCATTTCAAGTTTCAAGTTTGGACCCCTGCATTATAATCTCCTCCCCCAGTTTGATGCAGTTGGTAATAATAGTGAAAACTGTTACGCACTCGGCCCATCCATGACTAAAATGTGAGTATAGTTACATTTTCTTTGGGTTTTGGTCATAAGAAGCTTTTCTGTATTTTACTGAAACAAATGACAATTTATGTCTCTCTTTACTGTCAGCAGGGATCAGATTGGTCAAAAATAGGGACACCTAGGACATTTCTTGAATAAAACGGGGACAAATCACTGGTTTTGGATAAATCTGCTGGGGCAGGAGACACAGGACTCAAAATTGGGAACGTCCTGGGTAAATAGGAACGTGTGGTCACCCTATACTTGTAACTATCCTGAAATGGGAGGATTTAGCACATAGAGATTTTAGAAAGACTGCATAGTTGTTTGTTTTTAGTTTAAGCGTCAAAGAGGAAGACCATGAAACAAAAATGTAAAGTCAGGAGGGTTTATTGAGTCTAACACAGATAAAGTGACAGCGTAGGGGGGCAAAAATGAACACTGACGCCTCTGCTCACAACACGGGCCAATAACAAATGACAGAGCATACTGTGGCATTAAAGACTGTAGATAGACTAGTTCTCAATACTAGAAAATAATAAGATAAAAGATAATAATATGTTGTCAGTGGTTACATGTCAGAATGAGGGAACATAAACACTAGGGCTGGGTATCATTAAGAAGTTGCCGATATGATACATACACCAATACATACGCCACGATACGATACATATCTCAAAACAGTGCACTTTTGATTCAGTATGATATATTTCAAGTCAATTCGATATTGTTCAATAAAAAATAAAGGCTAAATGACAGCTGTGATACTAAAAGTCTTTGTTAAACCACTTCTTGTGCAAAGTTCATATGAAACACATTTTAATCATCAAAACAATGAAAATGTCAAATGTTTATGTTGCATAAATGAGTTTCCTCCCTTCAAACAAGCAACAAAACTGTAGCTCTGTAACAAAATCATTTAACAAAATATGCCAAAAACTACTCTTGGCGATATATCGATACAGCAGCCCCGATATCGATATACTGTATCATCACGTTAAACAATACAATATATCGACTTTCTTTGCACCCCTAGTAAACACAACGTTTTATATAATAACAACAATTATTTAAAAAAACAACATAAAAAGTGCATTTATTAAGAAAATTGCTAAGAAAAGAAAAAGTTAATAGCGAAGGGAGTAGAGTTCATTAAAGTCCAAGGGAATTTCACGTATGTAGGAATACACTTTTTGAGCTTTAGGTCCATTTATATATTTCAGAGATTTTATATATAATTTGAGTTCATTTTTAAAACAAGTAAAGTAAGGGGGGCACTTCTAAATTTTACATTTTGTGGATGTAAAAGCGTACACGGTCTAACTCTATATTAACCGAACTCACGTGTATAGCTCCACTGAATTAATAAAATTATTATGGATTAATGATTGGTCCCCGTAGCTGTCAGTCATCTCCCGTGGACCAATCATAGGCTTTATCGCTGGTGGGCGTCAGGAGGGCGTCGCCGCTAGAGCCGCTCTGATTGGTCCGCGGTCACATCACAGGCCGTGTTTGATAACAGACCGTTCGCTGCTGGGGCGAGGGCGGATGTTCGCTGTTCTCCTCTCATCGGGTACGCCTCTCTCTCTTACAGACAAGGGATTCTGCTGGATACTTGAAGGGTAAAGTATGTTTTTGTTACTCCAAATTAGAGAGAGGAGTCATTTTTTGAAGGTTGGTGGATGAAACACAGCGAAATCCGTTCAGGCTAACAATAACAACGCTAGCTAGGCTGTTTGCTAACGGGACACAGCGAGCTAATAATAATAATAACGTTTAATCCTCCAAATGATCTTCTATTGATGTGTTTTAAATGTTGTTCTTGCACACAGTCCCTGATCTGTACACGTATTGGACACCTAAATGTCACGTTTTTTGTGAACCGTATGTCGTATGCATGTCCCGCCTTATTGTGTTGTATTGCATCAGACACTGAGGTTAGCTACGTTCAGTGTCTTATTTGTCTTAATTTGTTTATTTTATTTGTCTTTAGCCTTTAGTGAGCAATACGTTGTGATCGCAATTCAGTGCACTTTTGTGGTACGCTATGGATGAGCAATCTGTGTTTACGTAATAGACTATGATAAAGACCAACACGCATGGTAGCTGTTGGTTTAGCTTGTGTGAATAATTGTACAATGAACCACTGTTTTATATTTTCAGTCCTCAGTTATTAATTCGATGTATTTTTATTATATTTTTGAAGTATGAATCCTTATCTGCATAACTAGTTCAGTGCACTTCATGAATATTTAACAAAAATGTGGTAACGGGGAATTTATAAACTAATGAAGGGCATGCGTCTGTCTGTTTCAACAGAAAACACTGCGTCTTCCTCTAGTTTCTCCTTTGTTTGCACCAACAAGGTGATGTCCAGAGTCTGTCTTGCCCGTCTGGCCAGGTGCACCAGGCCTCATGGCCGCAGCAGCCTTTTGCAAACGCCATCAGTCCAGCAGCTTCAGCAAGACAATCAGATCCAAAGGAGACACTTTCACAGCCCTTCAGAGAGGCGACCGAGCAACACACGCTTTGACCCGGACAGTAGCGGCAGGCCCACTACCTGGGACTCTTTTGGCATCTGGGACAATCGCATTGATGAACCGATCCTGCTGCCGCCGAGCATTCGCTATGGCAAACCCATTCCCAAAGTGAGTTTGTCCAAAGTAGGCTGTGCCTCACTTATTGGGCAACGCAAAGAAAATGAAGATCGCTTCCAAGTGTCTCAGATGACTGACAGCATCATGTACTTTGCGGTGTTTGATGGCCATGGAGGGCCTGAGGCAGCTGACTATTGTGAGAAACACATGGAGACCTTTATCAAGTAAGAAGTGCATTAATTTGTTCTAATTCACTTTAACTATACTCTGTTGGAGCATTTGTGTCTATTTAAGTCACAGTAACTCTAGTGTGAAAGTGCATGTTTTTGTGTGATCGTTTCAGGGACCTTGTTTCAGAGGAGGAGAATTTGGAAACGGTTTTAACTAAAGCTTTTCTTGATATCGATAAAGCTTTTGCCAAGCACCTTCACTTCTTTCCCAATTGTAAGTTCTGTCATTTCTACATATCATGTTTTATATATCCTACATGCCTTAAAGGTTGGATTACTGTCTATAAATAGGCCTAGGCCTCTAGGAGCGTGCAGTTGTGTTTTGCAGCTTTGCAGTGACATATACAACAAGAAGCAAGGGTGAACAAAGACATCTCTGCTGATTATCAAAACATTATGTTTTGTATCATCATGGTTTGGGAAATGCACCAAAAACATTCCTTATACATTCATAATACATTCTTAGGACACACTTAGTCTAAATCATCAACAATGTTGAAATGTATACTTTGTTTATAGCAAACATGTTTTCACTCAAAATGTCACCCACTTTTTCCTTGAAACTCAATAAACAAACAATACGTGAAATTGGCCCACAAGTCACCATGAGTCAGTGAGTTGATGATTAACGGTTCCACCACTGACACTGAAGACACTGAAGTGTCAAGTGTATTGGCACTACAGAGTAGCTGCCTGAGTCCATTTATGAAAATGAACTCTGTGCTCCTTGTTGTATTGCTGTTGAAGTCATACTGAATTGTTTTAAGATAACTGACTAAAATAACTTTGAGAACTTTTTGCTATCCTTTCTGTATTGACAGCTAGTGTACCTGTACGTGGCCCTTCATTGGCCACGTTATATGAATTGTCCCAATATGCCTGTGTGTGTGCATGTTATCTATGACAGTTGCTGCACCAGCTCAGAGCTGGAGGCCCTTGGCACCAATGTGGATGACGAGAGGCTAGTCCAGCGGGTCCTAAATCCTGGACTACTGGAAGGTTCCCTATCTTTCTCTCAGTTCTATCTATCCTCCCTTTTCTTTTCTTCTCTCGCCAAGAGTATGCAAGCATCTCCAGATCCAGTGCATCAGTTTGATTCTGTCATGTGTTAGTGTCAGAGCCAGTCCATGCCCTGTCTTGTGGAATATAGGTTTAATATTGTCTTTTACAGTGTCAGTTTATATTTATAACTGCAAAGATGCTCTTGTAATTTGATCGTCTTTTTAATTATGTACTATCATTCCTGCTTATCATTAAGAACAATGATAAACAATGAGCAATTAGCCCACACCAGTAGTTTTGGGCAATTGCCACTTCTTCATCTATTCTCATTTACTCCATAATTATTATTTTAGTGAATTCTTGAAAACGTCTACAGGATGTAAATAGTCTTTTAGTATTTCATATGTCACATCAATTTTCAGCTACACGTTGTGAAATAGTAGTTTAATTGTTTAAATGAAAGAGTGCATGTTAAACTGGCTGTTGGCTCTTGTGTCCCTCCTGCCCCTGTATTTGTGGATATGTGAGAGTGAGATTTATCATATGTTCCAAAACACTGAGCAGTAACTCTTTGTTTAAACAAACCCGGGTGCTTTTTTAACAGTTTTTCATTGTGTTTGAATGTTTCTGTAGCGCCTGCCACAAACGCAGGCACCACAGCGACTGTGGCTCTGCTCAGAGACGGCATAGAGCTGGTGGTGGGCAGCGTGGGGGACAGCCGTGCCATGCTGTGCCGCCGGGGGAAGGCCCTGAAGCTCACAGATGACCACACTCCAGACAGAAAGGACGAAAAGTCGAGGTCAGGCTGGGCTTATAAATTCAGGTCATGGCATCTATCATGATGTTAACTATTAACACGTCCTCTTCTCACATGTAAATAGAGTGAAGCAGAGTGGGGGGTTCATCACCTGGAACAGCCTGGGGCAGCCAAATGTCAATGGCAGGTTGGCCATGACCCGAAGTATTGGAGATTTTGACTTGAAGAACATGGGTGTGATTGCTGAACCTGAAACCAAAAAAGTTAATGTAAGTTTACCAATGTATTATTTTTAATTTAAATATTTCAGTAATGGTGCGTCCAATGCTTCATGCCGCATTTCAAGTGTTCACACTTTTAAGCCACAGGCCACAGGCATCAGACACCAGAATAGAAAAAATTTAACTTCCTGCAAAATTCACCACACATCAATGAGTTTCAGGTGTCGGCCCTCAAATAAAGAGGCATTCGACTAGAGGCATTTGGAGAGATGTTGTCTGTAGTAGTATGAAGCAGTATGAAGTCGAAAATACTTTACTCTAAAGTGTACAGCTTTAATTATCATGTCCAGTATGTATTGGCTTGGAATTGGCTTGTTGGCTTTAAGCCTGTAAAATACTAAGGATTTCAATTAATTTCTTCAGCTGCACCACGTTCATGACGCGTTCTTGGCACTGACAACAGATGGCATCAACTTCATAATGAACAGCCAAGAAATCTGCAATGTCATTAATCAATGCCACGACCCGAAGGAAGCTGCTCTGAGGATCTCAGAACAGGTCAGTCAAACTCAAATACAGTCCCTGACAAAAGTCTTGTCGCTTATCCATTTTGTAGAAACAAAAGCTTATAACCTGACTTTAAATTAATCGATTGGTTTTAGAAATGTCTCATATGAAAGCTAAAACCCTCCCAAATCATGTTCAGTATACTAAAATAAATTTGCTTCACTGAAGAAAGATTGATCATTTAATGAACACAGAAAGGTCAGATTTTGGCAAGACAAAAGTTTTGTCGCCTACAGAAAATTGAACAAATAATTTACTTCAAATACAAAAATATGTTGCATAACGTCAGTGAATTAAGTAGTGGTGCTGTGAGATCCATATTTAATATCTTGTATGACTTCCATGAGCTTGAAGGACGCATCCATGCGGTTCCACAATGATTCATACAATTTGTTGATGAAGTCATCAGGAATAGCAAAGAAAGCGTCTTACATGCCTCCCAAAATTTGACCCTTTTATGGTTGAGAATGTAAGAGGTAGCTAATACTTCTTGATATTTTAGGATATTGATATTGCCTTCCACCCTGCAAATGTCTCGCACACCCCCATACTGGATGGAACCCCAGACCATGATTTTTCCGCCACCAAACTTAACTGTTTTCTGGGTGAATCTTGGATCCATGCGGGCTCCAGTAGGTCTCCTGCAATATTTGCGGCGGCTGTGATGTAATTCAATCGAGGATTCATCTGAGAAATCCACCTTCTGCCACTTTTCCAGTGTCCATCCTTTTAGCAGGCTGTGGGCCTTGGCAAATGCCACACGTTTTTTTAATTGCCTTTTGTTTAGTGCTGGTTTCTGTGCACTGATTCGACCATGGAGGCCATTTCGAGACAGAATTCTACAAACTGTTCTGGTTGACACAGGGACTTGAGGTGACCAGGCCTGGTGGAGTCTGCTGCAGTGGAAAAGGGGCTGGCCTTGGATTTTCGAATCAACAAACGGTCCTCCCGAGCAGTTGTCTTGCGGGGTCTGCCGGACATGGGCTTGTCAAAAACATCTCCAGCCATTTCAGATCTTTTTCTTATTCTTTGTACTTGACGCTGAGACACATTGAAGGTGTCAGCCACCTCAGCAGTGGATCTGGTCTTCAGCCTCTTGATAATTAACGCTTTGGTCTCAGGGTGGATCTTAGGCATGTTGTCAGAGGTCAAGTTGCAGTTGATGTGAAGGTCTGGTGTGCTGGGGTTCTTTTTATACACACCCACTAACTGATTGATCAGTAACTGATCACAGATGAGGCTGTAATCTAGGATTGGGTGCATCATATGACAAGGCGACAAGACTTTTGTCTTGCCAAAATCTGACCTTTCTGTGTTCATTAAATGATCAATCTTTCTTCAGTGAAGCAAATTTATTTTAGTATATTGAACATGATTTGGGAGGGTTTTAGCTTTCATATGAGACATTTCTAAAACTAATCGATTAATTTAAAGTCAGGTTATAAGCTTTTGTTTGTACAAAATGGATAAGCGACAAGACTTTTGTCAGGGACTGTACAGCCTTTGTTAAAGGGTCAATGTTACATGACATTTACTCTTGTGAGCTTTAAGTCATGTTATGTTCTTACTTCCTCAAAAACATGCTGAGAGTTGTGTTTCACTTCATTCACACATGTTTGAATAAATCTTTCATTATTAGTCTGTCTACATGTCCAAAATTCAAAATGGTCTGTTTCACCTTGTGATGTCATGAAGTGGTAGTTTTCATGTTAACAGCTCCTTTTACACTTTGTTCAGTGTCAGTGTCAGTGTCAATCATCCAAATGATTATAGTGAGGCTGTATGAAGTTTAAAAACTCAGTGGAGCACTTCCTGTGTGAAGTATTTGCTGTTTGAGAGAAGAACTATATATGCAGGGTTTGTGTTTTCAATTTGTGTGAATGAAACAACACAGCTCCAGGTTCGTTTGTGATGAGGAAACATTATAACATAGATCATTAAATAGCCTAATATGGGCCTTTTAAGTGTGTATCTGAATGACCAGCAGGTGGCAGTGAAGTGTAGCACATGGAAACACAACTACAATGGACTTTTGTATGTTTCTCTTCCAGGCCCTTCAGTACGGCTCCGAGGACAACAGCACAATAATCGTGGTTCCTTTTGGCGCGTGGGGAAAACACAAGAGCTCTGACTCCAGCTTCTCCTTCAGTCGCAGTTTTGTATCGAGCGGTCGCTGGGCGTAGTCTTTCCAACACTGAAGAAACGAGGTCCGTGGACCCAACTATTTGTGCAATACAGTCCCTCAATGGTACTCTTTGTGTGCTTTTCTAAAAAAATGGTTAGCCCAAAACAATAATATCTAAGGCTTCCAGCATTTAGAGTAGCATCATATTTATTCGTCTGTGTGTTGTAAGACAGTGAATTCATGATGTGCACTAAACAGAGCATTTATACGAAGTTATATTTATGAGCCTTATCAATAGTTCCCAATAACAGTGATGGGTGATTTAAGTGTGAGCAGCATATTAACAGGGATGGGACAAGATCTCAAGCAACTCGGTCTGTCAAACTTTAAAGGTGCACTATGTAACTTTTTGGTAGGGGGGAGGCTGTCACCTGCTTGTTTCTATGGATATTGGGTGTTGTTTTTTTTTGTTTGTTTGTTTTGCGGTACTTTATTGTTCATGTAGGGAAATTGTCCGCTGCATTTGACCCGTCCTTCAGGAGCAGTGGACAGCACACGCGGAAACTCACTTAGACACGGGGAGAACATGAAAATGCCACACAGAAAGGCCCAGGCGATCCGGGATCTAACCTGGAACTTCTTGCTGTGGAATGTGAGTGCTAGTCACTCAGCCACTTTGTCGGCAATTGGATATGTCATTCCTTAGCCAGGAATGTTCCACAGTGTGACATTAAACAGCTCTACTTTACATTTATTCAATTATACAAGGCTTTATAGGTCAAAAATACCTAGAAAAACAGGCATTCTGACTGTGAGCGGGGCTTTCTCTCCACAGATCTGACCTGTAACTGGTTTGAAGATAGAAAATGCCATATTGTGACATTTTCCAGACAAAATAATAACATCTCCATGGAGAAAAGCATTTGAAGGAACTTCCATAAGAAAAGTTACACAATGCACCTTTCATGAAGATATATTGCTGAAGAAAATATAGACAATAAACAATAATATTGACACTAATTTATAGCACTTGCACAATAACTGTAAAAGAGAGATAGATACTTTATTAATCATGAGAGAAATTCAAGTTTTGCTGCAACAAACTGTTGCAGTTGCTGTTGCTGCAGCATTCCCACTGTGCATCTCAGTGGCGTTTGTGTCTCAGTCAAAGGTCATAGTGCAGTTTAACAGGGCGACTGGTCAGGGAGGGTCAGCAGATCTGTGTCAGGGCAGTTTGAGGAGAGGAAGAGCCAAAAGTGTCCCTCCTCTGTGTCCTGCAGCACCACAGCAGAGTCCAGGGGGCGCTCGGTGAACACAACAGGAAAGGCCTTGTTCTTACTCCGTTCTGGTGTTTTGTTTGATGACAAAACTGTCCATTCCCTGAAAGTATATATTCTGGAAGATCTTGTGCCACATTTGCTGGAACATACGGTGTAAAAAGCCTGTCGCATCTCAAATGTCCACAGATAGCCCCTTGGCCAGCCTTTGGCACGGTCTCCATGGGGATATGGGAAACAAACGGCTCATTTCACAATCCTGCACATGCTTTACTTCTTAAATAGTCAAAATCCCATGATATGATGTTAAAAACTGAGTACAAAAAACAAAGTTTCTAAAACTGCTCAGTGTGTGAGGCTCCATTGCCATGGGGAATCATCCCCTGAAACTTTTATAAATGTAACATATTGTATCTGTAATGAGTCATTGAAGTTATTTATTTAACAGCTCAAATCTTATTGTAAAACAAAAACATAATTAAAAGTCCCCACAATAAATATTGACCTAAAAATAACTTTTCACTTTTTTTTTTTTACTGATCAAGAAGTCAATATAGTAATTATTGTGACAAACTTACAAGATTTTGTGAGAGGAGAATTATCTTTTTAGATTTTTTTTATCCATTTGTCTTGAATAAAAAGAGGTTAACTTTAATGAGTAACTCTCCTTGAGAAGTTGTAATACTAAAAACACAGCTGCAACAAAACTCTAAAATTAAATAGAATGGCGCAATTTATTTATTTAAAATTATATCAAAATGTCATCTTGTCTCGATTTCATGGACCGAATCTCATGTCTCGTCTTGACTGGTTACTTAAATTAACCCTACAGTGTTTGTGTCACTGTTTTAAACAAGTATAAATGTAGTTATGTAGTAATTTATAAACCCTAACATGGAATTATTGTATTTTTATAGTCGCATTTTGAACCCTCTGTAGTTGTCATTTGACTACGAGATTAAATGGCCGAACAAAATGGAGCAGAAATCTTTGGGGGAGCTGTGGAGGTGCATTGGCCCTTTTCAGCCCCCCCTTTGGACCACCCCTGCATCTTGTTGAAATCTGATCTCGTCCCATCCCTATTATTCACTAATTACTGCTCACCAAGTGTTTTATTTGTTATTACAGTTACACTTCTAAAAAGTCACATTGTCTAAAAAAAATTAGCTAATAAAATAAATTGTAATAAGGCAAGATGTGTTTTAAGTATTCGGCAATACTTACAAAAAGAACAGATTTTTGGAAAGAGTGGAAACAACAGGTATGGAGACAGTGGAGTTTATTGGAGTCTTTTCAGTATTTTAAGGTAAATTATTTGAAATATCCAAGCTTCTTTTTCTCGAGTATCTTCCATTGGCAGTTGCAGCAGGCATCAAAGTTTTCCAAGTGTTATTTTCTAATCTTCTTTTTAATGCGCCTGCTGCTTTTCTTCTAATTTACTTGACCCTTCTCAGAAATATTAATGAATTGCACAAGTTTGAAGGCCTCGGAAATATTAGCAAGCCTGAATGTTTTGTATTTTTGAAAAACGGAAGCTTTTGTGAATAGTTGAACAAATCTGTATTTTATCCATGTTATGACTCATGCAATTAAGGCTGCAACTATGTGTTTTTCAGAGGTTATATTTAATAACTTTGCAAAAAAATAAAAGTACTTTGCACTGACATTATGCCGGGGGTGTTCTACGTGCAGCTCTATGGTGGAATGTTTAGGGGTTGCGGTGGTGACACAATGTAAACGTTAGTAAACACTGTCAAAAAAAAAAAGTTAAGATTGTCTGAAAACTCAAGACAAAAATACAAAATGGGTTTAAACAGCACATTTTCAGGAGCCTGTGATCAGTACAGGCTCATGGTTCTGTTTAGGCGTTCGACTTTTAGCAAAAATGCTCAATGTGTTAAAATAAAGCACAGATTAAAGTCTAACAATGCCTCAGACAGAGCAGAGCCTACAGTTAGCATCACACCCCCAAGGAATGTTGATGATATCTGCAGCAAAGTATCAATTGTACATTTTTCCGAATATTTGATTACAAAACTGTACATCGAATGAAATAATTACACCAAAAAGTCAAGTCTGTATTAATAGTTGCTTCATTAATTGTCCTATCTTTAAATGTGTAAATGTTCAGAATACAGAAATGTAAAAAATAAACAGGTTTTGTATATAATTCTATTTATGTACATTGAAAGCGGTCTGTTACATACTGTATGTGTACCAAAAGAACCTGTCTGTGTTTGAATCCTACGTTGTAATAAGTCCAACAATCTGCTGAGTTAGAAAACAAAGCACACTTACTGCAACGTTAAAGATGTGTCTGTGAGCCATTTTTGACATCGTGAATGTGATGGGGCTGTACATTACACATCTGTTTCACTGACAAGAACCCGTATTACGCTATTTTCTGATCTATGTTCTAACACAAACAGACCAGGAGTTGTGTTTGTTTCACTCGTACACGTTTAACTCACAAACCTGCCGAGTTCTTCTCTTAGACTAAGAAAACTGTTCCACCTTGTGATTAGGGCTGGGTATCACAAAGAAGTTGCCGATACGATACATACCTCGATACAGTGAGCTTAAGATTGGATGCGATATAGTTTGATTCGATGCGGTTCAATAAAAAATAATGGCTAAATCCGATACTAAAAGTGAATGGTGCAAAGTGAATATGAAACACAATCATCAAAATGGTGAAAATGTCAAATGTGTCGCATAAATGAGTTTCCTTCTTCTAAAAAAAACATCAAAACTGTAGCTCTGTAACAAAATAATTTAGTAAAATATACCAAAAAAATACTCTTGGCGATATATCGATACAGCAGCCCACAATATCGATACTGTATCATACACGATACAAATGATATTTTGGTATTTTTGCATACCTCTACTTGTGATGTCATGTGGTAATACAGGAAGTGCTCCATTGTGTTTTTTAATTTCACTAGAAACGTTTTAAAAATCTCTGCTGAACTACTACTGAAAGGAGCTGTTAACTTGAAAACTACAACGACTTCATGACATCACGAGGTGGACCAGAGCGTTTTGAGCTTTGGAGATGTAGACAGACGAATAATAAAGTGTTACTCAAATATGTGAATGAAACAAAACACAACTCCGAGTATGTTTTTTGATGCATAAACAATAGGGATGTAACAATAACCGAAATATTGTGATATCGTATCGTCAAAAGTCTCACAATAATATCGCGGACTGTCACAATATATCAAATCACAACTTTTTTTTCCATTAAATGCATGGTTTTATAGCAGCAACTTTTACTTAAATTCTGGGATTATAATCATTTGAAAGTCTTGCCAAGATATTTTAAAAGGAATAAATATCTACGATTCTATTAGGTTCTCTAAAATATCGTACCGTGAGATTTGGATATCGTTACATCCCCGGTAAACAACATTATAACACAGATAGATCAGAAAATAGTGAATCAGCCTAAAATAATACCTGTTAACAATAATTACTAACCTCAGAACAGATTTCAAATGAGAAATCAGTGATGATGAACAATATATTATCCATTATTGTACAGCCCTGTTTGCTTTTATACCCTCCAGTTTTTTCAGGCGTCATATATTAAGACTGTTTTATAACACCATCGTGCAAACCAATGTTATTTTCTATCTTTTGTCTTCCCATCGTAACTTCTCATGTTCCATTTATAGTTTGTACATTTCCCTTTTGTCTGTTTTCATGGTGACAATAATTTTGGTTAAAACTGTTCCCATAATAAACATGAGCGTAAAGAGACTGAGATTGTCTGTTATGATTTTGGGTTTTGCTCAAATTAAATGTCACTAAAGATCAGATCAAATTATGCTAAAAGTAGTGTTCTGTGTAGTAATAGTAGAGAGAAAGAGAGATACTTTACTAATGCTGAGGTATCAATAAAGTATAATTTAGTAGTAGACGTAGAAGTCAGTGGTGGATCAATCATTTTTATTCCTTTAGTAAAAGAACAGATACTGGAGCAAAACATGATCAAGAAAATGTCCATCCATCCATTTTCTTCCGCTTATCAGGGACTCCCAGTCTTCCTTCACCCTGGACACTTCCTCCAGCTCCTCCAGGGGGACCCCAAAGCGTTCCCAGACCAGCCCAGAGACATAGTCCCTCCAGCGTGTCCTGTGTCTTCCCCAGGGCCTCCTTCTGGTGTGACATGCCTGGAACACCTCCTGAGAAAGGTGCCCAGGTGGCATCCGGAACAGATGCCGAGCCACCTCAACTGCTCCTCTCGACGTGGAGAAGCAGCGGCTCTACTCCGAGCTCCTCCCGTGTGACTGAGCTCCTCATACTATCTCTAAGGGAGCGCCCAGCCACCCTGCGGAGGAAACTCATTTTGACCGCTCGTATCTGCGATCTCAGAGCGAATGCCCATAGGTGAGGGTAGAGAGAGAGCCCTGGTGTTCGTTATGGACAAATTGTGACTAGCACAGAGGTCCAATAACAGAACACCGCTAGGGTTCAGATCAGGGAAACCTGATCTGAAGAAAACGTATCACATGAAAAATCTAATCTAAAACTATTTAAGTACCTGTTTTAAAATTTACTTAAAGAGTAAAAAGTAAAAAACTATTAAATTGATATTAAAAATAAACCCTCAGCCTTTTCAGCAGGTCTCAAACTAACAAAAACGTTTACTTTTTAGTCCAGTTCAAAAAAGTAGTGGAGTAGAAAGTACAGATAGCTGCTCTCAAATGTAGTGAAGTAAAAGTAAAAAGTATCCATTTTAAAATCTACTTAAGTAAAGTACAGATATAATTTATACTTACGTACAGTACTTTAATACTTTTACTTTGTAACGTAACACCACTGGTAGTAGTAGTAGTAGTAGTAGTAGTAGTAGTAGTAGTAGTATGACCAGTGCAGCTTATGAACAAGAATAGCAGTTAAAATTACTTCACTGTTGTGTTATTTTTACATAAATAAACTAAATAAACGTGTAAACTCTAAAGTCGTGTTTCTGCAGGGTTGTCAAGGTAACACAAGGGTTAAAGGTGCTGCTCCCTCCGGGTCTCTCCTTGTCCCTCCTGGTCTCTCGTCGCCCCTCCTGGTCCCTCCTCATTGAGTCCAGTGAAGTATTTGGTTGTGGTAAAGCACCTGTCTCCTCTGTCATGAGCTGATGTTGGACTGCAGCGACTGAAAAGCGACAGAGCGACAAAGACGACTCGAGACCCTCAGTGTGATTTCACCCTCGCTATGGCTCCAGGTAAGAACATCTACATTTATTCTCTTTGTTATAATTTTTCTAGTATGGTGATGTGTGAGCTTCTGTGTCCAAATAATTCTCTTGTGGATCAATAAAGCTGTATTTTTGTTCAGTTGTATTAGAGAGATATAGACGAAAAGACTAAGGGGTTTATTTTTAACACACTTCTAGTTTGTGCAAATAAAAATATGCAAATAAAAACAGCTAGAGAAAAATCTATTAATTCATTTGTTTCTGCTGAACAAAATTCATCTCAGATTTGTATCAGAATCACTACATTTGAAGCTTCATTAGATCTCAAAATATGTGCAAAATATTTTTTACTTTACTTTTTTAAAACTTTTTATTCTTTAAGTACATTTTTAAACAGTTACTTTAATACTTTTACTTATAGTTAATACTTTTGCTCTAGTATCTATACTTTTATGACTCTTGGCTCCTAGTAAGACAATTTATACACTTTATTTATTTATTTTTTTTTCAAATTTTGTTTATTTGACTTATACAGAAATTGTACAAAATTTATTTAACGACACAAATAGTAAAACTAATTAAAAAGCCATTCTGTTCAATTTCCTTTAATAACAAAATGACACACAAAAAGAAAAAAACGCACACACACCAACACTCCATTTAAATTACAAAAAAACTAACACATTTGTAGCTTGGGCAAACAAAAATATACAAATAAAAACAGCTAGGGAAAAAAATATTAATTCATTTTTTTCTGTTGAACAAAATTCAGCACAAATCTGTATCAAAATCATTACATTTGAAGAATTATAAAACCTCAAAATCTTCGCAAAGTACTTTCACTTTTTACTCTTTTTAGGTAAATGTTTTAATGGATATGTTAAGTTGCATTTTCATGAGATACTCTTAAGTATTTATTTGCTCTGGTGTCTGTACTTGTACTCAAGTAACAAAATTCAGTATTTTTTCTACCACTGTTTAAAAGAGTAAAAAGTACACATACCTGTTCTCAAATGTAATGACGTAAAAGTAAAAAATATTAACTTAAAATGTACTTAAGTAAAGGACAGATATACTTATAATTAAATAATACTTAAATACTTACTTACGTACTTGTACTTACTACTTTTACTTTGTTATGTCCCACCATTGGTAGTAGTAGTAGTAGCAGTAGTAGTAGTAGTAGTTATTTTTAGTAGTTATACTTAATTATACTTATTTAAAGAGAGAAAGGTTCAGTTCAGTTGTAAAGTCTGTATTAAAAACTGTTTCGTGTGTGAGACAGGAGCCACAAAAACAACCAAATATTACAGTTTTGAAATTAAGTAAATAAAAAATATATATTATCAGTTTTACTTTATCGGTTATCAGGGACAAACATGTTCACATTTTTAGTAAACATTCCGTTTCCGTGCGTCACCAGAATGAGCTGTAATGAGTCAGGGTTTAAAGTATTTACTAAACTGGAATCTTTCTTGTTCATTATGAATTAAAGTGATATGTTTTAATGATTCTCTAATCTCCACTTAAGTTGGTGAAATATAACCTGCTGTAAATATAAATTATAGTTTTACACCAGACAAGAAGCAGTTTGTGAAGAACAGTAAAAAACAAAACAAACAAAAAAATTATGAAAACAACAGGAAGTACAGAGTAAAGATCACACATCACACTGAGGAGAATTATATCCACAAGTTTGGCACAATTTACACAAGAAACACATTTTTTTATTATACTTTACACTTACTATGAAGTTAACATTTTTATTCTGATTTTATTCTACAGGAAAAATGAAAGGAGCCAGTCACATAAACATGGCGATGGTGGAGGACAGAGGCAGCGACGGCTCGTGTAAACAGGAGCAGAAGAAGAAGCCGTGTGGTTCCACCGTGAGTTTCCACAGCCTCCAGTACAAGGTGCAAGTGAAGAGCGCCCCCTTCTGTACGTGCAAGACCAGCAGCCGCCAGATCCTGCACGAACTCAAGTCAGTGATCACACCAAGTCTCAGTTATAATTATAGGGTTTTCAAAAGTATAAAACCTCAGATACTAATCAACACCATCTTAACCTTCTAGACTGACAGTACGATACGATACCGGCGAACATGTTTTACAAAACCGTGCTTAACTTTCAAGCCAAAAAAGTATAGAAACTTAATTTTTTTTGATGATGATGAAGTAGGGAAAACAAGTGTCCAATAGGAACTTTGTTTTCCGCCAAACGCATGCGCTTCGTCCATTTTGATTGGCCTAAACTTTGCCAAAGAGTGTAGTGAGTCAAGGTGATCGATTGCTCTGAGCGTCTGTGCTTGTAACAATTGAAAAAGCTGCTTTAAGTGCAGTTATTTCTTAAATAAATGGCAAATTACACATCTTGGTCTGCGTAACTGTGCATCCCTTGCTATTTTTATTTGAAAGGTTTATGTCACTCAAAATGTACAAATACAAATGTAATAAACACCTTCGAAATGAGGGAAGTGATGTGCCTCTGTGCCCTGGACCTGACACCAGCAGTAAAGTAATGAGGTGAATGCACTTTTTTTGTTTTGTTTTGAAGGCAATAAGTATATTTTGAGTTTACTTACAGACTTGATATTTTGCACTTTTGTCGCTAAGGCCCTGAATTAAGCATTTTTTATGTCCAAAAAGTTGTTTATACACACTGCTGTGTGTTTTGTATGAAAGTGTGAATTTTACTGTCTGTTTTTTGTTTGTTTTTTTCATTTGTATTACGGGTCCTGTAGCTTTTATTACAGCCATATGACACAAAAACAGTATGCACCTTGTGAAATAACACGTTGTACTGAAAAAAATGATGTATAACACTTCACTGGGGGTAAAAGACGGAGTTTTATACGCAAAATTAAGAAAATAATCCAGGCGAGGAAAAATGTACTAAAATTGCCCTTTGGTCTGGAAGGGTTAATATTCCTATTTACGAGAGGGTTTATAATACGCTCTGTGCACCAATGTTGTGTTTATTTTACAGTGGGGTGATGAAACCTGGTCTCAATGCGATTCTGGGTCCTACTGGGAGCGGCAAGTCTTCGTGAGTATTCTAATAAACTTACGCTTATTTATTTAATCAGAAATAAAGGATACCTCTAAAATTTTATCTGTCAATATACTGATACTTTGCAGCTGATGTAGGGTGATCAGATTTTCAAAATAACAAACTGAGACATTCCCGTTTTTTGGTGGTTGATAATAATAAAACTGTGAAACGAGTGTGTAATAAAGGAAAATTGTTATGCAGAGACCATTCTAGACTAAAATGTGAGTCAGTATAGTCACATTTTCTTTATGTTTTGGTCATTTTTAGGCAGCTTTTATGTATTTTACCTTAACAAATAACAATTTCAGCATCTCTTTACTGTTGGCAGGGTCAGATTGGTCCAAAATAGGGACACCTGGGACATTTCTTGTATAAAAATGGGGCAAATCACTGGTTTTGGATAAATCTGCTGGGACAGAGGACACAGGGCTCAAAACTGGGACTGTCCCTGGTAAATAGGGACGTCTGGTCACCCTAAACTGACGTCATTAATATTCCCTGAGGGTGTGAAGCTAACTGAAAACACTGCTCTGTCTGAAGATCTGTTACTCAAGTTAGACTTAATCTGAGCTTTATTTAAACACCATGGGACCAGAAAGAGCTGATGAACTCTTGAACTTTTTCGGCAGTGTTTGCTAATGTGTGTGTTGTGTCTCCATGGTGCTGAACATTCCACCATAGAGATACATGTACAATACCTCCAGCGTGAGGTCACAGTACCGTTTTACTTTTTACTTTGACAGTTTCTTGGACATTTTAGCGGCGAGGAAAGACCCCGCTGGGCTCTCTGGGGAGGTTCTTATTGATGGAGCTCCACAGCCTCCAAACTTCAAGTGTATCTCTGGATACGTCGTGCAGGTGAATCGACTTTCTCAATAATTGTTCTACTGTAATCTCTTCTTGGCCAGTAATTTAAAGGTGCACTACATCACATTTTGGTTGGGGGTCCGTCACATGTTTCTTTCAGTGGATATGTCACAGCTCTACTTTACATTTATTCAATTACAGGTGGTTTTATAGCTCAAAAATACTTAGAAAAACAGGCAAACAGGCTTTCAACTGTTGCCTCTCCACTGATCTGACTTGTAACTTAGTCTGGCTTGGTCACCATCATAATAGAAAGGTTTAATGCCATACTGTTTAATGCCATACCTTCAGACAAAGCAATAACATCTCTACAGAGAAAAACGTTTGATGGACTCTCCACCAGAAAAGTTACACAGTGCAGCTTTAACACGCTTTCATATTTTTCACAGGATGATGTCGTCATGGGGACCTTGACTGTGAAGGAGAATCTGCGTTTTTCTGCAGCTCTGCGCCTGCCCACGTCTGTTCCACAGAGTGAGAAAGAGACTCGGATCAATCTCCTCATCAAAGAGCTGGGACTCACTAAAGTTGCAGATACCACGGTAACCCCATAGACCGTGGACCGCAAAGTGTGGTGCAAAGGTCTTAAAATCTTAAATCTTAATATATTAAAATGAATGAATCTGGCTTTAATTAGTATTTATGATGAAAGTTTTCATCATTGGCAGACAAAGTTAAAGGTTTTATATCTCTCACAATTCCTTGTTCCTGTGTCACCAAAATCACATCTGTGGCTGTCAGTCAATCAATCAATCAATCAATCAGCAACTTTATTCATCCCAAAGGGCAATTCAGTTTGCACATCTCTGGTCGTCTATAAATAATAAAATTTAAATAAAAACAAATACATGCAACACACATTGTACATTCAAACCTCAGAGCATCAGGGACACAACAGTAAATTTACTTTCCATTTAAAAGCTTTACAGCAAAAGGAATAAAAGATTTAGTGCAGTGCTTGGTCTTTTGCTGTGGGGTGACATATCGCCTCCCAGAGGACATTTGCACAAACTGTGAGTGCAGAACATGGTTAGACTGGCTCAATATGGTTGGCTTGAGTCTTTTGGAGCCCGATGTCTCCACACAGACTCCAAATCCTCCGTCTGAACACCACTGATTTTGCCACACACTTTTACTCTCTGGTTCAGACTGTTCTTGTCCTTCACAGATAATCCATAAAACCAACAAATAAAAGAAAAGGTCAGCAAACTTTCGAAAAAGAAATGATAAAAATGATTTAAAAAAACGACACTGAGCTGAGCTTCCGCATCTAGGTAATCCGCCGCTGTCCTTGTTTGAGAATTTGCTCAGTGTTCTTATCAAACCTTAGGGAGGAATCAAACACAGTTCCCAAGTACTTATAAGAGTTCACCATTTCTACTGTTTCTCCACGGACAAAGCTCGTTATTGGGCTGTGAACCTTTTCCAGGAGAAGTCCACGACAATTGTGTTTTGTTTCATTCACACATGTTTGACTAACCCTTTTGTAACGCTAAGAGCTCGATCACCTTGCACAGCAGGTAGCAGAGAACTATGGACAGCAGAATTTAGTTTTAAGGATTTTATTACAATAATCCAGCCGTTACTGTATAAATGGGGAATCGACATGTCCAGGGGTGAGGGACTTGGTTAAAAAGTTTGTTTAACAGGTTGTTAAGAGCTTGTCCAGAGACCGGTCTGGCGTCATGCCCCCAACATGCCCCAGTTTCACCCACGGAGCGGCCGACAAGACTTAAAACTGCCTGGAGACCTTGTCTGGACAGAGAAAACAGGGTGTGAGAAAGTGAAGTAGAAGGTTCACAGGGTTTTTAAACAATAAGCATCACCCCTTTCCAGCTGCCAATTACATGACCATTGGCCCAAACAGGAAAAAAATCACACAAAGAGAAACACCACACCCATTTAAAGTGGCAGAGGAACGATACTCTGTTAGCCCCGTTACACTTTATTATTTGTCCGTCTACATCTCCAAAGCTCAAAATGCTCTGTTTCATGAAGCAGTAGTTTTCAAGTTAATCAATCAATCAAACAAACTTTATTTATAAAGTGCTTTTCATACAAAAATATAACACAAAGTGCTTTACGGTGATTAAAAACAATCCCACATTTCCTTCTGCCCACCCAGCAACCCAGCCCCTCAGCTGCTCGATCCCATACAACGAAACAACCCAGACACACACACGCACACACATACACACACACACACACACGCACACACAATAACATGCACACACAATAACATGCTAAAATACATAAAGCTGTGAAAATGTGAGGGTGAATACAGGTGAACCAGTTGAGAAAGCACCATCAGAGGAGCCGTCTGCACCAGGAGCAAGTTTACATTTCCTTTACCTTTAGCTCTTTAGAGATTCAAATGATTCTAGTGAAGATGTATGGATTTTAAAAACACAGGGGATCACTTCCAGTATTACCACATGACATCACCAGGTAGAACAGAGTTTTTTTTTTGTTTGTTTGAGAGAAGAACTCAGCCTATATGCCGGGTTTGTGTGTTAAACATGTGTGAATGAAACAAAACACAAAAAAAGTATGGTTTGACAAGGAAACAACATTGTAAAACAGATCAGAGAACAGTGTAATGGACTTTAAATGTGTAGTAACTTAATGTTCTGTGCATTTGTAAAATAGGTGGGCAGTCCGTTGAGCAGGGGAATCTCAGGAGGCGAGAGAAAGAGGACCAGTATCGGGATGGAGATGATCATTGACCCATCTGTCCTCTTTTTGGATGAACCGACCTCGGGATTGGATTCCAGCACAGCCAGCTCTGTCCTTCTGCTGCTCAAGAGGTAAGTTTAAAGGTTTAAATACTGAAATGTTCTGAGTTATGATGTTATGATCCTTTTGCAGAATGGCAGGCCAGGGAAAAACCATCATTATGTCGATCCACCAGCCGCGTTACTCCATCTACAGACTGTTTGACTCTCTCACTTTGTTGGTCAGCGGCAAAATGGTTTATCACGGACCCGCCCCCAACGCCCTGGACTATTTCGCCAACATCGGTAACACTTTATAATGAATTAAAGTTTATTATGTAATGTTTATAGACTTAGACTCAAAGGTCCGCTATGTGACTGTCTCGTTTCTATGGATATGTCGTTGCTCAGCCTGAAATGTTCCGCAGTATGACATTAAACAGCTCTGCTTTACATTTAATCAAGGTGTATTGTGTAACTTTTCTGGTGAAGGGTCCATCAAATGATTTTCTCCATGGAGATGTTATTGTTTTGTCCGGAATGTTTCATAGTGTGGCATTAAACCTTTCTATCTTCATGGAGCCCAAACCAAGCCGAGTTCCAGGTCAGATCTGTGGAGAGACGACCCCGCTCACAGTCAAAATGCCTGTTTTTCTAGGTATTTTTGAGGTATAAAACCATCTGTAATTGAATAAATGTAAGGTAGAGCTGTTTAATGTCCATCCATTCCATCCATCCATTCTCTTCCACTTATCTGGGGCCGGGTCGTGGGGGCAGCAGTTTGAGCAGGGACTCTCACACTTCCTTCACCCCAGACACTTCCTCCAGCTCCTCTGAAGGGACCCCAAGGCGTTCCCAGGCCAGCCCAGAGACATAGTCCCTCCAGCCTTTCCTGAGTGTTCCAGGGGCCTCCTCCTGGTGGGGAACATCTTCTGAGGGAAGCGCCCAGGAGGCATCCGGAACAGATGCCTGAGCCACCTCAACTGCTCCTCTTGACGTGAAGGAGCAGCGGCTCTACTCTGAGTGACTGAGCTCCTCACCGTATCTCTAAGGGAGCGCCCAGCAACCCTGCGAAGGAAACTCATTTCGACCGCTTGTATCCACGATCTTGTCCTTTTGTCATTACCCAGAGCTCATGACCACAGGTGAGGAGAGGAAGGTAGACTGACGCTAAATCGAGAGCAACAGTCCAATACAGCGACTGCATCACTGTCGACACTGCACCAATCCACCTGTCAATCTCATGCTCCGTCCTCCCCTCACTCGTGAACAAGAATCTGAGATACTTGAACTCCTCCACTTGAGGCATGTTTAATGTCATACTGTGGAACATTCCAGACAAAGTAATGACATAGCCATAGAAACGAGAAGGTGACGGACCCCGTACCAAAAAATTACACATCGCACCTTTAAACACAGCAGCTCACACGTCACAATTATTTTAGGATTATAATAACACAGAGCAAAAATATAAACGGTAATAATAAACTCAACATAAGTAGCAAAAATAGCAAGAGACTGGTGTCAACAAGTCATAATTACATATATAAATTTGTATGTGCAAGTAAAAACAACATATAGAAATATAGTAATACAAGAATATCTTAGCAATATACAAGAGGTTCTAAAGAGAAACAGTGCCAAGAAGAAATAATGAGTGATAATGTCAAAATATTCATGCAGGATACCTATGTGAGCCACACAATAACCCAGCAGACTTCCTCTTGGACGTCTTAAATGGAGACTCTACAGCGACCGCCATGATAAAACTGCAGGGGTCTGAAGGTACGGGCCCATATTACTCTGTTTTCTGATTTATGTTATAATGTTTTTCCTCATCAAAAACATGCGTGAAGTTGAACTTAGGTTGAGTTCTTCTCTCAAACAGAAAACATTCTAGTCTGTTCCATCTTGTAACGTCAACTCCATTCACCTTCACTAGACTCATTTGGATAATTTCAGCCCTGGAATTGGAAATCTCTGCTGAAAATAACGTAAAAGGTACCTGATAAGTATTGCTTCATGACATCATAACAGAGCATTTTGAGCTTTGGAGATGTAAACAGACTAATTATAAAGGGTTACTCAATGAAACAAATGAAACAAAACACAACTCCAGGTTTGTTTTTGATGAGGTAACAGCATTTAAAGCTCACAAGTAGTGTTGTAGTCAAGACCGCACTAATCGAGACCAAGAGCAGTCCGAGACCACAGGGTCCCGAGACCAGGACAAGACCGAGACCTCTGAGGGTCAAGACCGAGACAAGACCGAGACTTTTAAAGGTCAAGACCAAGACAAGACCGAGACCATCTTTGTCATTTCCTACATTTATTTGGTTTTTACACTTATTTTGGCCGATTTATGTCAATGTTTTTATAATGTTTTTTTTTTATAAATCTATCTCCATTTGATCTTAAGGTTCATTTAAGCTTAAAATAGGCCAAGCAAACTGACATGCACTTAAACTTAAACTCTGTGCCCCTTTTTTGGACCCTAACTTACAGTTTGAGATCCCATTCTTTAATCCCGCTTCTACTTGCACTTTACAGAAAATAACTTCAAAGTGAATCAAGTGGGTTTTTTCAAGTTCATAACATTTACAGTTACATTATCTTACTGGTTTTTGCAGTGATATTTAGCAGCCTTTGCATATTTACCAGCCGTAATGAAGTGTGATCGCACTCGTCAAGTGTCAGACCTTGAGTCCAAGATAAGACCTAGACCAAACACCACCAAGACCGAGACAAGACTGAGTCCAAATGAGCTTGAGTCTGAGACAAGATCAAGACCGTAAAAAAGCAGTTGCGAGGCCATTCTCGAGACCAAGACTGGTCTCGAGTAATACGACGCTACTCATGAGAGTCAATTTTGCGTAATATAGGATCTTTAACTTGTCAGACTTAATATTATAATGATATATATTTATGTATTTATTTGTTTACATTATGTGTGTGCACAGAGTTGGACTTTGAAGAGATGAGCAGGTCGAAGCAGAGTATCGAGGAGCACTTACTGGAAGAATACAGGAACAGCTCCTACTTCACCGACACACAGAGTGAACTTGAACGCATCGTGCAGGGCAAAAGCTGCCCATCACGAGCCCTGTCTCACTCCGTTGACTACAACAGCCCCTTCCTCCACCAGCTCCAGTGGGTGATGAAGAGGACCTTTCAGAACCTGGCCTTAAACCCTCAGACGTCTGTGGCACAGGTAACGCACTGAGCTCCGTTTGTGCTGTTCCTTCCTTTAATCACGCCCACTGAACTATGGCTCAAATTTTGGACATAGGACCTCATTTCCTAGTGAGCCAGAGTGTTGGAGACATGTGGGGACAGTTTTTTAAATATTCCATCCAGGCTTTGTATTTGCAGAGGTCTTACCCACTCTACCAAAGCACCCGAAGCAAATCTGTTATTATGCCAGACTATTGATGTGAATGTCTGTGTTGATAGAATAATGTTTGAAATAAAACTAACCTTGCATCACATGAATCGTCGCATGTTGAGTTAGGGCTGGGCAATATGGAGCAAAAACTCTCGATATATTTTTGTATATCCCGATATACAATTTATATCTCGATATCTGTACAGGAAAATAATTCTGCAAAACTAAAAATGGCAAATTCCACAAGTTTTTTTTTTTATTGAAGTGCAAAGAAGTTGGCAGTGAAACAAAGTGCTTCTGCGACATAAAAAAAAAAATAAATCCCTGTATACAAAAATAATAATTTAACTGTAAAATACAAGAAGAAATAATACGTATCTTCTTTTCATTCAAAAATAAAACAACGCAACTCAAGCTCATTATTTTAGCAGAGGAAGCTCGGAAGGTTCCTTATTTTAATAGATCCATGTTCCTCACCAGCGGTAAGAAGCCACGAGGTCTCCCACAATCCACTGCAGATCAAACCCAATGTTTCTAAACACTATTGTACAAGTTTTACACTGCAGCAGATTATTAATTAAAATCTTCTGCATAAATAAACTTTACATTACTAAACATATAAACCATAGCGACTATAGAGCCACATCAGCCCATTTGAGATTATAATGTGTTTAATGCAGCTTTATGCACATTTGTTTACGTTTTACAGAAACGAAACTTAAAACCACATGGCTCATTTGCATAAACTAACTCGCTCCTTGTGCCTGGCGAGCGGGAGCGCGCACAGAGAAGGCAAACAAGCGAAGCGTCGAAATCAGAAATAAATATAAGCATCATATCGATATATATGATATGTCATGTTGGGGGACTATTTTCTCAGCAGCAGTGGAATTTTACTTTGCCGGTAAGATAGGTGAAGGAAATCTGGGAGTCTCTGCTTAGACTGCTGCCCTCGTGACCCCAGATAAGTGGAAGAAAATCAATGGACGGATGGACAGTAAGACAGGTACTAGGTGATATCAGTCCGCCGCTGCCAAGCTTTCTATCAGAGTGTATAACTCACTGCTGCTGCTCAGACATAAATCCTTCAAATGCAAGGTTGATTTTGCTTCTAAAATTATTCTGTCAACACATTTACATCGACAGTCTGGTGTAATAATAGATTTTCTTTGGGTGTTTTGTGGAGTGGGTAAGACTGTTTTTAGTGGCAGGATAACTATGGCCATTGACATGCACTAGTCTAGCACCAGCGACCTCTGCAAATACAAGGACTGGATGGAATATTTTAAAAAGTGTCTCCACACGTCTCCAACACTCTGGCTCACTAGGAAATGAGGTCCTATGTCCAAAGTTCCGAACTGTCCCTTTAATATAGTGTGACTCTGTGGCTCTATTGGCCTGGGGAGGCAGGTCAGGGCACACAGACTGATGTTATAGTTTAAAACAGCACACGCACACTGCTGACCAAGGTCAACACTTAATGCGCTCATTAGTCCCCTCATGGCGTCAAAAAGCCATCAGAACTATCCCCACTTTAAGAATTATTAACAGCTAATTGGCCCTACATAAGTCACAATAATCCTTCAAAAGTGGCTCTCGGCTGCGTGGACGTGTAATCCGCTTTGGTGACTGTTGTGACCCCTCTGCCGCGTTTCTGTTGCGATCTGCACTGATATCATATCTGGACAGGGCCCCTTGGCCTCGCTGTGAATCCATCACATGACGGCTCCATGAGCATGAGTGCAGTGGGCTGTTTTCACATGAGAGACCAGGGGGAATGAGGTGAGAAAGGCTGGCTCTTATCAGCTTATCCCCTCACCCTGGGAACCGCTTTGCTCTGTCATAATCTGTCAACTCTCAGGATTAAAACTCGTGTCGCCTTTTGTTTTTCTCGCTCTTTTCTCTCATCGCCTCTGACCACGTGTTCATTGTGTTTTTTGTTTTTTTTTATGAAGGTAGAACAACGTGCAAATATGTACGGTTTCTACGGATAAGTCATTGCTCTGCCTGGAATGTTCCACAATATGACATTAAACAGATCTACCTTACATTTATTAAATTACAGGTGGTTTTACAATAGCTCAGACATTCTGCAACTCAGTGGGGTTGCATCTCCACAGATACTACTATTACTACTATAACTTGGTCTGGTTTGGGCGTCATGATGATAGAAAAGTTTAATATCACACTGTGAAACATTCCACACAAAGCGATGTAGTTAGGTTTACCGTTAAAGGGGAAGTGATTGATATTAAAGATTTGAATTTAAAAGTTCTAAGTTAAAGCAGCGCTTACGTGGCCTTTGTGAATGTTTGAATTTGACTAGAAATAGTTTCGGTTTCCTGATTCATAAGCCGGTTTCACTTCGTGGAAACCGTCTGACCTTGCAGCTTTAGGATTCGTTCACTCGACAGTAGGCGGGTAGTTTTTTTTTATCAAACCAATCGCTGCTATATGGTCGTGACGTGTGCAATGCGCCAAATCTCGAAGTAAAAGGGCAATAACGTCTTTCCCCTTGATAATTCACTAAACATTCTCTTTCTTCAGGCTTTAAATCCTCGATCTTGGGAATGTCTGTCTTCGTCTACATTCATCTCGATCGCTTTGTTTACTGTTGTGCTGTTCCACAAAAGGGACCCAGACAGGCGCTTGAGTTTGACGTCACGGCTTCACAGCTCTTCACTGATTGGCCGGTGCCTGGTCTACAACTTCCGGGCTTCTTGCAAACCGTCTAGTGAAATTGAGTGGAGCCACTAGGTGATGGCAGCCTGTCTAGAATTTCGGGGCACCACTCAACAAATGTTAAGAAATATTACCACTACAATCTAATCAATTATCTACGTTAATTCTGTGACAGTGCGCATACGACTGGGGAGCGTGGATGTTGTCCAGTCGCCATGTGGTCCTGATAGGTCCAATGAAGGTCTGAATTTCTCAGGACGTCGGTTCTGACAAAATCAATCGAGCTGGACAAAGTGTGTCTCAGTCAAAGGCACAAACATTTTGGAACAGTCTCTCATTATCAATAAGAGAAACTCCAACGCTGGCCACTTTCAAATCCTACTTGAAACAGCGGCTAAAGGAAAACCAGACTTGTGGACACTGTTAGTTTAGAACGGTCACTTGTTATTGTTTTTTCTGTAAAATTTGTGGTGTTACCTGCAAAGGGACGACAGATGGAAATTATCGTTCTTATTATAATCTGGCATATTTACACTGCAGTAGATGTTCATTCATATGCACTGTCCCTAATAAATAAATAAATAAAATGTAACAAAAATGAATCAATAATCAATACTAAAAGCTCTCAAAAACGTTGCAGCACTACATAGTTTTAACATTTTCATTGCTCTAAATCACAGGTGTCAAACATAAGGCCCGGGGGCCAGATCCGGCCCTCCAAGACCTTTAATGTGGCCCTCGGCTGATTTTCTACTTAAATATTTGAATTATATTTTCTATGAAAATATTGGTAATTTTCTGCGTCACTTAGCATAGCAGCATCTCCAGCGCCTCTGTGCGTGGCCCCTCCCACCAGAGCAGCACAAAAGAACACTTGTCTCTTTCCAAACAATCCTTTTTGACTGTTGACCGTGACACCCTCATCAGCAAAATGTCAAAAATAAGAAAAGCGGACGCTGAGTGCAGGAATTTTCCCAGAAAAATTGACTTATTCCTATTTGCATACAAGATAATGTAATATATAACATGTATAACATTGTGTTGAAATAGAATTTTTCTTAAAGTTTCAGGTTGTTCATAATATTATCATATTTTGTAAAAGAAAGAGTTCATCAATTAAAAAAGATTTCTGTAATAGATTTGCGTTTCACTGCACAAATATTTGAACTTATTTTTTTTTGGGGGGGGGTTTATTTGTCATGAGTTTTCTGATCCGGCCCCTTTGGGATCAAAGTAGGTTGGATACGGCCCCCGAACCAAAATGAGTTTGACACCCCTGCTCTAAATCATAACTCTGATTTTATTCTCCTCTTTTTCACAGCTGGCTATTAACATGGTTCTGGCTTTCATCGTGGGCGTCATTTACTTCTCAGTCCAGAACGACATGAGCGGTATACAAAACAGGTACGAGTATGGCTTTACTGTTTGTTTCAATATAACACAAAGGAATTAATCTTCTTATCCGTTTGTGAAAAGCCTGGTACTGAACATATGTAACACAACAGAGACCTCTCGCCGTCCAGTGCACGCCTCAGTGGAATACAAGGCTTTAATGTTCTTACGGTCAGACTACAGGCCGTGTGCAGACCCCAGTGTACGCAGCTTAAGTGTCTGTCACCTCCCCACAGAGCCCGGGTCATGTATGAGGCCAAAACACAAGCTCCTTACAGCTGTAATCTCCCCGAGGTTCAAACAAACGTCATTTTAAAGTGTGTTTGTGGTCAGAATTTCAATGGCCCATATGATGCTGTTTTATGATTTGTTTATAATGTTGTTCCCTCATCAAAAACATTAACTAAACCAGGTACTAGACCGGGACTAAACCAGGTACTAGACCGGGACTAAACCAGGTACTAGACCGGGACTAAACCAGGTACTAGACTGGACCTAAACTAAGTACTAGACCGGGACAAAACCAGGCTCTAGACTGGGACTAAAGCAGGTACTAGACTGGGACTAAACTCGGTACTAGACCAGGACTAAACCAGGTACCAGACCAGGAATAAACCAGGTACTCTAAGGTACTAGACCGGGATTAAAGCAGATTCTAGACCTGGCCTAAAGCAGGTACTAGACCAGGACTAAACCAGATACTAGACGGGGACTAAAGCAGGTACTAGACCAGGACTAAACCAGATACTAGACCGGGACTAAAGCAGGTACTAGACCAGGACTAAACCAGATACTAGACCGGGACTAAAGCAGGTACTAGACCGGGACTAAACCAGAGACTAGACCAGGACTAAAGCAGGTACTAGACCGGGACTAAACCAGATACTAGACGGGGACTAAACCAGATACTAGACGGGACTAAACAGATACTAGACCGGGACTAAACCAGAGACTAGACCGGGACTAAAGCAGGTACTAGACCGGGACTAAACCAGATACTAGACCGGGACTAAACCAGAGACTAGACCGGGACTAAAGCAGGTACTAGACCGGGACTAAACCAGATACTAGACCGGGACTAAAGCAGAGACTAGACCGGGACTAAAGCAGATACTAGACCAGGACTAATCCAGGTTACATACCACTGTGTCTCCATGGCGACTTCTGAACATTCTGCCATAGCCATACAGGCAGAACACCCCCAGGATGATGTCACAACCAAATATTAATAAAAACAGATGTATGAATAAATGAATGATAGATACAGTTAATTCTTTACTATGGAACATTCCAGACAAAGTGATAACATCTCCATGGAGACAAGTATTACACTCTTCCAAAAAAAAGTCAAACCACTGGAGTAAATTATTGTGAAATTGTCTAAATGTGTAGCCTGTACTTATATGTGATTTTCATTTTTTCAGGATGGGGGCGCTGTTCTTCATCACCACCAATGAGTGTTTCCTCTCAGTGTCTTCAGCAGAGCTCTTGATTGTTGAAAGGAAAACATTTGTGTGAGTAAAGTTAATTAATTTACACTGTCAGTCAATGGTTCAGACACTTTTATGTACTGTATGTTTCTTCTTTATTTTCATGATTATTTGTATTGTAGATTCTCACTGAAGACATCAAAACTGTGAATGGGTGCAGATGAATGTAGTAAACAAAAAATAAAGTCAAAATAATAGAAACCTTTTGCTTTGAACCTTGATTTGCACTTTTGGCATTTCTTGACCTTGAAAACACAGCTGTGAAGTGAAAACCATTTCAGGAGATTTCATCTAGAAGCTCAGTGAGAGAAGGACAAAGGATTGCAGCGCTGTCAACAAAGCAAAGGATAGATACTTACGCAACGTTTCGGCACTAAGCCTTTGTTAGGTAAACACGATGAAGGCCTAGTGCCGAAAACATTGCACTGTTTGTCCAAATAAATCTCACAGTTTGCAAGTAAGACAGTGTGTGGAATTTTTCTCTGTGTTCTTGGGCTGCTCCGTCTCCTCCAACGCACCCATCTCAATTAAGTGATGTGCGAAGCTCTCATTCTTTTATAAGGATTTGAATATAATTTTTTTTTTTAAAGTAAGTAAAATATGTAACCAGTATCATAGCAACCAAAGAGCCAATCAGGAGCAAGGAGGTTGAAAGTAATGCTCCTTACTGCCCACCAGTGTTGGGAAGGTTACTTTTAAAATATATTCCCCTACAGATTACAGATTACATACCACAAAATGTAGTTTGTAATGTAAAATACTAAATTACTTAAAGTGAGTAACGTAATCTGAATACTTTGGATTACTTGATATTGTCATGTTTTTTTAAAACTACATGAATGTATCAACCACATCCTGAAAATTCATGTTTGTTCAGTCTATTTGACCATATAAAAAATATTATTGAAAGAGAAATGATTTTTATATGAGATCACTGCTGCCTTCAGTTATGTCCACCCGACTGTTAAGTGTCATATTGTATTAGTTTAGTCCTGGTTTAGACCTGGTTTAGTCCTGGTTTTAGTCCTGGTTTAGACCTGGTTTAGTCCTGCTTTAGTGCTGGTTTAGACCTTGTTTAGTCCTGCTTTAGTCCTGCTTTAGTCCTGGTTTTAGTCCTGGTGTAGTCCTGATTTAGTCCTGGTTTAGACCTGGTTTTAGTTCTGGTTTTAGTCCTGGTTTAGACCTGGTTTTTGTTCTGGTTTTAGTCCTGGTTTAGTCCTGGTTTAGACCTGCTTTAGTCCTGGTTTTAGTCCTGGTTTAGTCCTGGTTTAGTCCTGGTTTAGACCTGGTTTTAGTTCTGGTTTTAGTTCTGGTTTTAGTCCTGGTTTAGTCCTGGTTTAGACCTGCTTTAGTCCTGGATTAGTTCTGGTTTTAGTCCTGGTTTAGTCCTGGTTTAGTCCTGATTTAGTCCTGGTTTTAGTTCTGGTTTTAGTCCTGGTTTAGACCTGGTTTAGTCTTGGATTAGCCCAAAATGTGAAAACAGGAAAATACCGCCCTGTAATCCATTTATTTCAACAAAGTAACTGTAATCCAATTACCACTCACTGAAACAGTAACTGTAACTGAATACAGTTACTCATAATTTGTACTCTGATTACGTAACTCCAGTATATGTAATCTGTTACTCCCCCAACACTGCTGCCCACACAGCGAGTTTAGTAGAAACTGGGGGCATAGCAACGTTAGTGGGAGGGACCTTGAGGAACAAAGGCGCCTGATTGATTTGTTATTTATGTCAGTGTCTCATTCCAGCCCTGGATTTGCCCATTTAAACAGCTTTGTTTAGTATAAAGGGTTACTAACTTTGTTTAGTGTACTAAACTTTGTTACTAAAGTTTGTTACGAGAATTCATTTAGTATAGAAGGTATAGTAAAGGCCCTTTATTAGCTGTTTACTTGAAAATTACCAACTGATGACATCACAAGTTGGAACAGAGCATTTTGAGCTTTGGAGATGTAGACAGACTAATAACGCAGGATTACTCAAACATTTGTGAATGAAACAAAACACAACTCCAGGTCTGTTTTTGTTCTAGTTAGGGGTGTGCAAAAATATTGAAATATCAATATATCGTATCGTTTAATGTGATGATGCAGTATCGATATTGTGGGCTGCTGTATTGATATATCGCCAAGAGGATTTTTGGGGGGTATATTTTACTAAATGATTTTGTTACAGAGCTGCTGCTTGTTCAGAGGAAGGAAACTCGTTTATGCATCACATTTGACAGCAGCAGTTATGGAGAGACGGGTGACGTTTTTATAGAAAAAGCATAAGAGCCAGAGTCGATGGAGCTGGAAGCGTGCCCTTGCTCACTTCCTGTTTGGATACATTTATTTATACAGTCTATGGCTCTGCTGCGTTCTTTCTGCTGCTGATGTTTTGTCTTCTGTTGTGTCTGTTCACAGGCACGAGTACATTAGCGGATACTACAGAGTCTCAGTCTACTTCCTGTCTAAAGTCTCTGCTGAGTTAATTACTCGACTCACCATTTCTGTCGTCATCAGCTGCATCGTGTACTTCATGATCGGTAAAACCACCTGTAATTGTTTAAATGTAAAATATAGATGATTAAAGTCATACTGTGGGACATTCCAGACAGAGCAGTGACACAGCCATGACCGTTCCATTAATTAAGGTTAATTAGAATAGTCACTAAAGTTACTATAGTTATTATAAAATGATACCAAAGACTAAATATTATAAGACCCATATTATGCAATTTAATACTGATGTTATAATGTTGTTTCCACTTTACAGACAAACCTGGAGTTGTGTTTTGTTTCATTCACACATGTTTAACACATAAATCCTGCATATTTAGGCTGAGTTCTTGTCTCTCTGTTCCATCTTGTGATGTCATGTGGTCATACAGGAAGTGCTCCACTGTGTTTTTAAACTCCACACACCTTCACTAGAATCATTTGGATCATTTGAACCCTGGAATTTCCGTTCTCTATTGAATAAAATGTTTGCAAGAATCCTGGAAGTTGTAGACCGCGCACTAACCAATCAGTGAAGAGCTGTGAAGCCATGACGTCAAACTCAAGCGTCTGTCTGGGTCACTTTTGTGGAACAGCACAACAGTAAACAAAGCCGTCGAGATGGATGTAGACGAAGACAGACATTCTGTGTTGGCAACGATTCCCGAGATCGAGGATTTAAAGTCAGAACAAAGAGAATGTTTGGTGAATTTTAATCAAGGGGAAAGACGTTATTGCCCTTCTTACCCACGGGATTTTGTGCACATTACATATGCCATGACCAAATAGCAGCGATTGAAAAAAGAATAAAGAATAAAAAAAGTACCTGTCTACCATCACACAAACGAATCCTAATTCTGCGAGGTCAGACAGTTTCCACAAAGTGAAACCGGCTGATGAATCAGACTAGAAGGTAGCTGCTTCATGACATCATAAAACATAAAACTGATGAATTTTGTAAATGTACATTTTAGACTCTAGAGAATATTGATGACTATTACATTTTTAGAAGATAATCATGAATTTGAAATGTTGTATTTATGGAAATTTGAATTAATTAATTTGATTGATTGTGGTTATTTTAGGGAGACACTGTTAATGATGAAATGTTTGAATATGTGTGAATGAAACAAAATACAACTCCAGGTATATTTTTTGGGAGGTAATAGCATTCTAACATGGCTAAAATCTCACAGAAGTAATTTTTGCATAACATAGGACCTTTAATTCTTGTGTGTTTTTTGTTCTAGGTTTCAAATCCACAGTTGAGGCGTTCTTCATCTTCACTCTGACGATCATACTCGTGGGCTGCACTGCCTCTGCTTTGGCTCTGGCCATAGCAGCAGGTCAAAGGACAGTGGCTGTGTCAAGTCTCCTCTTAACTCTTATATTTATCTTCATGATGGTAAAGAGTTTAATTTCTGATCTATGTTATAATGTTGTTTCATTGTTGTAAACATAATCTACCTGGAGTTTTGTTTTGCTTCATTCACACAAAACCCTGCACATTTACTAAGAGGCTGAGTTCTTCATGTGGTAATCAGGGTTTCTACATTCATGGAAATCCTGGAAAAGTCATGGAAATTGAAAATGTCATTTCCCAGGCCTGGAAAAGTTGTGGAATTTTGTAAATGAAATGAATGTTTTGGAAAATTCATGGCATTTTACTATCTCTTTCACTCAACTACAGTCTTCTGTTAAGTTATCATTAGGCTGTTAAGATTATTTCTGCAATAATCAGCAATAAAAGAGATGACAATCAATGCACTGACAGCATTTTGAATGTTAAAAAAAACTACAAAACCAAATAAGGGTGTGCAAAAATATTTTAAAAAATATATATATTGTATAGTTTAATGTGATGATACAGTATTGATATCGTGGGCTACTGTATTGATATATCACCAAGAGTATTTTTTTGGTACATTTTATTAAATTATTTTGTTACAGAGCTACAGTTTTGTTGCTCGTTTAGAGGAATGAAACTCGTTTATGTGACACATTTGATATTTTCACTCTTCTGATGCTTAAAATGTTTGTGTTTCATATGAACTTTGCACAAGAAGTGGTTTAACAAAGACTTTTAGTATCACAGCCACAATTTAGCCTTTATTTTTATTGAACCGTATCAAATCGATTTGAAATATATCGCAAAGTACCGCTCACTGTATCGAGATCGTATTGTCAGCTTCTAAATGATACCCAGCCCTATTATCAAACCATAAGGTGAGTGGAAAGGGTTAACATTTCATATTTAGCCCTAAAAGTCTGATTAATTGTACACATGTAGTTGCTCTAAAGTCATGGAAAATTCACTTTAGGTCATGAAAAAGTCATTGCAAAATTTTCAAAATTTTGTCAGTGAAAAAGAGTGGGAACCCTGGGTAATACAGGAAGTGCTCCATTGTGTTGAAAACTCCATGCACCTTCACAGGAATCATTTGGATACTTTCAGCCCTGGAATTGCCAATCTCTACTGAACAAAAGGTAAAAGGAGCTGTCATTGTGAAAACTACCACTTCATGACATCACAAGGTGGAACAGAGCATTTTGAGCTTTGGAAATGTAGACAAACTAATAATGTCTGAATGAAACAAAACACAACTCCGGTCTGTTTGTGATGCAGTAACAGCATTTTAACGTGTAAATTTAGTAATATGTGATTTTTAAAAACAACAGCCTTTGTTTATGTAAAGTGTAATGTTTTTTGTTCATAGATTTTCTCGGGGCTCCTGGTGAATCTCCCGAGCCTGGGCTTCTTGTCATGGCTCCAGTACTTCAGTATTCCTCGCTACGGTCTTGCAGTGAGTGATTAACTTATTTTGTGATGTTTGTGTTGTGTGATTTTCCTTTTGCATCAACATTCTCTGGGTTTGTGATGCTAACCGTAGGCACTGCTCTGTCTGAGGCTCTGATAGACTTTAATCTGACCTTTATTTTAACACAATCTGACCAGAAAGAACTGATTTAGTTGGAACTCTACCTCACATAATATTACAGTTACTGGCTAACATTACCCAACCGTTTTTCATTTAGTCACTGTCCCCTTTTTGTAGAAAATCAAACACCAAACAGGACCATGAACGCTTGCTCCTGAAATTTTGCTCTTTAAATACATTTTGTGCTTTTTTTTTTTGAGTTTTCAGACAATCTTAACATTGACATCTAATTGTTGTTGTAGCGGCATAAATATTATTTTGTGTCCCACTAGTGTGTCCCGCTACTTCGTCTTTTTTTTTTCATTGTCGGAGTAGCAGCACTTTACTATTTTTACAACATTCCGCTTTTCCGACATGAATAATATTAATGTGATGCTATTATACTTGATGCTTGGGCCTTTGCAGAACACTTGATCAGAGAATGCTTTGGCCACATAGGATTTCAGACAGTAGGAAAATGTCCTAACTGAGCCATGGGAAACAGTCATGCATTTTTAAAAAAGAGCATAGGCCAAGGTTCGGGAAAATATCTAATCTAAAACGGAGGCTGCATGGGCGTTTGTGTTTCATTCATTTTGTCATGTAGGCGAACTGCGGAGAACACCATATAGAAAAGTGTCTTAATTAGGGTGACCAAACGTCCATTTTTCCCTGGACATGTCCATTTTTTGCATCCTGTCCTGGGCGTCTGGGTTTGTTTTTTGTTTTTTTAAAGTGATGGAAATGTCTGGGTTTTCATTATCTTTCATTTGGGCCTTTACATTGGGCGTCTCTCGTAGCTCTCTGTGCACTCAGAAGGAGCGAGCAGACACAAACAGTCGGTCAGTCTGCAACATGCCGAAGCGCAAATACACACTCAACAATGACTTGTACAAGAAATTCTCCCGTTTTCCCTCCCGGTCGAGACAAGCGGGAGGCCATGTGCACAGGTTGTGAGGTGAGAGAAGCTCAATGTCGAGGCCCCACCCCCGGTAAGGTGTCAGAGTTTTCACAAACAGAAATATGGTCACCCTAGTCTTAATACCGGCATGTCTAAATAGAGACGTCTCGAAATGAAAGGATGTCAGAATAGCCGGCGGACCCCACTCAGATGTGCATTGTGCCACCGTGGTAACTTCCGAACGTACCGTAAAAGGTATACGCACATCACTGGTGCACGGCTACTACAGTGAACATAGAAGGTGAGACAAAGCCTGGACATTTAACCCTTAGATCAGTGGATTCTAACTTACGAACATTCCGCCATAGATATACATGTAGAACACCACCAACGCGATGTCACTGCGAAGTATCAGTACCTTTGCATAATCTGTTTTTGAGTTTTCTTGCTCTTCTCTGTCAATTATCAGATATTTCTTCTATGTTTAGGCCTTAGAGATCAACGAGTTTGTAGGTTTAAAGTTCTGTGACGAAGATTTGATTAAAACCATGGCGACAACCTGGATGAACAGCACCGCGAGCCAGACTGGTCTGATGTGAGTTTGTTGTGTCTTTAATATTCAATTTTTTCATTTCAAGTAATTTATTAAAGGTCCTATATTACACAAAATTACACAAAATTGACTCTTTTGAGCTTTAAGACATGTTATAATGTTGTTACCTCATCAAAAACAGACCTGGAGTTGGGTTTTGTTTCATTTACACGTTTGAGTAACACTTTTTTATTAGTTTGTCTACATCTCCAAAGCTCAAAATGCTCTGTTCCACTTTGTGATGTCATGAAGCTGTAGTTTTCAAGTAAACAATTCCAGTTTACCTTTGGTTTTAACAGTTCCAGGGTTGAAATGATCCAAATGATTCTAGTGAAGGTGTGTTTTTGATGAGGAAACATCATAATAATTATATAATGATCAGAAAACGGTGTAATATAAGCTCTTTAATTTCCAAAAAAGGTCTTATACACTGTTATATTTGTCAGACTTGATGATAATTCAGTCATGATCTCTTTATTGTTCTGTTGTAGGTGTACGGGGGAGCAGTATCTGGATCACCAGGGTATTGATTACTCTGCCTGGGGCCTGTGGAAGAATCATGTGGCTCTGGTTGTTATGATGACACTGTTTCTCAGTATCGCCTATTTAAAGCTACGTTACATGAAAAAGTTGACTTAAAATTTAAAGGTGCACTATGTAACTTTTTTATTGGGGGTTCATCACATTCATGTCATTGCTCTGCTCAGTGTTCCACAGTGTGACATTAAACTGATCTGCCTTACATTTATTAAATTACAGGTGGTTTTATAGCTCAGAAATAAAGGCACTCTGGCTGAGCAGGGTCGCCTCTCCACAGATCTGACCTGTAACTTCGTATGGTTTGGTCTCCCTGAAGAAAGAAAGGCCTAACGCCATACTGTGAAACATTCCAGACAAAGCATCGACATCTCCATGGACTCAAGGATTCGACGGACCCTCCTCCAGAAAAGTTAAACAATGCACCTTTAAAAAGAAGCTGTTTTTTTTTTTTTTTCAGTGTTTGATTAGTGCTGATTTAATCTTTTTTTTTTCTGTAACTGAGATGACAAGTAATAAATTCTAATTCAAATCCTTTTAAAGAAAATTATTGTATATTATCTTCTCTTCTCTCTAAACATTTATATTTTTAAACCTTTGAAATGGTATAATTTAAAGAGTCCATGCAGCACTATTTTCTTATTATGTTGTTTCCTCATCACAAACAAACATGCCTGAATACGCAGAGTTTGTGTTGATTGAGTGAATGAAACAAAACACATCTCCAGGTAGGTAACTGCATTATAACATGGTTAAAAGTTCACGAGTCAATTTTGTGTAATGCAGGATAAGAACAGACTAAACACATTCAAATAATAGGTATTATTACTTTATTGGTGTAATAGATAAAAACTGCGTTATAAAAAATAAGGCACAATTAAAAAATAAATGCATGGGTTTCCCATGAACACTAGATGCACTCCAAACTGAAGTTTGTTTAATGTTACAATATGTATCAGAAATGCGTAATAAGCTGTAACAGAAGCTTAAGGTGAACAGAAGGTGAGTAAACATGACAAAGTGCCACACTCGTACCTAATGTAAGTTAAAGATCAAACATTAACATTCAGACAAATGGCTTTTGGTGGAACGCTCATAATTATGTGAAGATACTGAAAGCTGCTGAGCACACTCTCTATGACGAAACATTTCTATGGTAAAGATTGCATAGTACCAAATATACAATACCTTCATAATTCAGCATTTACATCCTTCATATTCTCTCTACTTCTCCCAAGAGAGACTTTTCCAAATGCGCTCATAGTGCAGAGCAGTCTGAGGAGAACAGAAGTGTGTTTCTTTCAGTGAGCGCACTGTGCAAAAGGCGGTTTATGTGTCCCTTATTACTTCATACAGGAAAATGTCCAGCTCAGTTTTTCCATGGCAAAGTGATGTTGTTTCCTCCTTCACACGTGCCCACTGCTGAGGGTGCTTTCAGGCCCGTCCGTGGACAGAGAGGACGGGGGGCGTGGCCTTGGACCCACTGGTGTCGCGGCCTGGGCGTGGCTCACCTGTGAGGCCATATCATCAGACTCCCACCGCTCCAGCTCCTCTCGCACCAGCCGCTCCATCTGCTCCCTGTGCCCGTCCGAGTCCCGCCCCAGACGCTCATCCTGCCGCACAACAACACAAGCACTCAGGACTTTCAGGACAAATTCTGTTTCTGCTGCAAATAACTCATTTAACTTAAAGTGGGACTGAACACCTAAACTCCACGTGAAACCATATTTCACAAAGAGCTGCTAAACGGGGCAGTACCTGGAGGACTAAAGGGGAGAGGGAGGAGGAGGGGCGGAGTCTGGAGGAATAGTGTGATTGGTCTATCCACACTTCAAACTCCGCCCTGCAGCCAGCCGTTTGTATAAGAAACACCTGACTGCTGTAATCAGGGCAGTCCTGCGTGATGTCATATAGTACTTGAAACTGGCAGAGGCCACTGGAGCCAGAATCCACCCATTTTTATACATCTTAGACTTGATTGTGCAACTTTTCTTCATTATTGCTTTCTCTGGAATGTTTCACAGTGTGGCTTTAAACAGTTCTGTCTTCATGGAGACCAAACCAAGCTAAGTTACAGGTCAGATCTGTGGATAGGCAACCCCGCTTACCGTTAGAATGCATGTTTTTCTAGGTATTTTTGAGCTATAAAACTACTTGTAATTTAATAAATGTGAGGTAGAGCTGTTTAGTGTCATACTGAGGAACATTCCAGGCAGAATAATGACATAATGACACAAGCAGGTGACGTACCCTAACCAAAAAGTTACACAGTGCACCTATGTGAATAAAAAGCGTTACCTCCATGACTCCGTCCAGCAGTCTGCCGAGCACGTCTCTTCTTTTGAGCTTGGCCCTCTCCATGGTCTCCAGCTTCACAATCACAGCATCAATCTTCGACACGATGCTGCCGATCGAGTGCTCCATCCGGTCCACGCGCCTCACCAGGCTGAGAAACACAAACACACGTTACAATCGTTTTAATTGGACTGGTTAACTTTGTCTGGTTTGGTCTCCATGAAGATAGAAAGGTTTAATGCCATACTGTCAAACATTCCAGACAAACAGACAAATATCTCGATGAGGAAAAACTCTACACCACACATTCATGTAGAGCTCACTTATAATTTACTTAAAGGGCCCATCTCATGCAAAATAACTCTTTTCACACTGTATCTTCTGCACATATACAAGCACAATCTGGGTTTTAGAACATTCATTACACAATAGTTATGAAATCTTACTGATTTCTTGGAGGCAGTCACAGACCAGGAACTATGAAAGACCGACTATTGCTCATCCCCCCGCCCGTCCTGAGAAAGCATAGGCTCCGCACTCCAAACGTGACGTAGGCGACGAGTGAGCCGCCCTTCCTCCACCATCTCAGGGAGGGAGGGGGAGACAGGCGTGCACCGTGATAGTGGTAGGAATAATCTTTTATTCATCACGGTGATACAGCGCGTTCAGCCGCATGTATTGGACCTGGAATTGGACGAGGACTTTCAGGTACAGGAAGCTCAAGCACCGTGTCGACATCAGCTGAACATTACTGATTGGTAAAGTATTAATAAACACTAGTAGATAAACTTATTATATCATGTACACTGGAGTGTAGAACAATGAGCTTATGCTGTCGCTTTTGTTTAGGTGGAGGCGGGGCAGAGGCGGTGGATCGGTGGACATGTGCAGGTACAAAGCGCTTTTTGCTACGTCAAACCCATCACAGGTGTAGCTGCCGTGTCATTGTTGTAGCAGCTTCAGTTCGTTGTCATGTGGGAAGGTGGCAGAAATATTCTGCAATTTGTTTTAAAAATGCCAAATCAATCTTAAAACCACTTCGGTGACATATACAAGGCCCACACATCACTCTTAGAAGGTAGAATGGTCTGAAAAGTTGATTTTGCATGAGATGGGCCCTTTAAACAGAAAGAGCTCCTTACACTTGAAACTCCTCGTAGGACACGCCCCCAGAGCTGCTGCCACGGCGACGAGAGCTGTGACCGCTGTCCTCGTCGTCGTCCTCCTCCGAGTCCTCCTGTGTCCGAGGGAAGCTCCGCCCGGTGCTTGGTCGGCTCATAGAGTTACGCTCCAGATCCAAATCCTCCTAATGTGTGAGAAACAGACACACTCAGCTCTGTGTGTGGGACCATGATGAAATTTGGTGCCACAATTATCACGACCAAAATAAATGTGATTAACGATTATATCAAGATCATTATTTAAGTTCCTGAACATTTAAAAATATTATAGATATGAATAATTATACTTTTAATACTGAATAATGAATAAACTCCATATTTGTAAAACTGTTCTTATAGTCAGTGGTGTAGTGAGGATTTTTAAAGTGGGGGTACTCGATTCGTGATGTCATTGATGTGATGAATCCCACCTACCTACCTTTAAAAAACCCCTCAGTAATCAGTAATATTTGATGTTTTTTTACTCATAATGATGTGGAATCATGTTATTAGCATTAACACCGTTCATAATCACCTACAGAACATCAATCATAGACTATAACGCGTGAACCAGGACTAAACCTGTAATGCGGTTCACCTTTTGAGGTTGTTGATTGGTTAAGGGACTGTAAACCATTGTCAACTGCAGTGTGATTCTGAAGTGCTGTATGTTTGCAAGTTTTCTCCCCGACAAAACCCACAATGTCGACGAAACGTTCTGCACCGACAAAGACTCCTGCAGTTGCACCCAAAAGGCAGAGGAAGATGCAAACCATCGCACAAAAAGTTGGACTTCTATCTTCCTTCAGCGTGTCCAGAAGTTACGCAACTGTAGGGCGCCATTACCAAATAAATTTTGAATCTTCGGTTTGTTACATAAAGAAGGAGGAAAATAAGAAAAGGACGACAGCAGCAATAAGTTTCAAGAAGGATGTAAAAAGGGTTGTAACTGTCCTGTCTGAGAAAAGTGTATAAAGTGTGTGGTGAGGGGTTTTACAGCCTTAAAACAGATGTAATAATTGTAAAAAAATAAAGTTGCGGATTATTTTTAGAACATAACCCCCGCGATAAACGAGGGACCACTGTAGATAAAATTCCCCAGACAATTATTATCAAACCTTTTAATCACGATAAATTATTATTGTTTATTGTCCCATCCCTAATACAGAAGTGGACTAAAGGAGTGTGACGTCGCCCACATCGTTCAGCTCCAGTCAAATGAAGCTCATCGAGGGTAGCAGTTATGGGGCAAATTTGGAGACATTTCCATATTAGGAATAGGAATTGATTTACAGACAAAAAAGTGAAATAAGAACACCAGTGTAGAGTGGATTAATACGAACATTTTAAGACCAAAATGAGCATGACCGAAGCAGTTACGGAGAGAGCGGTGATGTTTTTTCAATACAAAGTGCTCAGCGACTAGCAGTTACCTATGTCTATTTACATATACAGTCTATAATTTGGCCAGAGTGTGAGTGTGTATGACTTTTATCTACTCACTCTCTCTTTCTCCAGATCGTCTTTCATTTGTTGGTGTTCATGCTCCGTCAGCTCCTGGTCGCCATCTTGGTCATATTTGGCAAAGATCGCCTGAATTTCTGCCTCTGTGTGACCTTTTCTGTTAAAAAAAATACATATATAATATTATCTTAGTGGTAATTACTTTTTTTTTCCCAACATGAAAAAATAAAAATAAAAAAACTAACCCCTTAAGATCTTGACGGAGTTCATCCAGACTGAGTTTGCCCCCAGCTTGCCGCAGACTGTCAGAGATATCGTCAACTGTGGTCTTCTTCAGTCTCAGCTTCATCAGAGCTTTGTTACAGCCCTAGAAAAAAGGTGAACAAGTAAAAACTACAGATATACACTACAGGTCAAAGGTTTGGACACACCATCCTGTTCAATGTTTTCTTTATTTATCTTTAGTACTTTCTACATTTTAGATCATCAAATATATGAAGTAAGAAAATCTGTGTATCATTTGTTCATTTGTTTTTCAAAATAAAACAAAAAATAAGAAAATGAAAAAACAACTATTTCCTTCATTATTTGTCTCCAAAAACAAAAAAAAAATGGATCACGATTTGTTTTTTCAGTTTTCGATTTTGTGTTTAAATGAATAATGGAAAAAACGGATAACAGCTGTTTCCTGTTTCCGTGACTTAAACTGTGATGCCGGACTGAACCAGAACTAAAACAAGACTAAACCAGGACTAAACCGTTTTCAGTCCTGATCTGGTCCCAGTCTCAGTCCCAGTCTGGTCCCAGTCTGGCCCTGGCCTCAGTCCTGGTCTGGTCCCCGTCTCAGGCCCGGTTTGGTCATGGTCTCAGTCCCGGTCTCAATCACGCTCTGGTCCTGGTCTGGTCCCGGCCTCGTTCATGGTCGCAGTCTTGGTCTGGTCCCGGTCTTAGTCCTGGTCTCAGTCCTGGTCCTGTTCCCAGTCTCAGTCCTGGTCTCAAGTTCTGGTCTGGTCCCGGTCTAAGTCCTTGGTCTTAGTCCCGGTCTGGTTCCGGTCCTGGTCTCAGACCTGGTTTAGTCCGGGTTCAGTCCGTATGCGGCGTTAAAGTCCAACATCGCAGTTTAAGTCATGGAAACAAGAAACAATCATTATCTGTTTTTTCCATTATTCATTTAAACACAAAATCGAAAACTGAAAAAAACAATTGTTACTAATAATTTTTTCATTTTGGTTTTGGAGACAAAAAAGGAAGAAAACTGTTGTTTTTATCCTTTTTTGGTTTTATTATGAAAAACAAATGAACGAATGATACACGGACTGGAATACAATCACTTTTTTTTAGTTCTTATCTTCGTTTCTTAAAGATGCCAGTTTTGCTTTCGTTTATGGTCGTACAAACTAATAATAATGATAAAGAATGTGTTTAATGTCTTTAGGAGGAGTTAATTACCTTCTTAATGAGATCTGTCATCTCCATCTCAGACCTCTGCTGCGACATGTCCGCCTTCACTTCTGAGTAAGTGTCATTAATGATGGCCAGGAACATATTCTGGAAAAAACAAATCACAGGTGGTTTGTCACAGAGACTTTGAATAAAATAAAATAGATAAATAAATAAATGAATGTGGAATTTCAAAATATCCCTCATCATGACATAAACTGAAAAGCGATATTGTACTCAGCACTTACCAGGAGAATAAAAAAAATAAAAAACACAAAGGTGGTGAAATAGAGCGGTCCAAGCACTGGGTTTGCCTCCTCGATTTCTGAAAAGTCAAAGTCGCCCAGGATAATGCGGAACTGAGTAAAACTGAAAAACAAAAAGAAAAAAAACAACACATTATTGCTATTTTATTAGATACTGCCACGTACACAATGAGTATTGACACTTTGAAAAGACTTCACGTTGGGTGTGTAATGCATATTTTTTGAAGCTAAATAAGTTTTAAAATTCAAGACAAAAATACAAAATGTTAAACAACACATTTTCAGTAGCGATTGAGGGTTCATGATCCTGTTTAGGTGTTTTATTTTTAACAAAAGAGTGAGCGTAACTAAGCAGGTGAACTGATTTGTGCTCTTAAAAAAGTCCTCCTGACACAACATGACGGTCACAAGCAAACGAGCGTTACTCTGTACATTTTAAGTACAATAGCTAAAGTAAAATAGCTATTAAAATCAATAAAAAACAGTCAGAGGACCTCACAGTTCTCAGGCCGTGTTAAAAGCCGGTGAGTAAAAGTGTGTTTTTCAGGGTTCTCACTCTTTTTCACTGACAAAAATTCAAAACTTTTCCATGACTTTTTTATGACCTAAATTGAATTTTCCATGACTTTACAGCACCTACATGTGTAGAATTTATTATACTTTTAGGGCGAAATATGAACTGTTAACCCTTTCCACTCACTTTATGGTTTGGTGTTATAGTTTTTTAACATTCAAAATCCTGTCAGTGCATTTATTGTCGTCTCTTTTAAACAAAAGGCGCAGACGTGCAGAAAAAATCAGTATAGCCTAATGATAACTTAACAGAACACTGCAGTGGTGTGAAAGAGATACTAAAATCCCATGACTTTTCCAAAACTTTCATTGAATTTACAAAATTCCATGACTTTTCCAGGATTTCCATGACCATTGTAACCCTGGTTTTTAAACGAGACTTAAAAGAATCGACTGAAGGGGCGTCTTAATGTGAGGGGGGAAAGCGTTCCAAAGTTTGGGGCTGACCACAGAAAAGGCCCGGTCACCCCAGAGTCACCTCAGGATCGCCCCAGGGTCACCCCGACTTTTGAGTCTCATTTTTGGGACGACAAGTTGGAGCTGGACCTCAGACCTCAGACCTCAGTGGAGGAACAATGAGGTCTGATATGTACCTTAAGGCCAGTCCATGAAGTGCTTTAAAAACAAACAAAATTTTAAAATCAAGTCTAAAATGAACGGGGAGCCAATGCGAAACGGATAAAATAGGTGTAATAAATAAACGTTAGTCACGCTCGTGTTTTTTGCGTAAAATCAAACTCCTAAACAGAGCCATGGACACTCGTATTGATCACAGGCTCCTGAAAATGTGCTGTTTAAATCCATTTTGTATTTTTTTCTTGAGTTTTCAGACCATCTTAAAACTTCTTTGAGCTGTGTTTGCGTCACCATGGTAACTACTGAACACTCCACCCTAGAAACACACGCAGAACACCCCCAGCGTGATCTCGCCGCAAACTATCGGTTGTTTGTGTGCACTGTTCTTACATGCTGTCCTGGAATGTGCTAAAATCGTCGACTTGCGTTCCAAACACCAAGTAGGCCAACTGCGCGTACGCCAGGAAAATGATGAAGAACATGATGGCAAACCCCACCAGGTCTTTAGCGCATCGAGACATAGTGTTGGAGAGCTGGCTCATGGTTTTGTTTATGTTGATGAATTTGAAGAGCTGCGGAGCATACGACAATTTTATAACATTCAAACGCAAAATTTAACATGAAAATCAAAGCGTTTTTTACCTTAACCCAAGAGAAGAACACGATGACAGCAGCCACGTTGTTGTACTGAACCTGCAGGTTTGCCAAGGTCTCGAAACTGGGATGAGCTGTGTGGTTCTCCAGCAAGATCTTCAGAAGGTTTCCCCCCATGGCTGTTCTGGTTATGTTCATGATAATCGCGACAACGCTTAACTAAAACACACAAAAATCGACTCAATAAACTGCCAAGAGCTGTGTTTTAATGGGGACATATCACACTATTTTCTGATCATAATGTTGTTCCCTCATCAAAAACATATCTTTGGTTTTGTTTTGTTTCATTCACACGTTCGAGTAATCCTTTATTATTAGTCTGTCCGTTCCACCTTGTGATGTCATGAAGGGGGGTTACATGCTGCTATTCCGACATGCTGCTATTTAGACACTGACGTCTAATTGTCAAAGCAGTGGCATAAACGTTATTTTTCAAGTGTCCCACTACTTCATCTTTTTTTTTTTTTCATTGTCGGAGTAGCTGCACTTTACTATTTTTTCAAACATTCCACTTTTCCGACAAGAGTAATATTAATGTGAAACCCTATTATATTTGCGATCCCATATATCATAAGATGCTTGGGCTTTGATCTGAGAATACTTCGGCCACATAGAATATTAGACATGAGCATTTTGAGCGACGTGAATACGCGAAATGAGCAGCGTGAATTTGCAAAACTGGCGTTGATGTGCGAATTCCCAAAAAGGAGGGGCTTCCGAAATTCGCCAAAGTTGAAAATTTTGAACTTTTTGCAAATATTCGCGTCATGTCAACCAATCAGGGGCCGTTTTCTGGTGACGTATACTGCTGAGACAGGCGTGAACTTCCATTCAACATGGAGGAGACACTCATTGTTGCCGTGGGAAGCAAGCCGATATTATATGATACCAGCCTGAGCCAACACAGCAAGACCTACACCAGTCTCTGTCCCCCTCTCCTTTATTCTGGTCCCTGTCTGGTCACAGTTTGGTCCTGGTCTGGTCCCAGTCCGGTCAACCCGCTCGATGCAGTCCAAGTCCGCCATTTTTTCCAAATGAAAACAGCAAACACAGAGGACACCACGCAGTCGCAGTTGATTTTTCTGGAGCAAATGCAGCGAATAGAGCGGATTTAACACTTAACTTGCTGTTCCTAGTTAGTTGAAGGGGAATTTACTGAGGTACACTACACTGAGGAATTGCTTGTAGCTCAATTTTAGATTCACAGTCCACTTTAGGCAGATTTTTCAAGGCAATCGGTTTCCTAGATTTTTTTCAAGTAAGGTTTTGAGAAGATAACAACATTATAATATGAATAAAAGCTCACAAGTGTAAATTTAAAGTAATACAGGACCTTTAAAGTGTTCATACTGGTCTCCATGTTGTAATATATGAGCCGCAGTTGATCCTTCTGGAGCGAACACGGCGAATAGAGCGGATTTACTTGCGCAACGAAATTGCCAAACTCTAGGGTCCTGGACGCGTGAATGAAGCGAATGACTCAAAAAAGTGAAGCGGCAAACTAGGGATGCTTGACGCGATTTGTTCACGCAGTCTGTACACCGCTTTAAACATGTGTGAATGAAACAAAACTGAACTCCTGATATGTTTGTAATGAGAAAAAGTATAAAATAGATCAAAACATAGCATAATACTGGCCCTTTAATACAGGAAAGATGTGCGTAAAAAAAGAAGCAGGTTGAGGACTCTCACTAGAAAAGTTACATATTGCATCTTTAAATTGTGCAATAATTTATACAAACCATGACGATGAGGACGTCCAGGCAGTTCCACAGACTTTTGAAGTAATGGAGCCGGTGGATGCGGATCTCCAGAGCTTCCTCCACCACGTAGTAAAGGACGAACAGGCAGAACGCGATCTCACACATGCCCACAAAATAGTCCCAGCTCGTCACGTATCTGATCAAACGCACCGTCTGAAACTGCCAAGAGGTCACGACCCCGCCGGTGGCAGGGAACTCCGCCAACAACCTGATGAAGAAGAAGAAGAAGAAAATGAGATAGTTTAGCATTAGATTAAAGGGCCCATGTTACGCTATTTTCTGATCTATGTTAAAATGTTGTTTTCTTATCAAAAATATACCAGGAGTTTTGTTTCATTCACACATGTTTAACACACAAACCCTGAATATTTAGGCTAAGTTCTTCTCTCAAACTCTCAGCTTGTGATGTCATGTGGTAATACAAGAAGTGCTCCACTGTGTTTTTAAACTCCATACATTCACTAGAATCATTTGAATAATTTCACATCTGGGATTGCCAATCTTTACTGAACAAAAAGTAAAATATAGCTGCTTAATGACATCACAAGGTGGAACAGAGCATTTTGAGCTTTGGAGACGTAGACTTAGGGCTGCTCGATTGTGGAAAAAATCATTATCACGATTATTTTAGTCAATATTGAAATCACGATTATTCAAATGATTATTTTTTAGTTACAGGATGCATTTATTCTTGCATTTCTCTCTCTCAAAAACACTTTGTTATTGATAATTTACGCAAAACTTTAAAACTGAAAATAAATATAAGCTACAAATATGTACCTTAGAGCAGTTTTGCGATGTATAAAACATTAAATGAATAAAATACACTTTGAACATGAAATAAGGCAAAGAAAAAATATAAATGTATAAAAAATAAAGTATATCTCCAGCTGTTCTACAATCTCTATATTAAAAAATAAAATAATTATACTTATGTATATAAAAAAATATCCCAAGAGTAATTTAGAGTAATATAGGATCTTTAAAGCAGACTGGTGTCGATGTTGTAATATGTGATTATTACTTGGGTGTATGGGATAGGACCTGTGGTAAATATGAATCATAGTGCTACTTTGAACTCACCACTATTTCCTGTATTTTTTATTAGCCTATTATATAAAAATACAGATAGCAGCGCTCTCTCTACCCAAGTCATCAACCCAGAAAACAAAACCAAAAATGTACACACAAGGAAGGCATTTATCTGGCATAGAGGTGTCATCTATTTTTATTAGTCTAATCAGGTGGTAAAATGATAAACTTCATCAAAATAAACAAAATATAATGACGCTAAGGATGATTTTCTGGGTTAGATTTTCCATTTGTGTGAGATTCAAATAGTTTTGTTTTCTGTTTTTATTCAGGGCTTGAAAGGACAACACTGTAAGAAATGAGTGAGTATGAGTACTGTATGAAACTACTTTATAATGACATTTAATTTCAGTGTGTGTATGTGTGATATTGACAGCTTTAAGTCACTCCCCCTTCAGAGCGCTATCACAACACAAGCAGCAAATGAAACTACTACACAAATCTGTTATTATGCCGGAGTGTCGATGTAAATGTCTGTGTTGACAGAATAATATTTGAAATAAAACTAACCTTGCATCACATGAATCGTCACATGTTGAGGGACTATTTTCTAAGCAGCAGCGGAATTTTACTTTGCCGGTAAGATAGGTGTTAGGTGATATCAGTCCGCCGCTGCTGAGCTTTTTATCACAAAGTACAACTCACTGCTGCTGCTCAGACATAAATCCTTCAAATGCAATGTTGGATTTACTTCTAAAATTATTCTATCAACACAGACATTTACATTGACAGTCTGGTGTAACAATAGTTTTGTTTTGGGTGTTTTGTGGAGTGGGTAAGACTGTTTTTAGTGGCAGGATAACTATGGCCATTGACATGCACTAACCTAGCACCAGCGACCTCTGCAAATACAAGGACTGGATGGAATATTTAAAAAAGTGTCTCCACACGTCTCCAACACTCTGACTCACTAGGAAATGAGGTCCTACGTCCAAAATTCCGGACTGTCTCTTTAATAAAGCGACTCTGTTTGTGTACAAGTCTCTCCATGGCCAAGCAACAAAGTACATCTCTGACATGTTAGTGTCGTATGAACCATCTCGCACTGGAGGAGCTCAGGGACCAGCCTCCTGCTGGTGCCCAGAGTCAGGACTAAACACGGGAAGTCTGCGTTTTAGATTCATGAAGCTAAAACCTGGAACAGTCTTCCTGAAGATGTGAGACGGGATTCTACTTTTGACTAAATCCAAAAACAGTGCTGCATGTGACTGAAAGATTTTCATTTTTCATTCTGCACTCATTTCTCTAATTTAATGTCTCTCTCTTTTTAATTTTATGATGATTATGTATGTTTTGATTTGTTTTTATTGTGATCTTAATGCATTTCTTATTCTGTAAAGCACTTTGAATTACTTTGTGTACGAACTGTGCAATACAAATAAACTTGCCTTTTCTGAATTGCTCAAACATGCATGGATGACGTCTAAAACCTCTTCAAGCGTGTTTATGATGAAGCAACAACATTATAACATGATATAAATAAAATACAATTAAACATATATTCACAATTTAGCAAAAAAAAACAAACCTTATGATTCTTACCTGATGATGCAGAAGAGGTTGATGTTGCCGTTGTAGACAGAGAAGTCGAGGAATACAGCTCGGGTGCCTCTGTCCAGCCACGAGTTTTGTTTCAGATATAGTAATTGACGCGAGGACTCCCCTTTGGTGCGGGACAGGTCCTGGTAAAATCCTCCACCTCCGTATTTTGAGACTTGACCCCAGTAACTGCTGCTGTTCATGTCACTTTCTGTAGTGTGCACAAATCTGAAACAAAAACAAAACAAAACCTAATTTGAAGACCTGTAGCTGTAGCTGTATTCGACTAAAGAATTTCTAGGTCGACTTCAGACATGTCTTGGGGATCGATTAGTCGTCTTAAAAATATGTAAATAGTTTCTTTAATGTATTTTGTACCTGCCCAAGGACTGCAGGTGGAAAGTAGCTTGTAGTTAAATCTGGCAAAGAGCATCTTTTCTCTCTGCTGATTAATGTTTTCTGTGCACTGTCCTTGTTTAAATAAAATAAATAAATAAAAAAGCTCTCAAAACTATTGTGTATCTCAATGTATCTGATCCAAACTGCACTCACAAGACTACACCTGCATGGAAGTTCAGGCAAAAACAACAATGTATACTAAAAAGTACTAAGAAACAGACTGTATAAAGAAGTGGACTAAGGGAGTGTGACTTCACCCATAGCATTCGGCTCAGTCAAATGAAGCTCACTGAGGCTAACAGTTATTGGGGTGAGTCTGGAACTCGATATCAAGAACAGGAACTGATTTACAGATAAAATCGCAAAGTAAAAGCAACAGGATCATATAAAGCGGGTTAATACAAACATTTTTAGACCAAAATGACAGCAGTAATAAAGAGGGGAGCGACAGTTTTTCAATGTGAAGTCAATTGGAGCCAGAGTCAATGGAGTCAGAAGCGCGCCCATGCTTACTTCCTATTTGGAAAGCGTCGGCTAGCAGATTAGCCATGTCCAGTGTGTGGTTTATAAGTAAAAACACAGATTAAACTCAATTCACTACCAAGTCTTTAACCAACTCACTTCACACCTTCTTTTTTCTGCTGTTGTGTCATAAAAATCCTTATAATCTAAATAAAATGAAGTTAACTACTGTATTTTTTGGACTTTAAGTCACACTTTTTTTCATGGTTTTGGTGGTCCTGTGACTCATACTTGGTGCTACTTATGTATTCAAATTTTGACACTGAGAGCCTCGAGAGGGCGCTCTAGGCTTGTGTGCCAGTATTTGCTACTACCATTACTTCTGAACAACTGTTATTTGGCGCCTTACTGCGCATGTCTCCTGCAGAAAAAGACGCTGTCCTGCTACAAGTAGTGAAATATGCAGCCGAAAATGATAATCGAGCAACAGAAAGAAAGTTTCGAGTGAGCGAGAAACTTGTGAGGGACTGGCAAAAAGCGGGGACGGAGAACACAGCTTCACAGCAACCGGACAGGTGCGCTATGCAACTTTCCTGGAAGTCACTGGATGGATGGACAAAGCCTGAACTTCAGTGAAACTGAAACCATCCTGTCGGGATTCAGAAAGGCCGGAATAATTCTAACTGGAACTGATGCTGAGTCTGACGACAGAAGACACAGAAGAGGAAGCGGCGCTCTGTTTACCTCCAGAGGTTGTGGAGTTGCTCAGAAGTGACACAGAGGATGAAGAATTGAATGGATTTAGTGATTTGGAGTGAGATGGAGAGTTTGGTAAACTTGTTCTGTTCTTTTGTTTATGTTATAGTTATCTGAAGAACTGTTCATATGTGACGTTAACAATCTGTTGTTCTCTGTTCTGTTGTTTTTACTATAACTTGACTTTCAAGATGAAATGTCGGTTTCTGGTCCCTGATTTCATAAAATAAATTTCCTCCAAAAAGTGCGGCTTATATATGTTTTTTTCTTCTTCACTACACACTTTTGGCTGGTGCGACTTATACTCTGGAGCGATTTATAGTCCGAAAAATACAGTAATACAAATTCTGGTCAACTAAAATGACTAAAGACTGACAGCACTTTAAAATTATTACAATATTTTTACTTACGCTGTTCCATTCTTGGGTCCAAATGAAGCTGTGTCCTCATTGCTGATGGTGTACATGTCGTAGCAGTCCTGGACTATGTCTCGGAGGTCCTCGTGAACGGAGCAGGACTCGTTGCGCACTTTGACCTGTCTCAGTCGGGGGACGCCAAGGAGGAGGTTCTCATAGTAAATAAGGCTCTGATTGGTCGACAGGCTTTTGTTATTGTACCACACGTCCCAGTACATGCCGTTTAGAAAGGGTCCTTCTGTGAACTAAAAATGGAGAAAAACAAAGTGGCTTTATACTGTAACTATAATTGAATGTCCTATATTACTCCTTTAAGCCATGTTAGAATGTTTTTAAATAATCAAAAACAGACCTGGAGTTGTGTTTTGTTTCATTCACACATGTTTGAGCAATCTTTTATTATTAGTCTGAGTACATTTCCAAAGCTCAAAATGCTCTGTTCCACCTTGTGATGTCATGAAGTTTTAAAATTATCAGCTTTAGTTCAGTAGAGATTGGTAATTCCAGGTCTGAAATCATCCAAATGAGTCTAATGAAGGTGTATGGAGTTTAAAACACAGTGGAGCACTTCCTGTATTACGACATGATGTCACAAGGTGGAACAGAGTGTTTTTGTTTTGTTTTGAGAAGAAAGCAGCCTAAATATGCAGGATTTGTGTGTTAAAAAATGTGTGAATGAAACAAAATACAATCCCAGATGTTTTTGACGAGGAAACAACATTATAACATAGATCAGAAAATAGCGTAATATGAGCCCTTTCAGTATTTTTATTGTATTATTTATTAAAATTGTGTAGTGTTTTTACCTTCCAGAAATCATCCATGGTGGCAAGATTTCTAAACGTTGCCGGATCTCCAGCAGACAGTGGTGTGTCCAGGAAAAGTTGAGACATGACTTTGGTGTAGTAATACATATTAGCACTGACCATCCCGTATGTCACTGTGGAGGATTTAATCAGAAAATACATTAAATTTTAAAGGTGCAACAGATAATACTCCCAACAACTGTGCAACATCTCGCCCTTATGTGACAGATAATACTCCCTACAACTGTACAGCAACTCACCCTTATGTAGCTGATAATACTCCCTACAACTGTACAGCAACTCACCCATGTGTAACCGATAATACTCCCTACAACTGTGCAACAACCCGCTCTTATGTAACAGATAATACTCCCTACAACTGTGCAACAACCCGCTCTTGTGTAACAGATAATACTCCCTACAACTGTGCGACAACACGCTATTATGTAACAGATAATACTCCCTACAACTGTGCAACAACCCGCTCTTATGTAACAGATAATACTCCCTACAACTGTGCAACAACTCGCTCTTGTGTAACAGATAATACTCCCTACAACTGTGCAACAACTCGCTCTTGTGTAACAGATAATACTCCCTACAACTGTGCAACAGTTGGTAAATGGTCACATTTTTCTATAGCGCTTTTCCACCTTCAAGGCACTTTACAACAAGGAACCACTCACCCATTCACACACACATTCACACACTGTGGGCAAGGTGGGTTAAGTGTCTTGCCCAAGGACACAACGGCAGCATTCATCTGTGGGAGCTGGAATCACACCAGCCAAACCTGTGGGTCAGTGGATCTGACCGCTCAACCTGTGATGTTTATGTCGAGAGCTGGAATCCAACCACCAACCTTCAAATCAGTGGGCGAATGCTCTACCAACTGAGCTACTGCTGCCCATTATGTAATGGATAATATTCCCTACAACTGTACAACAATTCACTCTCATGGGACAGATAATACTCCTTACAACTGTACAACTCACCCTTATGTAACAGATAATGCTCCCTACAACTGTACAACAATTCACTCTCATGGAACAGATAATACTCCCTACAACTGTACAGCAACTCACCTTTATGTAACAGATAATGCTCCCTACAACTGTACAACAATTCACTCTCATGGAACAGATAATACTCCCTACAACTGTACAACAACTCACCTTTATGTAACAGATAATGCTCCCTACAACTGTACAACAATTCACTCTCATGGAACAGATAATACTCCCTACAACTGTACAGCAACTCACCTTTATGTAACAGATAATACTCCCTACAACTGTACAACAACTCAGCCTTATGTAGCAGATAATACTCCCTACAACTGTACAACAATTCACTCTCATGGGACAGATAATACTCCTTACAACTGTACAACTCAGCCTTATGTAACAGATAATGCTCCCTACAACTGTACAACAATTCACTCTCATGGGACAGATAATACTCCTTACAACTGTACAACTCACCCTTATGTAACAGATAATGCTCCCTACAACTGTACAACAATTCACTCTCATGGGACAGATAATACTCCCTACAACTGTACAGCAACTCACCTTTATGTAACAGATAATACTCCCTACAACTGTACAACAACTCAGCCTTATGTAGCAGATAATACTCCCTACAACTGTACAACAATTCACTCTCATGGGACAGATAATACTCCTTACAACTGTACAACAATTCGCTCTTATATAGCAGATAACAGATCACTTTGTGGATCAATAAAGTTTGTCTAAGTCTGAGTCGAGCTTGTGAACAGTGACCTACTCAACTGTGACTAGGTCTGGAAATTACATTTAATAGTTATGCTCTGTTGGCGTACTTAAATTGAGGAGTCTTTACCAGGAAACCGTTTCCTGATCCACCCCAAACCACAATTAGACGCGATTCTTTGCAGCTTAAGGCAAAACTCTGTACCTCTGGCATGTGTTGCTCTGATTTTTATCTTGATTATTACGCGTCTTCTTGTGTTTATAAACATGTCATGAGAGTACATAGTCTGTTAATAGGCCTGTTACAATAACAAATTTTGAAGTCTGATATATTGCTGAAGTAAATATAGATGATAAATGAGAAGACTGTACCATAAACACTATTCTAAATCTTCAATAATGTTAAATAATCCTGGGCTGCACTAGATAAATCACAGACTTAATACTTAAGTGCTTAGTTTGCATCTGTAATGAGTCATAGCAGTTATTAATTTAAGCTTTTACGGTTCAAATCATATAGTACAGCCAAAACATAACAAAAAATTACCAGCTGTGCAAAAAAAAAAAAAAAAAAAGACCACATGATAAATACTGACTCTAAAATCTGTTGATGCGTTTGGAAGTTTACAGGGTTGTTTACTCACAGATACAAAGAGTGATGAGGAATGCAATATATGTGAGCATTTCCCTCAAGATGTTCCACAGATATCTTTCCCTGCTGCTGTCACTGTCCTCCATCAGCTCCGTGCCCCACAAAACTGAAAATGCAAAAAGCAAAAAGGTGAGAGTGGGTCAGTGTTGTAATTGGGCCAGGAGACAGTAAATACTCGCAGGATTACCTCTGATCTTGTGCAGTATGAGCTTCATGCAGCTCGGGTGTCTGTCCTGGTTGTCCACAGTGGGAGTAGGGTACATGGCTCCTCGGGGCATGTGGCCGTTCGCGCCGCCGGTGAAGCTGCCCAGGCCGCTGCTGCAGCTGCTGCTGGAGGCCGTGGAGGCGGATCTGCGCCCGGGGCTCGATGGAGGCCAGTCCGCTTTCATGATCTCATCCTCGGGTTCAAAGCCTGGGTTGTCCCGGCTCCACGCTTGTCTGGACGGAGGTGATGGGGTCCCGATGACTCCCCCGAGCCCCAGGTCTTGATGCTGGATGTTCTCCATCTCTATGCCCTCGTTAGAGTCCAGTTTGTGCGGGGACCTGGCCGCGGGGCTCTGCGCAGGCTGCTGTGGTCTGACTCGGGATGAACTCATAGTCCAAATGATTATTTTAGTTTTACCCAAATACGAACTCTTTAAAGCATTTCCGTTAGTGTTGGACTGGTGGTTTAGTAAAACGTCAACGCAAAAAACTCACAAAAAACTGTTTTCTAAATGCGATGCGCTGCTCCTACATCCAGCAGCAAATCTGAGCCTCAGCAAACTCACAAAGCATCCATAGCGTCCAGAGAAAGTGGCTTTTGTCGCTTGATTCAATCTTAACTAATAAACAATATCAGCACTCGCTAGTTTACATTTTCTAAGCAAAAAGTAAAGTTTAAGTGGTCGGAGAAAGTTAGTCTTCCAGCTGCAGGACAGCCATCTTGTTCTTGAACTGTTCCCCCAAAAGTCCGTGTTTCTTTGAAGGGCTCAGGTTACATCAGGAGTCATGGCGTCGCGGTGAGACTGGAAACATCTATGGAAACTGTGGAGCTAAACCAGAGACTGTCTGAGAGCTAAACCGCTCTAAAGTATTTCCCTTGGATGAATTAAGACCACTTCCAAACACGCGAACGGGTCTTAAAGTTTGGCAAGAAAAAGTTGCCTACATTTTGCAGAGAAAGAATTTGGTCTTGTTTAAGTTAATTTTAGGTTTTCTTGTGTTTAGATCTAGAAATTAATGAATGAATTAATTAGATAACGACATTTCTTGGAGCTAAATGTAAAGAAAACTGAGGTTTCGCAGTTTAAAAAGCCTCGTGTTTTGGTCTGTGGTTACTATGACAACCAGCCAATGATGTCATCAGAGCAGCATAATGCACGAGCCACTTAGACCAGGTCCATGGCCTACATAGAGTTTAGGACTATTCAGCATGAATATAAACACACAGGAACAGTAAAAAGGAAACATTATGACATACAGTTGCCTATTAAACAGTAAGACTTTTCATGTTCCTTTTCCTGTGGCTTTAAAGATAAATCTGTGTCTGTGCCGTAGACAGACTGTGCTCTGTGTGTGTGTGTGTGTGTGTGTGTGTGTGTGTGTGCTCCTGTGACCTAATCCTGTTGAACAGCAGCCTGCCCTCCTGATCCTGAGAGAAGAACAACTTCTCTTTTGCATTGGCTATAGGATCCTGTCTTTACTGCCCTCTCACATGCAAAGACGCCTTTCATCAGGATCTGCACATGTGAGGGTACTTTAAGTTTTATTTTTTTAATGATATCTGCATCAGGAAGCAGGTCTGAGAATGTTGATGCAGGTCATTGGAGTCTGTGGGAGCTTGTTAAGAGCACTGCTCTGTCAATTTGCCAGTCTGCAGAGCATCATTTACCTCTTGGTGCCGGTCCAAGACAATACAGTACCAACATAAACACTCCTCATTTATCCCTGTGTGTAATATGCCTATATAAAGGCATATTTGTCCATGTTTTTGGCAAATGGGCCTGAACATTTAACCTAACCTCTATTGTTTATTATTCTGTCAGTCTTTGCAGCCTTCATTCTCATATAAGGATATAATGGGAGATTTTAGCACCATTGTGCATTTTGTGAGACATGTACCAATAATTTGTTGCGTCTAGTTTTCAGATACTAGAATGTGATTCAAGATGGGGGCAAAAGATGATTTTTCTCTACTTATTACATTACACGTTGCCTAGAGTGACCAGAACTTTAAAATAAATTTGTGAATTAAGTCCCTAATTAAAGAAAATTGTTATGCAGGCACCATTGATGATTAACATATGAACCAGTATAGTCACATTTTCTTTGTGTTTTGGTCGTTTTTGAGCAGCTTTTTTGTATTTTACCTAAACAAATGACAGTTTATTCCTCTCTTTAGTGTTGGCAGGGATCAGATTGGTCAAAATTAGGGACAGCTGAGACAGTTCTTGTACAAAAATAGGACAAATCAGTGGTTTTGGTTACATTTGCCGGGACAGGGGACACAGGACTCAAAACTGGGACTGTCACGGGTAAATAGGGACGTCTGGTCACACTAATATCCAGAAGCAAATTCACAGATGTCAAACCTGATCATTTCTGCAACCAAAATCATGTGTATTTAAACAATATTAATTTTATCTGCCCTCATCTGTATTAAATATTCACCCACAGATACACGAAGGGCTTGCACTGAACATTATATTATTTAGGTTTTTGTTTTTTTTTTTCTCTCTACTTTCTGTGATATTTGTGTTACTTCCACATTTGGATGCAAGGGGGCGGGCTCTGGGTGACGCACTACTTTCTGTGCGCAGTGTTCGCCGCGGATTGGCCCGCGCGCCGTGTAGGGGGTTCCCTGTGTGGATAGCAGGGGTAAAACAATAAGCCGGAGCGACCACACAACCTCCAATCTCTGGTTTACAGCACAGTTATAAAGAGTAGTGTGGAAAATATCACCTTTCGTACCCGGGTTGTATTTAAATTCAGGCAGATCACATCCCAACAGCAGCTATTTATTATAAACTCATCTGTCTACGTAGATAGGTCCTTCACAAGGTAAGTTAAAGTTAGCCTTCCGCTTTAAAGGAGCTAACGGCTAAAAATGAAACGGGATTGTAGCTCTGTGCTAATGTTAGCCGCATTGTCTCATCAAAAACACGACAATTCAGCTGTCAGTGTTAGAAAAGTCACCTTGAGCTGTCATGTTTACATTTACGCTCCTAAACGCTCCATTCGTTTAAATAGTCGCAATCGATACGCCACATTACAGCTCTTTGTTTGGTTTTAGCCGCATAAAACTTAACTCCTGTCACGTATTTGTTTGCAGATCGAGGTGAATGACGTTGCGAAGCCTTTTTCTTAAATTGCGTTGTTTTATTTCACTCAGAGTTTCGTTTTTAATCGACCGAAATGCACTTTGACGCGAGCTGCGACAGTTCATGCCTCTTGTGTTTACACCGCACCACCGCTGAATCAATGAAAAGATTATTTATTCCTCTTAACCGTCACAGGACAGCTATTTCGCCTCACGTTTCGAGCATGTTATTGCCCCGTGCTTTCGTGAACACGGGTCGATTTGGCGCAGAGGAATTGGCGTAGAAAATGACAGCCGGCTTTACTAAAACTACGACGCCACAAGTCGAGCTAAGGTGGCTAACAGTGAGGTTAGCCACAGTGAAAAATGGGCTGTGCTTTCTTGTGTGTCGCGGAAGGAGGCCACACCGGTATATTAAACTAGCTTTGCAATGCCCTCACAACAATACGAGAAGTCAGCAGGGTTTAACTGTACGAACTCGAGCTGTTTTGACCACATACGCTCATGCAAACTGTGAAACTAATGCAATCTATCATGTCATACAGCGCCAATAAACACACTGCTCATGTTGTCCTTATGTTGTTAGCATTAGACAGGCCTTCTAACACACAGGAAGCCTTTTGATACTTCTAAACGCGAACATTATGCCATAAATAACAACGTGTGGTTAACTTTTGTCGTTAATTAGCGTTGTTTCTTGTACTATTTGTTGCTCGGGTTCGTATTGTTTTCGCTTTCCCTTTGTCCTGTGGGATGCATGGCAGGCTGTGGCGTAGTTGAATGATGGCTTGTTGGCTGGACCCCAAACAGGTCTTGTTAGGACACAAAGAAAGTGCTCCGCATCTGGTGTAGAGCACAAGGCCATAGCAATCCATTTAAGTGGTAAATAAGATGTATTTCAGTCATGTTTAACAGATGGATGGTGTGTAGGAGTCTGGTTTGTGTCTACTCTTGGCTTGTAGCAACTGTGCTCATGCCAGATCAACTCAAGCTTTACAAGTGGCCACTTTGGTTCATGTTATGTCATTGTGCCTTTAAAGCCCATATTCTGCTATTTTTGGAGCTGTTATGATGTTGTTTTCTCAACAGAAACGTTCCTGGAGTTGTGTTTCGTTTTATTCACACATGTTCAACGCACAAATTTAGGCTGAGCTCTTCTTCTGAACAGAAAACATACACCTGTACTAGAATAATTCAGGTCATTTCAGCTTTGGAATTGCCAGTCTCTACCAAACTAAAGGTGAACGGTAGCTGTTAACTTGAAAAGTACCACTTCATGAAATCGCAAAGTGGAACTGAATATTTTGAGCTTTGGAGACGTAAACAACCTAATAATAAAGGGTTACTCAAACGTGTGTGGATGAAACAAAAAAACCTTGCGCTGTTACCTCATCCAAAACATTTTCTATCATCACTTAAAGAGTCAATTTTGCATAATATAGCTAATATACCTTTTTTGAACTTCTTTTTACAGTTTGTTTATTTATTTTGTGTTCTATTTACAGCACTTAATATTGTTTACCAAAGAAATGGTGATGGAGAAGCCAAGTCCCCTGCTTGTAGGGCGGGAGTTTGTGAGGCAGTATTACACACTGTTAAACAAGGCGCCTGATTTCCTGCACAGGTAAGAATCATACTCTCATAAATGCAGCACATTTATGATAACATAATGGCTCTGCTGCTCACCGTTATCTGTTATTTCTATCAATTTTTATCTTCCTGTTTAGATTTTATGGACGTAATTCTTCCTATGTTCATGGAGGCCTGGATCCCAGTGGAAAATTGGCTGAAGCAGTTTATGGACAAGCTGTAAGTTTCACACAAAGTTAATTTATTCAGGAAATACACTGTAATTCCAATAGAATAAATAAACACAGATAACCTGCTAGTTGCTGTGTTGCAGTAGGAAGTGAGAAGGGGCATAGACTTCGGCTTCAGTTGACTTTCTATTGAAAAAAAAAATATTGTCCCTCTCTCTGTAACTCAGTTTAGTCTTAAAATGTTCGTATTAAGTCCAGTAAGCTTCATTTGACTGGACTTGAACGCAATGGTTGACACACACTCCCTTAGTCCACTGCTTTATACAGTCTATGATGGCAACAAACAATAATTTTCTGTTTTTCACTGTAGGAAATCCACAAGAAGGTGATGTCCCTGCAGTTCAGTGAATGCCACACAAAAATCAGGCATGTGGACGCTCACGCCACTCTGAGCGATGGCGTCGTGGTGCAGGTGCTCGGGGAGCTGTCCAACAACGGTCAGCCCATGAGGAAGTTCATGCAGACGTTTGTCCTGGCTCCAGAGGTGAGGGATGTCAACGTAACGTGCCGCATAAGTCTATTTATAAATCTTTATGATTTTATAATCCAGTCAAAGGAAAGGTCAGTTCTGTTGCTACTTTACAGTGACTTCACGCTGGGGGTGTTCTACATTTATCTTTAATGGTGGAATGACTAGGAGTTACCATAGTGACACGATACACACATTGCAAACATTGTTAAAAAAGTAAAAAAAATTATGTGTAAACTGAAGAAAATGCAAAATTGTTTTAAGATGTGTGTAAAATCCCTCAGTCGTCCAGCTAGAATCTAGGGCAAAAGGAGAAATTCAATAGATCAAAATGGATTTAAACACATTTTCAGGAGCCTGTGGTCAGTCGTTACATTTAGGTGGTTCCAACAAAATGTGAGAGTGACTAACTGAAAAACTGTTGGCTGAGGTTTGCCAGCTTGTGACAAATTTTTATTTTATGCGTGAGAGACTTGTTTGAGTGCACAGATCAGTTCAGCTGCTGTAGTTCCAGCCAAGTCAGTTCTTTATGGTCAGATTATGTTAAAATAAAGCGCAGTGCCCCAGAGAATGTTAATGATGTCAGCTGCCAAGTATATAACGTTGTGTTTTATTCCACAAAATAAAGTTTATAGTTGTACGAAGTTAGTAATGCTGTGTTTTTCTTTAAGGGTTCGGTGGCAAACAAGTTCTACGTCCACAATGACATTTTCCGGTATGAGGATGAAGTGTTTGGAGACTCCGAGGCTGAGCTTGATGAAGGTATGGATCTGCTTTCATTTTTATGACACGGTGAAAACAACACATACAAGTATTTTTAACAAATATTTTTCACTTGTGTTCATTAGAATCTGAGGAGGAGGTTGAAGAGGAGCCGGAGGAGAGACAGCCTTCCCCTGAGCCCCTTCAGGAGAGTCCAAACAGCAGCACCTACTATGAACCTCACCCCGTCACGTAAGCAGAAAACACCTTCAGCTTGGAGGGTCTGCGACTTGCTTTTCTTCATGGAAATGTTATTGCTTTGTCTAGAACAGGGTCTCCAACATTTTTCCTCCTGTGAGCTACTTTTTGCAAAATAAAAATGCCAGAGAGCTACTAATTTTAGCAGTCGTCAGAAATTTAGTAGAGATAAGAGCCATAACAAGCCGTCGATGAGGTACAGTTAGATTCCAATAAAACATAACCTGATCCAGTTATCAGTGCATAAAATTAGGCATCAAAATGATACATTCACAATGGAAATAGGTATTTAATTAATCAAATTTGAGTTATTCAGAGCAATGGTATAATTCAGAAATCCCTTGGTGAGCTACTTGGAATAGGGTGCAGAGCTATTGGTTGCTCCTGAGCTACAGGTTGGAGATTCCTGCTCTAGAATGTTCTACAGTATGGCATTAAACTTTACCTATTTCCATGGAGACGAGCCCACAATGCCTCCGGACGAAATTACAGGTCAGATATCTAAACGCCAGGCTCTCAGGAAGCTAGCAATATGCATCTCCCCAAAGAAAACTTGGTCTTTTCCATTTATTATTATTTATTTATATGCTTGAGAGTGAGAAACACAATTTTGATTCTACGGATCTTTCGTATGAAGAATTGACAATAAACTTTTGTGAATTTTGAATTGAATTTTGAGAACTTTGGAGAGATGCACTCACTCACTGTATCTTTGAGCAGTAAAACAAGTCTAAGTGAATAAATGCAACGTAGATCACTTTAATAATGTCATACTGTGAAACCTTTCGGGCAAAGCAATAATATCTCCATGGAAACAAGTTAGTGGCAGACCCTCTTCCAGAAAAGTTAAAGTTCACCTTTTAAAGTTTGTATAAATATGACCTATTGATCCACAAGGAAATTATTTACCATATCAACTTTACTTATAGGAAACTTCAAAAACTTTACAGCTGGCCAAAGTGCTGTATAGAAAGACAGGATAGACAAGGACAATCACAGTCAAAGTCACAATACAACGACTGAAAAACGCAAAACGATAAGATAACTCCACAACAAGAAATGTGCGTCTCACTCGTTAAAAGAAAGTGAAAACAGGTGCGTTTTTAGGAGTGATTTAAAAACGGGTACGGACTCCGTACTGATCTAGCTACTGTGTATTATCCTCTGGAGGTCTGGAAGTGCTCCTTTTGAAACTTTTTTTATACAGACTCCACGTGTCTAATCTCTAATGGCAACTGGGGCAGCAACAAAAACGCACAGTCCCCATGAAGCTCAGGTTTAGTCTTTGGACCGGCGAGCTGGAGCTGGTCTTGTGACCTGAGAGTGCGGGAGGGGGCGTAAGGGTGGATCAGGTCAGCGAGGCCGTGCAAACACTTAAAAGTAAATAAAAGAATTTTGAATTCGACTGTAAAACACACTGGGAACCGTGGAGAGAGGCTAAAATAGGTGGGATACTCTTGTGTTGTTTTTTTGTTTTTTTCATTAAAGACAACAGAATATAACATTTAACAAAATACAATAATCAACATAAAAACAAAACACAAAAACATAGAGCAACACCAAAAATGATGCTCTCGTGTTTCTGGGTTCCAGATAAAAGTCGAGCCTCTGAGTTTTGGACCCTTTGCAAACAGCAAAGTGCATTTTGGCTGACCACAACATAAAGTTCATTACAATAATCCAATCTGGTCACAAATGCATGTATGACAGCTTTGAAATGTTCTGCTGACAAAATGGGCTTAATTTTGTCCAGTTGTCTTAGGTGGAAAAACTAGAAATTAGATTTGGAACTAGCTATTTGGACACAGAAGCTCACACAACACAATAAATATAATAACAAAGAGCAAAAAAAAAGTTATAATACATTCAAAATATGTAAGAATGTATGAATGAACTGTATGGATGATGACTGGAGTGAGTTTAATGCTGTTAGGAACATGAATTAATTGTATTTATTATTTAAGTGTTTAGTGTTATGAAAGCTAAGTATAAAGTCTAACATTTGACTAGCTACCCCTTTGTGGAGGCTAACTGGGTTCCAAATAAATAAATAAGGCATAATTATATAAATGTTTATGTACAAGTAAGATACAAATCTAGAAATATAGTAATACTTGGTTTCTTCTGTGTATTCCATGTTGAACTCACATTTATTTTGCATCTGCAGTAATGGTGTGGAGGAGCCCATGGAAGAGCCAACAGCAGAACCTGAGCCAGAGCCCGAACCAGAGCCCAAAGCTGAAGAAACGAAAGTTGAAACCGACGAGAAGGTTTTGGATGAGCTGGAAGAGAAGGCTCCATCACCAGCCCCCGTGGAGTCTCCCCCACACACCCAGGAACCACCCAAAGTAAGACCTCTTATCCTTTAATATACATGTATGAAAACAGGAATAACAACTTTCAGGCCTTAATATTTATTGTGTTGCAAAGAAAAAATTAAATTCTGGGTAACACTTTATAATAACTACACCTTATTTAGCCTTAATTAATAATGAACAAGACTTAATTAATAATGATTCACACTTAGTAACTACTTAATTACTACCTTAATTAGCACTTGCACTTAATTTGCCTGTGCTGTACATAGTTACTCATAATTATTTCATACTTAATTACTCATGGACTAACCATTTGAGCATTTATTAATGATTAGTAAGCTATGAGAGAATGATTTACTAATAATGCAATGCAATGATCATTCAGGCAGCTGTTATCTGTTAGTTAAGTCTTTTTGAGAGCTTTTCTAAAGTGAAGACTAATTATGCTTTATTAAGCATTTACTAAGCATGAATCATTATTAAGTCTTTGTTCATTATTAATTAAGTCTTTGTTCATGCTTTATTAAGGCTAAATAATGTGTAGTCATTATAAAGTGTTACCGAATTCTGTCAAATGGACAAAGATTTTTTTTAGAGTGAAACCATTTTGCAGCTCATCGGACAACTTCTTCAGTTCTGGTCACACTGAAACTGAAATTAACACACCTACTTGTTTACCCTTTCTGTCTATTAGTGCAATTCAATAGACCTTTCTAAATGCTGTCTGTGCCTGAGTTTTATTGACTGAATCGTTCAGGTGTTGATGGGTCCTTTCACGCCTCTGAGCATTCAAGAATCAAGATATCACTTTTGTTTTCCCTGTTGTAATTTAGGTCTGAGGAAAGAGTTGTAAATAGGAGATAAATGACGTCTAAGCCCCCCATTCCTGAAGAAACAGCTTGGATGAGCTAAGAAACATCTTCACTCAAATAATTTTGTCCAGTTGACAGAATTGAGTTTTTTCTTTTTCTATGAATCCTACCTGTTGATGGGCATATTTATCATGTGTAGAATTTTTTTTTTTTTGCTATAGTGCGGAGACTATTACTATGAGTTTTGAGAAGAAGTAGCTCTGGCCTTTTTTTTTAATGATGCTGTATTATATTTTAAATGGGTTTACTGGGATTGTCCTGCTTTGTGTCAGTGCCATAAAGTACTTTCAGTATTACAGAGAAATATTGCAATGAGCAATAACAATATATCGTGCTTCAAAATGACAGACCTATCTCTATATTCATCTCCATACGCCTCACTGCTCTGTAAAATCTTCACTTTCAGAGTACACTGTGTTCATTTAAGATGTCTCATACATGATTCTTGTACATGTTCTAGGCTTTCTCCTGGGCTTCAGTTACCAGTAAGAACTTGCCTCCCACCGGACCCGTCACCACCCCTGGAATCTCCCCACATGTCGTTAAAGCTCCGAGCTCACAGGTAAAAATATAACTTTGCCTATAAAATGCCCGTTTGACCATATAATGCATGAATGAATTAAGCTTTATTTTCTTTTCCCACGTAGCCACGACTTGAAGCCAAACAGGAGAGCCAGTCTGCCCCTCTTCGGCCGAGAGACCAGCGCACCCGCGACAGACCAACCTTCACTTCTCGTGGTCCCAGGCCAGGTAACGCAGCAAACGAGATCATATTAACAGACACTTGATATGTTGATAGAATGTTGTTACGCTCTTAAAAACAAACCTGGAGTTGTTTTGTTTGATTCACACACATTTGAGTAACTCTTTTAGTTTGTCTGCATCTCCAAAGCTCAAAATGCTCTGTTCCAGCTTACAGTGTTGGGGAGTAACAGATTACATGTATCGGAGTTACGTAATCAGAGTACTAATAATGAATAACTGTATTCAGTTACAGTTACTGTTTCAGTCAATGGTAATTGGATTACAGTTACTTTGTTGAAATAAATGGATTACACGGTGATATTTTCCTGTTTTCACATTTTTGGCTATATCCCTTTTTTTTTTTTTTTTTTTTTCCCTTCTTTTTTCTCGGTAATTCCACTCATCCTCTAGATCTAAACCAGGACTAAACCCAGGACTAAACCCAGGACTAAACCCAGGACTAAACCCAGGACTAAACCCAGGACTAAACCCAGGACTAAACCCAGGACTAAACCCAGGACTAAACCCAGGACTAAACCCAGGACTAAACCCAGGACTAAATCATGCTGCATGGACCGTGTCTCCTCGTCTTCTATGAATAATATTTTTAATTTGGTTCAGTAAAGTCTGGGCTTTTTATTGTCTTTTAGCAGACAAAACATCTTATGTTACGATATCCTGGTCTTTTCTTCTCTACAGCAAACCAAGTAATCCAAAGTATTCAGATTACGTTACTTACTTTAATGTAATCTGTAATCTGTAGGGGAATACATTTTAAAAGTAACCTTCCCAACACTGTCACTTTATGATGTTCAATAGTGGTAGTTTTCAGCCACTTTTTTGCCTTGGTTCTCCAGAGATTGGCAAAACCATGGCTGAAATTATCCAAATGATTCTAGTGAAGGTGTATGGAGTTTAAAAACACAAGACATCACAAGGTGGAAGCGAGCGTTTTCTGTTTGAGAGAAAAACTCAGGGTGCAGGGTTTGTTTTTGATGAGGAACAACATTAAAACAGAGATCAGGAAATGGCACAATATGGGCCGTTTTAATAATACTTTCTAAATCTCACTTTCAGATGGTGTTGCATCGTCTGACTCTCAACCAGGAAAACCACATTTGAGTTTTGTAAACAAAGGTAGACACTTTTACTTGATGTGTCATTCTTTGTTTATTTCTAACGCCTGTGTGTTGTACTAAAGTGTGTTCTGCTGTACAGGTGGGCGAGGAGAGGAAGCTGGAGACATGGACAGCAGACGAATGGTGCGATACCCCGACAGTCACCAGCTTTTTGTTGGAAATCTCCCACACGACATCGATGAAAGTGAACTGAAGGACTTTTTCATGAGTAAGTTCTCACCAAAGCTGTTTAATGAGGAATGGGTCTTGTTAAAGGTGCACTATGTAACTTTTTGGTTGGGGGCCCTGTCACCTGCTTGTTTCGAGATGTCATTGCTCTGCCTAGAATGTTCCACAGTGTGACATTAAACATCTCAGCCTTACATTTATTCAATTACAGGTGGTTTTATTGCTCAAAAATACCTAGAAAAACAGGGATTCTGACCGTCGCCTCTCGACAGATCTGACCTGTAACTTTGTCTAGTTTAGTCCCAGTGAAGATAGAAAGGTTTAATGCCATACTGTGAAACATTCCAGCAACAACATCTCCATTGAGACAAGAATTTGAAAAAGAAAAAGTTACATAGTGCTCCTTTAAAGCATCACTTGTACTTCTGCTTGTAGATTTTGGAACAGTACTCTTATTGGTACAAAAAATTGAAGTAAAAAACTAAACTTTTTTTTTTTCAAAGATTTTATTATTAGGCTACTTATTTTGTTGTCCCTCAAATGTCCTGTTGAATGAACCCAACTGATAATAGGCAGTACTTTTTGCAGCAAATTTAAGTACTTCTACCTCAATACCATCTTGCTGCATTGTGACAGAGCCCTCAAATCTGTGTTTTAAGACTTGCTTTTTTAAGCTACAGTGTAAGGCTGTGCAATTAATAAAATTTTTATAGCAATTTTGATTAGTGTGTGAAACATTCTCCAAACTCATATAATCGAGTTGAAATGATTTAAGCTTAACAAAGTTAATTTTTTATTAAAAAAAATAAATAAATAAAATTATTTATTAAAAAAAAAAGATTATTGAAAGTATAATAATTTTATTTTTTAAATATGGAGAAGAGCTGTATATATAGTTTATTTTGGAGACATTTATGTTTTTCTATGCCTGATTTCATTTTCAAAGTAAATTTTATTCATTTTATGTTTTATACATTGTAAAACTGTTCTAAGGTACATATTTTTAGCTATATTTATTTTTAATTTGAAAGTTTTTAGTAATTTATCTATAACAAAGTGTTTCTTTTGAGAGAGAGAAATGCTGAATAAATGCATTGTGTAACTAAAAAATAATAATTGTTTGAATAGTCGTAATTTCAATGTAGTGACCACCTTCTACTTCAAATATCTTTCTGTATATGTATAAGTTTGGAGACCCCTCATTTTGGATATAGAAGAAGCATATTTTATTTCATTTTGCTGCATGTTGGGCCATTTACACAATTTGCTTCTGTCCACACGCACCTGTAGACAGAGACTGAAAATACGGCTGACATGCCGCGTGCAGAGAGTGGGCTGGAGTCTAATGCCCTGGTGGCCCTATTATGTGACACTAGTGCAGTTTAGCCATATTCATAACCATATAAAAGATAATAAAGACTGTTTTTTTTGTTTTTGTTTTTTGAATTCTAATATATGACCGTCTTTTGCAGCATTTGGAAATGTCGTGGAACTGCGGATCAACACGAAGGGCGTGGGTGGAAAACTGCCCAACTTTGGATTTGTGGTTTTCGACGACTCTGAACCGGTGCAAAGAATCCTGGGGGCCAAGGTAGACGGGGCATGTATAAACATTTCATTATCCATTTCACTCATCTGGTGGTGGCTGTGTGCTTCATCTGTCCATCCATCCTTCACCCTTTAACATTTTAATGGATAAATTTAGATTTACTTTTAAAGAGTAGATCAATAAAACCAAGATGGAAAAAATATGTATCTGTACCACAGACTTGCCAGACTTAGATCTTTTTGTTCAGCATTTAATTTTTCATTGACCCTTTACCAAACACATCGATGTAAAGTTAAAGACATTTTTAGGTTTATTCCATTTCATTAAACAAAAATGATGCATGTAACATCATAAAGACCTGCACTAGCGCATTGCTTTTTTTCTTCTCACAAAAGCTTTATTTTCCACTCTATCTTCCTCATCTCTTTTTATTCTTTGGACTAACGTGGCCTTGTTCTTGTTGCAGCCCATCATGTTCCGTGGCGAGGTGCGTCTGAATGTGGAGGAGAAGAAGACGAGGGCGGTGCGTGAGCGTGAGACGCGCGGCGGTGACGACCGGAGGGACATGCGGCGCAGTGAGCGTGGGCCTGGCGCTGCCCGGGGCGTGGCGGGCAGCGGGATGATGAGGGAGCGTGAGGGCAGGGGGCAGGCTCCTCGAGGAGGCCTGGCTCCTAAACCCGGCATGGGCTCTGGCCGAGGCTCCGGGGGGCAGGGCGACGGGCGCTTTGCCACCCAGCGGCGTTAGGAACGGCGCCACCTGCAGTGCGGATGTAGTACCGTGTTCTTCATCCTCAGTCGTTCTCAATAACGAAAAGAAATCTTCATGTACAAACGTATATTTGTTTCTGTTTTTTGTTTACGTTTTTGTTCCCTCCTTGCTTTGGAATGTGACTGTCCACTATTGTTTGTCAAATAGACGAAACAAAATAAGCAAACACATTTTTTGCTTTAGTTGTGAGCTGAGCATCCTTTTCAGGTATCTCAAGAATTTCACAGACTTTTAATTTGTAAATTTGTGAACAAGGCAAACCAACCAGGAGTAATCTGCCACATTAGAAGGGACTGATAAAACTCGTTTGAAACTTGTCTGATAATTCAGCCCATCATTTGGATCAGAGATTATATGCCTATGTCTAACTGGGGCGCTGCTTCACAAAATCCCACTATTGCACATTTTCTATGGTAGTTTTCCGGCCTCTGTCGGAAAAAAGAACGAGATGCAAAAATTGTGCAGATCCGGGGAAAATCTTGCCTTTTACATTTTTCCTTATGAGAGACCACTGCTTGAAATTTGCATAAGGCACTCATCAATATGCACTAATGGGTACTTTTTGTCGTATTACATTGAAATCCATGTTTGGAACGCAGCTGGAGGGACGCAGTCGTCTCTAAACTCACGACTCATTGGGGCAGGCCTCATTCACAGCCTGTCTGCTGTGACAATGTACTTTTCACTCTTTGACCCAAAAGTACTCTACAATTTCTGCTGGATGGACAAGATCACAAGCAAATTAACATCATATTTTTTCCTCGTTTATACCTGAATAAAAGCCCAGATTCTGGACTTTCACCAAATGTTTGAGGAATGAACTGTGTAGAAACAAAAGTGTACAATTACAAGTAGTGGTAAGGACCGTGGCTTTTTGAGTTTTTTTTCCCAAAATTTCTTTTTTCCTGACCAGCTAGAAAGCAAAATGGACGATTGGACGGACAGCGGCCTCTTCCCTCTCGTCATTCCTCCATCAAGTGCAGAGAAAAAGAATAAATGTACAGTAACAAATTCATAGTTTACGCTTTTGATTTGTTTGTAAATTTTACATTTGTCAACTTGATAAAAGCATGATGGTGCCTTCTATTCACCCTTTTGAGTCTACAGCTCTGCAGCTCTGGGCTCGCCTCCTAATATTGAACTATAACTTACTGGGAGCAGATGGAATAATCCTCAGTATTCACAAGATAGAAATTCTTTCTTTTCAGGTGCATATTTCATGTTTCATACTGTTTTACTACCTAAGAGAATCTGCTGTGATTTTTGTACATTTGTTTTGTATGGTGCGTGTCTGTTCTGGGTTTTGTAGACACTATAGGTGCCTCGCGTTCTGTTAAATGGTTACGAGGGTTCAGAATTAATCACAAAAAGGTACATTAAAGACCGTGACTTTCAATCGCTTGGTCCTTGGTTTGACACACAGCCGTGCTCAGTTAATCTGGATGCAAAAACTCAAAAAAAAAAAAAAAAAAAAAACGCTTTACGCTGCGACGTTCTTGATCTTAACCATGCTTTACTCATTCTATTGCAGTTCTTAAAGACGCACCGTGTAACTTTTCTGGTGGAAGGTCTGCCTGTTGCTACCTGCTTGTCTCCATGGAGATGTTGTTGCTTGGCCTGGAATGTCCCAGTGTGGCATTAAACATAATATCCAGCTTGCATTTACTCAGTAACATGGGTTGTTGTTGTTGACTTGCATTCTTGCTGTGAGTGTGGCGTCGCCTGCCGTCTCCATAGAGATAAATAAGTGTAATGACATACTGTGGAACATTCTAGGCCACATCACCATTAGGGCTGGTAGGAATGTAACAATAACTGAAGTATCGTGATATCGTATCGTCAGAGTTCTCATAGTAATATTGTGGGCCATCACAATATATTGAATTACAAGCCTTTTTGCTTAAATTAAGTTATGGTAAAGACAAAGGGAACTACATAGACCATGATCCTTTGCTCCATTTCAGTGTAGACTACAAGAAGAAATAACAGTTCTAAGCACTTTTAAGTCTTGTCAAGGCATTTTAAGAAGAAAAAGTAGCATAATAACAGTTTTGTTAGCCTCCAAAAAATACCACAAATAGCCTACCGTGAGATGTATATTGTAAAAATATTGCGTAAATATCATAAGAGATTTGGATATTGTAACATCTCTAATTGTGAGCTTTCCCACGATATCGCAACAAATATCGTACCGTGAGGTTCATACCGTGACGATATCGTATCATGAGACTTGGATATCGTTACATCTCTAAGGGCTGGGTATCTTTAAGAAGTCACCGATACGATACATACCTCGATACATAGGCTGCAATATGACACGCACTTACGATTCAATATGATATATTTCAAATCGATTTGATACGAAATAAAGGCTAAATCATGGCTGTGATACTAAAAGTCTTTGTTAAAGCACTAATATAATATGAAACACACCCATTTTAATCCTCAAAACAGTGAATATATTTCCTTCCACTAAACAAGCAACAAAACTGTTTCACTGTAACAAAATAATTTAGTAAAATATACCAAAAAAATACTCTTGGCGATATATCGATACAGCAGCCCACGATATCAATCCTGCATCATCACATTAAACGATACGATATAGTGATATTTCAATATTTTTGCACACCCCTAATCACCATGGAGAGAGGCAGGTGACGGACCCTCTGCCAGAAAAATTGCACAGTGCACCTTTAGTTAAAACGATCCCAGGATGTAAACTGCCCACGTTTGTAAGACATGGACCTAACCAATGTCCCAGCTGCAGAAGGCAATTAATTTTGTAATGGTTAATGAATCTGTATTTTCATATATGCTGTTCATTGTGCTATGTTTTGTTTATTTCCACTATTTTAGGCAAGTTTAATTTGTTTGCCAAAGTATAAGTCCACTGACGTTTACCACTTGGTAGGGAGGGAAGACCTCAGTCTCAGCTGGAAAGGAAAAAAGAAAAGCTTTGTCGTCTTGCACTGAAATGGTTTTGTGGATGTAGCATTTTTTTCTGGACAAATACACTCATGAGGTCTTCCTTGTCTGGTGGTGTTGCACTATTACCAACTGGGACAATCTTTTCTGTTTTTGAGACTTTCCAAAAAAAAAAACAAAAAAAAAAAGAACAACTCAAACGTTATAATTTGGTCTTGGCATATACGAATAGAGATTTGCTCCGTCTAGCAGTGTCACAGTTGTACGCACAGCTCTTGTTATCGAGAAATATTTTTTGAATGAATTTCGATTTGAAATTTACTACTGTATAATAGGACTGTTGCCTCAAATACTGAAAGCCTTTGCTCCTTGAATCCTGAAAGGAAAATGCCCTTTACCCTATTTGTATTTTCAGTGGGCACTTGGAGTCCTACTTTAAACAGTAATTACAGTGAAAAGTGCGGTGAAGAAGAGCCATCATGCTTAATCTGTGCTTTACATTGTACTAGTGGTAAAAAAAAAAAAAATATTTGAGCATATATAGTTTATTTTTCATATTATAAAAATGTGATTAACCAACCATCTTCTTTAAAAGCTCAAAACAAGTTATGTTCTCATGTTGAAAATGCAGTAATAAAAGTCCTCATTGTGAATCATTCCAGCCCTTTAGTATAGAACAAAGTACCTTGAAAGCGGGTTCATTAACAGTTGGCAGCCATTTTAAGGAACTGTGTTTGTTTACCCTTTACTTGTTGCTCGTGTGTAAACATGCAGGTGGAGAATTATTATTTTTATGTTGAGTTTAATTTTGATTTTCTTTTTTTTTTTCCATTTTGAATGTTTTGGACTTAACATACAATAAACTACTGATCATCACCTCTTATACCACTTGTCATGTTTAAAGGGAGTTAAAATAAGATAGCGTAATGTTCACCAGTTACCGTGGAGACACAATTTACCAGGGATGTAACAATATCCAAATCTCTCAGTACGATATTATCACAATATTCCTCTCACGGTACGATATTTATTGCGATATTTTGCTTTTAAAATGCCTTGACAAGATTTTGTTGCAAATTATTACTGTCAGAATCCCAAGAATTCAAGTAAACCATATTTCTACATGTTTTCTGCGCTGAAATGAATCATGGGATATGTAGTTCCCAATGTTTATTAGCTGTTCCTACTAAAGAACAATGCATATAAGCAAAAATTCTATATATTGTGACAGTTCTCGATATTATTGTGAGACTTCTGACGATACGATATCACGATATTTCGGTTATTGTTACATCCCTACAATTTACACATTATCAAACTCAAGAAAAAACACAAAATGGATATAAACGACACATTTTCAGGAGCCTGTGGAGCGTTCATGGTTCTGGTTTGAGGTTTGATTTTCAACAAAATGCTGAGATTGACTGAAAACCTGTTGACTACAATGACCAGACATTTACCAGATTTACCCGGGACAGTCCCAGTTTTGAGTCCTGTGTCCCCTGTCTCAACAGATTTATATAAAACCAGTGATTTATCGCAGTTTTATACAAGAAATGTCCCTATTTTGGAGTAGGGTCTAGGGCAGGGGTGGGCAAACTTTTTGACTCGAGGGCCACAAAGGGTTTTAAAATTTGAAGGAAGGGCTGGACCAGGAGCAGATGGATGGAGGTTTTTGGTAATCCAACTCATAAGAGAAAAAAATAACACGGGACATGTAGAAAATATATCCCATGTTATTGAAATATCCCATAATTGAAAATCATTACAAAGCATTACAACAAAATATCTGTCTTTCAGGTTCCACGATATTTACTATTTATTTAAATGACTTTGAAAAACATTGAATATTATCAAGTTCGGGGAGCCGGTTTAAGAAGCCCTGAGGCCGCAGTTTGCCCACACCTGGTCTAGGGGAAGAAACGCCCGTTTATGTTCCGCAGACCGACGATATTGCTATTTTTGACCAATCTGATCCCTGCCAACAGTAAAGAGATGCATACATTGTTATTTGTTTAGGTAAAATACAGAAAGTCTCAAATATAAAGATGAAAAAACTGAAGCACTCAAAAAAGTACAAAATAATGAAAAGCCTTTAATACGACATGGCAGATAAAGCTAAAATTCATCCTCCATCAGTGCAAACTATTTGTATTTGTATTTTTTGAGTGCCTCAGAAAATGTGAGTATACTGACTCACATCGGTGCCAAGTGTGTAACAATTTTCCTTAATTACGCTCTCGTTTCACTTTTTTTTTTTTTTATTACCAACCAACCCAAGCCAGGGATATCTCAGTTTTTTATTTTGAAAATCTGGTCACCCTACTGTTGTTATATTATTTGATACCGACTTGTTTAGCGGCACAAATCAGCAGCTCTCCTGTTGTGTAGTTCCAGCCAAGTCCGTTCTTTATGTTCAGACTGTGTTCAAATAAAGCTCAGATTAAAGCCTAACAAAGCCTCAGACAGACACGCACAAAGCATCAATAACGATACTTTGCAGCTGACGTCACCCGCATTCCCCCGGTGGATGTGATGCTAACTGTAGGCTCTGCTCTGTCTGCGGCTTTGTTTTACTTTAATCTGCTTTATTTTTTAAAACAATCTGACCAGAAAGAATGGACTTAGTTGGTTTAGTTACACCAGGTGAGATGATTTGTGGTGTTAAACAAGTCTCTCTGAAATAGGGTGACCAGATTTTCAAAATAAAAAACTGGGACAGCCATGGTTTTTTGGTGGTTGGTAATAATAAAATTGCGAAACGAGTGCGTAATTATGGAAAATTGTTATGCACTTATCACTAATGGTACTAATTTGTGTTATTGATCATTTTTTAAGCAGATTTTCAGTATTTTACATAAACAAATGACTTTATGCCTCTTTTTACTGTTGACAGTGAACAGATTGGTCAAAAATAGGGACACCTGGGACATTTTTTGTATACAACTGGGACAAATCAACGGTTTTGCATAAATCTGCTGGGACAGGGGACACAGGATTCAAAACTGGAACTGTCCCGGATAAATAGGGACGTCTGGTCACCCTGCTCTGAAATAACATTAAAGTTGCTAGCTAGAATCCTGACAATGCTGATATTTGGAAATTGTTGATATTTGGAAATTGTTATTGTTACATAATTGTTATGTTAAACTTATTATATAGGTTTGGGGGGAAAAAAAGAAAAAGAAAACTAGTTGCCTAAATCTAATGACATTAAAAAAGGTCAAGTTTTGGGGGGGAAAAAAACAAACTTGCTAGCTAGTATTGTGACAATGCTGATATTTGGAAATTGTTATTAAATAAAGTTTGGTTTAAAAAAAAAAAAAGAAAGAAATAAAACTGGTTGCCTAAATGTACTGACATTAAAAAAGGTCAAGTTTTGGAATATAAATAAATAAAATAAATAAATAAAAAAGTTGCTAGCTAGCGTTAGCATTTAGCATTAGCAACATTTTTTTTTTTTTTCAGTTTGTCACTATCACCTTTTTTTTGTTAAAAATCAAACACCTAAACAGGGTCAAAATATGCTGTTTAAATCCATTTTCTTTCTTTCTTTTTTTTCTTTCTTGAGTTTCCAGACTATCTGCGTTGGTTAATGTGTGCTTTGTGTCAATTGCTGAACATTCCAGCTTTAGAGATACACATATAACACCCCCAACCTGATGTTACTGCAAAGTATCAGTACTGGACACAACTTCTGATTTTGAGAAAAACTGTTCGAACCAAGGTCAACCCTCATATCAGCCCAATATATGTAGGTGTTTTGTTCCATCTACTCGTACAACTACAACTTTTTTCGTCTAAACTCGAAACCATACCCTACTAGCATCAGGATCCGCAGCGGATTCGCTTTCGGTCCGCCAAATCCGCCCCACAGTCCGTCCGCTTTGCGGATCCGCTGCGTATTTGTTCCGTATTCGCTTTCTGACTGTTGCTAACCCTAACCCTTGGATGGCCTGCTGTTACAGAGAGAATCTGCGGTTAAATCATCTTAGATCCGCACTGTGAACGTACTTTTAACACAACACTTTGTTTTTGACACACTGATTTGTTCTATCAATGCGCGGATCCGCGGCTAAACCGGTTCGGATTCGCTGAGCGGACGCGCCACTGACTCATCAGCCGTTATCGGGACCTGAGTGGAAAGAAGCAGCATCCACCTGTTGTCCGCGGATTTAACTGTAAGAAATAGTTTAAAAGTTAATTGTATTAGTCATCATTAATGTACATAACGTTAACGTTATATTGTGGTGTGTGTACATCTGTGACTCTGTGTGTTTTATCAGTTTTGACGAGTGCAGTAGGAAAGTTAGCGACAGGAGCAGCTGACGTGATGAAGACGATGTGAGGTCAGGAGTCAGGATAACTCCATCTCTTGAGCTAGATCCCAGTCTAAATACTATTTTTATATAACGCTACTTATATTCTTGTATATTTTTACGATCACAGAAATGTAATTCTGCTCCGTGATCATTGGTCGTGTCTAACGGGCTCGGTTCTGGCTGGACGCCGCTCTCGGCGCTCTCCCTTCGGCTGTGGAGCGACGGTGACACCGGTGTCTGATCTGATTGTGTTTTTAACCAGAGATAATTATTATTTGTGTAGGCTAGAGTGTTGACTGTTAAGTTGAGACTAAAGTGTATCATGTCAGTGCCTTAATACAATAATTTTACGCAACGTGCCATAATACAATAACGTAACGTAATAAAAAGCACAACTTTTAACAACAGCTAACGTTAGCTAACCAACCAAAACTTGTGTTGTTTTCCCCCAGATGACATCAGGAGCCCCTGTCCTTCTGCTGAATGTCCCCATCAGGAGCCCGGCACGCTGATCAGAAGTAAGTACTTTTAATGATTTCTGTGACAGTGAGGATTTAGTTTAGAGCCAGATCTGACTTTGTCTCTAACTTTCTGTTATGGGACTTGAGACGGGGCTTCAGGCTTTCAGTGAGAGATGTTGACATGAACACTAATGTGTCACATCTAAATTACACTGATATTGACTATGAACACCATCATAAATTGATTATTATATTTTAAATGTTGTGGTAAAAGTAAATGTAGTAGAGTATTGTGTATTAACAGCAGTGAAATACGTCTCATGTTCATACTCAGGCTTATACTAAAACAAAAGAGTTCAGTTTTACTGCGCTAAAGTATTTCCTATGAGTTAAATAATGTTTTTCATCTCTGTTTCAAAATATGCTATGGTTAATAAGAAGATGGACATAACAGCATGATAAAGACCCTCTGGAGGTAAATACTGCACTTGTATTAAACACTGTGGCCTGAAATGATCCAAACTGATATTTGTGTTTCTCTTATTTGATGTTTTACAGAATTCCCTCTGCTGGGCCAAGTTCCAAAAATGTAGAGACAGACCCTGTGTAAGTTTACTGTATTATCCTACTTTTATTAACTTTCATAACTAAACATATGCACATTATAATCACACCTGTTGTTGTGCATATTGTTTCTTTCAGAACATGCTGTGGTGGAGTTTAAAGACTGACCCTCTGTAAGTGCATAGATTTCTCCAATCAAGTGTTTACCTTTCATGTTCAAATCACACAAGCCACTGTCATGACTGGATGAAGCTCTATGTAGATTTTTGATGAGGTAACAACTAGGGCTGGGTGTCATTAAGAAGTTGTCGATACAATACACACCTCGATACAGAAGTGTCGTAGTACTCTTTTTTTTTTTATGGTCTTGGTCTCTTCTCAGACTCTTGAAGGCGTTTAGACTTGGTCTTGTCTTGGTCTTGAAGGCGCTTGGACTTGGTCTTGTCTCGGTCTTGAAGGCGCTTGGACTTGGTCTTGTCTCGTTCTTGAAGGCATTTGGACTTGGTCTTGTCTCGGTCTTGAAGGCGCTTGGACTCGGTCTTGTCTTGGTCCTGTCTCAGTCTTGAAGGCTTTTGGACTCGGTCTTGTCTCAGTCTTGAAGGCACTTGGACTTGGTCTTGTCTCGGTCTTGAAGGCGCTTGGACTCGGTCTTGTCTTGGTCCTGTCTCAGTCTTGAAGGCTTTTGGACTCGGTCTTGTCTCAGTCTTGAAGGCTTTTGGACTCAGTCTTGTCTCAGTCTTGAAGGCACTTGGACTTGGTCTTGTCTCGGTCTTGAAGGCGCTTGGACTTGGTCTTGTCTTGGTCTTGAAGGCGCTTGGACCCGGTCTTGTCTTGGTCCTGTCTCAGTCTTGAAGGCTTTTGGACTCGGTCTTGTCTCAGTCTTGAAGGCTTTTCGACTTGGTCTTGTCTCGGTCTTGAAGGCGCTTGGACTCGGTCTTGTCTTGGTCCTGTCTCAGTCTTGAAGGCTTTTGGACTCGGTCTTGTCTCAGTCTTGAAGGCTTTTGGACTCAGTCTTGTCTCAGTCTTGAAGGCACTTGGACTTGGTCTTGTCTCGGTCTTGAAGGCACTTGGACTTGGTCTTGTCTTGGTCTTGAAGGCGCTTGGACCCGGTCTTGTCTTGGTCCTGTCTCAGTCTTGAAGGCTTTTGGACTCGGTCTTGTCTCAGTCTTGAAGGCTTTTCGACTCGGCCTTGTCTCAGTCTTGAAGGCGCTTGGACTTGATCTTGTCTCGGACTCGAGGTTTGAAAATCGAGGAGTGTGACCATATTTCATGACAGCCTTTGTTGTTGGCGAATAGGATAACAGGTTTAGAAATCCTACCTACTTTCTTCACAGTGTTTTGTAAAGTGCCAGTGGAAGTTCTCTTAAAGAAGGGTTCTCAAACTGTGGGTGAGGGTCCAAAAAAGGGGCACAGAGTGTTTGAGTGCAGCACAGTTTGCTTGGTTTATTTTAAGACTTATATTTTATGAACATAAATCAGATAGAATGAAGATAAATTTATAAAAACACTGATATATATGTACCAAAATACCTGTATGTAAATGTAGGAAATGACAAAAATGGTCTTGATTTGGTCTCGGTCTTGTCTCAGTCTGGACATTTAAAAGTCTTGGTCTTGTCTTGTTCTTGGGACCCCTGTGGTCTTGGACTGGTCTTGGTCTCAATTAGTGTGGTCTTGACTACAACACTATGATACACTGCACTTTCGGTTCGATACGATATATTTCAAAACGATTCGATACGGTTCAACAAAAAATAGTGTCTAAATAAATTATACTAAAAGTCTTTGTTGCAAAAGCGAGTTTCCTTCCTCTAAAAAAGCAACAAAACTGTAGCGCTGTAACAAAAAAATTAAGTAAAATATACCAAAAAATACTTTATCGATATATCGATACAGCAGCCCCCGATATCAATACTGAATCATCACATTAAACGATAACAACATTTTAACATAATTTAACAATAGGCAGTTTTGTGTAATATTTGACTTATCCTAGTTATAACTTAAATCATCAAATGTTACTGTTGCAGACAAAAAAACAAACAAAACAAAAATACTTTAATATTATTGTATAGAAAGAGAAGCACTTAGCAGCATTATTGATCTGTAAATGAAGAATTGTAGTTATCGTTGCTGTTTCTGTGTTCAAACACTTCAACTGCAGTGTGTCCTTTAAAACCTGTAGGTGGATTTATTTTAGTGACTGACTCATCTAAGTTCACTTCTGCAATTTGCACAATTTCTAAAAATATGGCCATAAGTCATTACAGACCTGGCTATTACCCGAAGAAGGGCTATAATAAACATGGATTACCTTGTACACCATCTGCTTTCAGAATAAAGAAAAAGTTGTTTAGTGGGTGAGAATGATGTTGTCAGTAAATGGAAATGTTTCTTTTACATTCCTTTGGTTTAATCTTCAGATTCAGACGGCTTTATTAATCCCACCGGGGCAGTTAGTTTGAGCTGTAAAAAACACAGTGACACAAACATTCCACACAACAAGCAATTCTGAATAAAGAGGAGCTCTGCGGTCCATGAATCATCCAACAAAAAGACAATTCTGTTTTTTTATATCATACTGGGGTAATTGTTTACTTCAGGAATCAACTTAATGGTCCGATATTACACAAAATTGACTCTTGTGAGCTTTAAGTCATGTTATAATGGTGTTAGATCTTCAAAAACATACCCGGAGTTGTGTTTTGTTTGCATTATTGATCTGTCTACATGCCCAAAGCTCAAAATGCTCTGTCCCACCTTGTGATGTCATGAAGCGGTAGTTTTCAAGTTAACACTGACTTTTTTTTTTTTTTTAGAGAGATTGGCAACTCCAGGTCTGAAATAATCCAAATTATTCTAGTGAAAGTGTGTGGAGTTTAAAAACACAGTGGAGCACTTCCTGTATTACCACATGACTGGGATGACCAGATTAAAAAAAAAAAAAGAAAAAAGGAACATCCCTGTAATAAAATTGTGAAAAGAGTGCGTAATTAAGAAAAATTGTTATGCACTTGGAACTGAGTCAATATACTCACATTTTCTTTGTGTTTTTGCATCTTTTTCTGTATTTTACCTAAACAAATGACAATTTAGGCCTCTATTTACTGTTGACAGGGAACAGATTTGTCAAAAATAGGGACACCTGGGACATTTCTAGTAAAAAACTGGGACGAATCAGTGGCTCAAAACTGGGACTGTAAATAGGGACGTCTGGTCACCCTAACTTGTGACGTTATGAAGCATTGTTTTCAAGTGAACAGCTCAATTTTACCTTTTGTTTAGACGAGATTGGCAACTCCAGGTCTGAAATAATCCAAATTATTCTAGTGAAAGTGTGTGGAGTTTAAAAACACAGTGGAGCACTTCCTGTATTACCATATGACATCACAAGGTGGAAGAGGGTGTTTTCTGTTTGAGAGATGAACTCCTAAATGTGCAGGTATTTGTGTTTTAAACATGTGTGAACGAAGCAAAACACAAGTCCAGGTGTGTTTGTGATGAGATAACATTATAAAAAATACAGATCGTAATAATATTGCCCCTTTAACCAGGATCAGCCACGTATCGCCACGTCTGAGCGCATGCGCAGTGGCTTATCATCCATGAGTTTCCGGGGTTGTCAGAGCAGGCGGTGTACACAGTGTAAAAAACAGCATTGTGTACCCCTTTTTTCTCCGCTTTTCTACGTTTATTTAGCAAACGACAGCTCCGGGAATAAGTGTCTCTCAAAAGCGAGGTGATCATCGGCGTAAGGGACCCGCGGGACGTGTGGAAAGATGAACTTCTTCAGGGGAGTGATGGGTGGGCAAGCAGCCGGGCCGCAGCCGTCGGGAGCGGAGACGGTGAGGAGGAGCTCGGCTAGCCTGGTTTAGCATCTGTTAGCTTTGTTTTGCACCAGTGTTACAGCAATCTAACACCTCGTATTCACCACTAAATGTCTTAATCACTAGACTGTTCATATATGACCTTGTTAGCGTTAAAACCTACACTGAAACCGCATATCTTTGCTGTTTAAAGGGCAGCTGTTAGCATTAGCTCCATAAAACCTTATTAGCTCACCCTGCAGCCTGTCACACCACTGGGACCCTAGCTGTAGCTGTCATTGTCATGTTAACAGCATCTGATAGGCTATTACTACTTAATTCCTTACGTATATTTAACACTGCAGACCACTTCTCACGTTTTAACCTCATCTAAATAAGGGTCCATTCATTGTTTTGACAGTTCTTGGTGCCCTTGAATTGTAACACTATCATTATTACTAAGGCTGGGTGTCATTAAGTAGTTGCCAATACGATACATACCTCAATACATGGGCAACAATACGATACATTGAGCTTTCGATTCGATTCAATATAATATATTTCAAATCAATGCGATACGGTTCAGTGAAAAATAATGCCTAAATCCTGGCTGTGATGCTAAAAGTCTTTGTTAAACCGCTTCTTGTGCAAAGTGAATATGAAACACAAACATTTTAACCATCAAAACTGTGAAAATGTCAAATCTGTCGCATAAACGAGTTTCCTTTCACTAAACAAGCAACAAAACTGTAGTGCTGTAACAAAATAATTTAGTAAAGCGTACCAAAAACACTCTTGGCAATATATTCATAGAGCAGCCACAGATATCAATATTTTTGCACACCTTGTAATACAGGAAGTGCTCCACTGTGTTTTAAAACTCCATACACCTTCACTAGAATCATTTTGGATACTTTTCAGCACTGGAATTGCCACATGACATCACAAGTTGGAACAAAGCATTTTGAGCTTTGGAGATGTAGACAGACTAATAGTAAAGAGTTACTCAAACAATGTTTTCGATGACGTAACATTATAACATGATTTAAGGCTCACAAGAATCCATTTTGTGTGATATAAGACCTTTAATAATAGTCTTGTTTGCTTATATGTGATATATGCAACATGTAGTTTTAAAAGTAGTTTCTTTATGTTTTAGATTCAAAAACTCTGGGTATCAGGCTGGGTATCATTAAGTAGTTGCCAATGCGATACACACCTCGATACATTGGGCTATGACACGATACATACCTCGATACATTGAGCTTTCAATTTGATATGATTCAGTACAATATATTTCAGATCGATTCGATAAGATTCAGTAAAAAATAAAGGCTAAATCATGGCTGTGATACTAAAAGTCTTTGTTAAACTTGTTCTTGTGCAAAGTTGTTTAGTTTATTTGTTTATTTGTCAGGGACAGTGCACATAAAAAAATTGAGCTACACAAAGATGTCATATGCTTGTGCTAGGTTATAGCAAAATTGTTAATTTCCACCTTCAGTCCCTGGACAGGTTGATGTCATTAATGGTGAACAAGCCAATAAAATACAATATTAATATTAATAATAATTACTAATAACTAATATGAAACACAAACATTTTAATCATCAAAAGAGTGAAAATGTCAAATGTTGCATAAATGAGTTTCCTTCGTCTAAACAAGCAACAAAATTGTAGCGTTGTAACAAAATTATTTAGTCAAATGTACCAAAAAACACTCTTGGCGATATATTGATAGAGCAGCCACAGATATTGATATTTTTGCACACCTAGTACTAAAGGAAGTGCTCCACTGTGTTTTAAAACTCCATACATCTTCACTAGAATCATTTGGATAATTTTCAGCACTGGAATTGCCACATGAAATCACAAGTAGGAACAGAACATTTTGAGGTTTGGAGATGTAGACAGACTAATAATAAAGAGTTACTCAAACAATGTTTTCGATGACGTAACATTATAATATGGCTTAAGGCTCACAAGAATCCATTTTGTTTGATATAAGACCTTTAATAATGGTCTTATTTGCTTGAATATGTGAGATATGCAAAATGCAGGTTTAAAAGTAATTTCTTTCTGTTTTAGATTCAAAAACTGTGTGATCGGGTGGCCTCCTCTACACTACTGGAGGACCGCAGGGATGCTGTCAGAGCTCTGAAGTCCCTGTCTAAGGTGGGTACTCCTGTATGCATGTTTATGGTGGAATGTTCAGCAGGGACACAATGCACACATTAGAAAACACTGCCCAAAAAGTTTTAAGATTGTCTGAAAACTCAAGAAAAATGGCAATATGGGTAAGTAAGCCTTTCAGTACATTTTAGTGTCTGCTTTGATGAGTTTTTGGCATTACATTTTAAGTAGGGTTTAGTGTATTGATTTGTTGATAGGGTGATTTGTGTTTTGCTTGACATAGATCAATGATGCTGACTAGTGCGTTCCTCTTTCCTGTTTTGCCTAGAGGTGTAGTGCCGTTATTGATTAAAGATTCAAGAGTCAATTGTATAAAACACAGAAGGAGTGAGAGCTTCAGGGGATTTTTTTCTTAGTTAAAAGTCCAAAACAGGTGTTGCTCAAGGACAAGGCTCAGAAACTAACAGACAGTGACGATGACCATGCCAGTAGTATAAAAACGTACTTATGATGGAGTAAAAAAGCAGTCAAAAAAGGTCAGAAGCAGCGGAAAAATGATAAAAGTTCTTTATTGGTTATATGGGATGGGCGAATGCGTTTCAACATAGACCGAGTCTTGAGAGCTGAGAGTTTTATTTTGACTTGTACATACACATTTATATAATTATGCCTTATTTGACACCTGTCTCTTGCTCTTTTTTGCTACTTATTTAGAATTTATTATTACCATTTATATTTTTTATTCGTTATTATATTATATTGTGATGTGTGAGTTACTGTGTCCAAGTAATTTCCCTTTGTGGATCAATAAATTTCATCCAAGTTCAAAAATCTAAGTCTATAGAATGTAGTGATGTCTTCTGAAATGCAGCAATTCAAGAATCAAGTTTTGTTTTTGTTTGTCTTCTAGAAATACCGAATGGAAGTTGGAACGCAGGCAATGGACCATTTGATCAATATTCTCCAAACTGACAGGTCTGTATAGGTGTGTGTGTGTCTCTGTAGTTGTCATGGCAACGACATGGCTAAAATACTCAGATTTTTATTGGTACAAAACAGGTCTGACTCTGAAATTGTCGGCTACGCTTTGGACACTTTATACAACATTATCTGCAACGATGAGGAGGAAGAGCAAGGTAAAAAAAAAAAAAGTATTGCAATGTAATGAATCATATTGTGCAACATGTTTATAGGCCTGTCATGATAATTACTATATAAGCTATAAAAACTGGAACTATATTTTTTAACGGTCAATATTTATTGTGGGTTTTTGGTTTTTTTTTTGGCAGTACGATAAGATTTAAAGGTGCATTATGTAATTTTTCTAGTGGAGGGTCTGTGCTTTTCTCCATGGAGATGTTATTGCTTCGTCTGGAATGTTTCACAGTATGGCATTAAACCTTTCTATCTTTATGGAGACCAAACCAGACCAAGTTACAGGTCAGATCTGTGGAGAGGCGACCCATCTCACAGTCAGAATGCATGTTTTTCGAGGTATTTTTGAGCTATAAAACCACCTGTAATTTAATAAATGTAAGGTAAAACTATTTAATGTCACACTGTGGAACATTTCAGGCAGAGCAGTCACATATCCATAGAAACAAGCAGATGACGGACCCTCAACCAAAAAGTTACACACCTTTTTAGATGTAAAAGGTTGAACTAATAACTTCTATGACTCATTACAGGTGTAAACTAAATACTAAAGTGTTTGATTCTGCCATTTATTCATTGCAGTTTGTATTTTTTTTAAACAATATTGCATACTTAAGAATAGTTTTTGTGGTTTAAATCTGCTCTTGGCTTTTTGTATCAGTGGCATAAATTAATTTCAGTATTATTGTTCATTATCTATTTACCTCAGCAATATATCGCACTTTTTAACAAAATTTGTTATCGTGACAGGCCTACATGTTTATTCAAATCCACTTTCTTTTAATTGTATTGTTCTGATTGCATGTAAAATTAGACATCATTCTCTTTACATTCTGAATGAAGAGAGTGCCTTTAATTCATAGATTCTCCTTTTCTCTCCTTTTCATGTTTAACGCTACAGATGAATCAGAAGGTAATGACCTATGACTGTGCATGATCACTGGCATGGGGACTTTTTTGTTTATTTTGCCACGCAGCACAAGATTTGCACTGCCCATTAAAAGTGTAAACAATAAAAGTAGCATTAAAGGTCCTATATTACGCAAAATTGACTCTTGTGAGTTTTAAGCCATGTTATAATGCTGTTACCTCAGGTCTGTTTTCTGATACGTTAACAACATTATAACATAGATCAGAAAATAGCGTAATATAGGCCCTTTAAATATGAATTGTCTTTAAGTTCAGCTTGTAGTTTATGCTGTACACTTCTTCCCGTGCATTTGCAGACGCTGTAACCCCTAAGCCTAAGCAAAAGACTGTACCCTTGCCTGGTTAGTATGGGGTGTAATCTGTGTGTCAGTTCTAATTCTGCTTCAGGGCTAACTTCACTAATTCTGGATATTTCATGTGGAAACAACAGTTTACTAATTGCTGTACATTGTCCAATTGTTTTACCACTTCTAACATTTTAATTATACAATGTTCTAACACTGTGTAACGCTGGTGTTTTCTGGTGTTTAATAGAACCCGAAATGTGTCCAAAAAGTAAGCAGAGTTCAATATAATTTTTTTTAGGTTTCCCTGTCCTTACTAGACCCTTTAGAACTCTGGTGTTTTAGTGTGTCTCTTGCATTTCTTTTTTGTTTGAAGTGATGTTCATAAAATCATGTCTTAATATTCTTATGTATATGAATGATTTCAATAGCTTACTTTTCAATAAAAGACATTATAAATTGATGCAAATTTAATAAGATATTAGGATATGGGCTTGTCCTGATGAAGCTCTGTGTTTGGTAGTGAAACGTTGGCTTCCAAAAAGCTAAGTAAGTCCAGATGTTTTCATTATAATGTATCATAGACTCACTGTGGTGCTGTGTTTTGAGGTGATTAGTATGAACAGACCTTCTTGTTTCCATTCTTTCTACACCTACATATTGTTGTTTTGAGACTGACGTTGTTGTAATTGTCATTCACAGATGAAAATGCACAGAAACAGGCCGATGATCTTGGAGCTCAGTTCACTGAGAAATTCATAGAGGATCCTGAACATGTGACCCTGCTGCTCACGTTGTTAGAGGTATGCACCCCTGATGTGTGTCAAAGGGCTGTTAAATCATAGACTTTGTATACAGGGTTCCCACAATCATGGAAATCCTGGAAATTAAAAATATAATTTTCCAGGCCTGGAAAAGGTATGGAATTTTAGTATCTCTTTCACGCAGCTACAGCATTCTGTTAAGTTCTCGATAAGCTATTATGATTAGTTCCGAACGTCTGCGCCTTTTGTTTAAAAGAGACAACAATAAATGCACTGACACTATTTTGAATGTTAAACTATAAAACCAAACCATAAGGTGAGTGGAAAGAGTTCACATTTCATATTTAGACCTAAAAGTATGATCACATACTGCACATATAGGTGTCGTAAGGTCATGGAAAATTCACTTTTCATGAAAATGTTATGGAAAAATTTTGGAAATTTTGTCAGAAGTGGACTAAGGAACATCCTTGGTGTTCGGCTCCAGTCAACTGAGGCTCATCGAGGCTATTGTTTGTTTATAGGGGGAGAATTTTTATTAGAGTTCCATATTTGGAATTCCAACCACCAAGTATCGTTGAAATTAAAGAGCCACTCCGGAGCCAGGCTGTTGGAAGTTTATGTGTTAATTATATTTGTCTTATAATTGTAATGGTTTGATTTATAGGAGTTTGACTTCCATGTGCGCTGGCCTGGAGTAAAGCTGTTAACAGCTCTACTGAAGAACCAGGGTCCTCAGGTGCAGGGTGTCATCCTCGTCAGTCCTATGGGTGAGGCTTGCTCTGTTTTACACTGTAATACTGCTCTATGTGAACATACTTCATTTACAGTGTATTTGTCTCTCCAGGTGTCTCCAGGCTGATGGATTTACTGGCCGACTCTCGAGAAATCATAAGAAACGATGTGAGCTTTGCCCTTTCTCATAGCGGCGTAATGTAATGTAAGAACTAAATATTTATTTGATTTTTATGTATTTCCTTCAGGGCCTTCTACTTCTTCAACAGCTGACCAAGAGCAATGCTGCCATTCAGAAAATCGTTGCCTTTGAAAATGCCTTCGAGCGCCTTTTAGACATCATCACTGACGAGGGCAGCAGTGATGGAGGTACTAATATAATTTTTTAGATTTTGATTTATTTATTGAAAGGTACCATGCATATTAAACGTCCTATATTACGCAAAATTGACTCTTGCGAGCTTTAAGCCATGTTATAATGTTCTTACCTCTTCAAAATTCATTCAAGACTTTCAGACATTTGATAACAAACAAACCGTAAACACAACACTCATCACTAGAGATTGGTGAGCTCAAACCAGATATCGACAGATTTAAAGCCAATAGCTAATAGATTAAAAAGTGTAAAAATCGGCCTGATATATAATAACAATAATAATACATAATACTTTCAAGACACTCAAGGTCAATACAGTAAAATACATCATGTTAAAATGTTAAAATATAAAGCTACATACTCTGTCTGCTCATCATGTTTCAGTGATTAGCTTGTATTCTTATTTATATTACTGTGTCTCTCTTTTGAAGGCATTGTGGTGGAGGACTGTCTCCTGCTCCTGCTGAACCTGCTCAAAAATAACAGCTCCAACCAGAACTTCTTTAAGGAGGGTTCGTACATCCAGAGAATGAAGCCCTGGTTTGAGGTTGGAGACGATAACGCCGGCTGGTCTGCACAGAAAGTCACAAATTTACACCTCATGCTGCAGGTAAGCCACAAGCACGCTCTGTCCACTGTTGTAGTGATACTTTGCAGTTCCATCTCTCTGGGGGTGTTCTTCATATATGTCTATGTTCAGCAGTTACTATGGGTGTCAGTTTTAGTAAAAGTGATGTAAAATGACTTCCTCTGCAGCTTGTTCGTGTGTTGGTGTCTCCGGTGAACTCTCCTGGAGCCACGGCGAGCTGTCAGAGAGCCATGTTCACCTGTGGTTTACTGCAGCAGCTCTGCACCATCCTCATGGCCACCGGGGTCCCTGCAGACATCCTCACTGAGGTAAAACACTCAGACTCTGTCCAAATGTACACACTATTACCTACATGAGGCACTATGTAGGCAGTGCTTCTCACTTATTTTCTGTCACACCCCCCCAGGAAAAAGAAAACATTTCGTGCTTCTCCACTCTCTGCTGCAACTATAAATGGCATAATTTGTATTCAGAAAGCGGGATGATTGTTGGCAATAATCAGCATATTTTGGCTGAAGAAACTCAAGCGGCTTATCAGTGTGATTTGGGTGTAATGTCTTTAAGTGACGCCTTAATTTATTTGGCTTCATGTTGTCCTCTGCCAACATTTTTAGACACAGTAAATGCACCGGTCTTTCCTTGTTTCCCACCGTACTCACAGTGAAGCCAAGCGCTACATATGCTTTGTTGTATTTTCTCGTTTCATCGTTTATTTCATTGTCTCCATCTTTCTTTTCATCCCTGTTAAATATTTTTCCATGGTGTCTCTTGAGGTTTTGTTCACTGCATTTCATATCTCCTGTTTTGCGTTGTGTGCACGTAAAAAAAACATCACTATACTGCCAACTACGGTAGTGGTTGTGCAATTACACTTTATTCTAGTACAGCAAAAAAGCATGTTCCCCGAGGTCACGTGCGCCCTCCCCGGCATCACGTCCCGCTGTTTGAGAAGGACAGCTATTTAGGGCTCACGCCGTTTTCAATAGTGTCCGAATGTCCAGTTGTTGAAAAAGTTGTGCACTCAAAATTTCCCACAGTGCATCTTGAAAAGTAGTGGATATTGGTGGTCAGAGTGGAGAGCTGAGATGGGGTCTTTAAATGGACACAATACGACTGCGACATGAGGTGCTATCTTGAGCTGTTAAAAGACCGATAATTTCCACATCTCAGACAAAAATCAAATAATCCAGTCCGTTTATGTGAAATCCATCATGACAAAAACTTGCATGATTATTATTAGTCCATAAAGTACATGTGTGCCAGTCTGATCTGATCATTGTTTGTGACAGAAATCAAGTTTTTGCCAAGTTTAGTGGACTTTTTTCAACCAGACTATACCGTGTGCTAAAGAGTAGGACTGTGTAGTGCATATGGGGTCATGGGCTAGTGTGGACATTTGGACAGTTCAGCTTTGATTAAACGAGAAAAAACACATTTCTGACTTCTGCTTCATGATTTTATCTTTCAGACCATTAACACTGTGTCAGAAGTTATAAGAGGCTCTCAAGTCAACCAGGACTACTTTGCTTCTGTTAACGCGCCCTCAAACCCACCAAGGTAAGGCTAATATAGTTATTTTATAAAACCAACTGTTATTTGAAAATAATGTCAGATCGAGTGGAAATTAATTACTCTCTTTTATTCCTATTTGTCCTTAGACCGGCCATTGTGGTGCTGCTCATGTCGATGGTCAATGAGCGACAGCCGTTTGTGCTTCGCTGTGCTGTTCTTTACTGTTTCCAGTGTTTCTTATACAAAAACCAAAAAGGCCAAGGAGAGATCGTAGCAACACTCCTGCCCTCCACTATTGACGGTAAGGAAAATTCAGCTGTTTGTTTCAACTCACACAGAGACTGGGGCAGCTTAGAAAAAATGTTGGTGGCAAATATTGGCAAAATTTTGATTATCAGATTGATAATGTCCATATCTTAACCTTGAACCTTATTCAAATTCAGCAATCACAGAGCAGCATTGAGTTAGTGTAGAGACCAAACCAACCAAAATAAACATGGCAACGCTGACAGAAGTACACTACCCGTCAAAAGTTTTAGAACACCCAATTTTTCCGGTTATGTATTGCAGTTCAAGTTGTGCAAGTTCAATGAACAGCTTGAAATGGTACAAAGGTAAGTACTGAACAGCCAGAGGGGAAAAAAAGATAAAAGATAAAAAAAAAACACAAGTCCAAGCTCTGCCAAAACTATCTCAGAATTGTGAGCTTGAAAACATGGAGTGTCCAGCACAGTCTCCAGACTTAAACCCCATCGAGCTGGTTTGGGATGAACTGGACAGAAGAGTGAAGCAACCTACAAGTGCCACACATTTATGGGAACTTCTGCAACAGACTTGGGAAGTACCGTATTTTCTGGGTTATTAGGCGCGATCTTAAGCCTCCAACCCTATCAAAAAATGACTGCGCGCCCCACAATCCAGAGCGCCCTATACATGAATCCAGGTGTCCCAGCACGACTTCAGTAAACTACAAAGCCGCACCACCCGCAGCGCACACAAACACACACAGAGCAGACAGAGACCGCGCAGAGAAAAACACCCACAGACACACTCATCACACCACGTAGACGAGGAACGGAACGGAGGAACGAACCGAAAAAGCGAGTGCAATGTGCCACTTCTAGTCCCAACTGAACAACTGAGTCACTGAGAACACGCCGACAATCCAGCGATCCCAGACAGCACCCTCCCTACACCCCACAACTGAACAAAGCCCAGAGTCACCGTGAACGTGCCAAACAAAGTCCGACTGACCCATCGAACTGTTGTGTTTCGTTTAAAGTCCAGTGTGGTTTATTTGTGAAAAAAGTTTGAAAATTATAGCCCGGAAACTACGGTACTTTCTGAAGAATGTTTGATTTCTATTGTAAAAAGAACGAGCCAGGAGTGTGTTCAGCTGTTATATCTGCCAAAGGTGGACACTTTCATGAATCAGAAGTTTAGAATACGTTTTGGTCAACAATAAATGGTAAAAAACTGGAAAAAGGGTGGTGTTCTAAAACTTTTGACGGGTAGTGTGAGGTTAAACATGCAGAAGGTAAGCGCTTTGTGCATATGTGGACAGGAAACATGTCTGTGCTTTTCTCTTAACTGAATTTAACTTAAGTTTTGGCTTCTTCTGAAATAAACAGGCAGATTAAGTGATAAATGTGTAGGGTTCAGTTCAGAGTGCTACACACATTAATCTGACATGACCCGGTTTAGTAATATCTGGGAAAACCTCCAATATTGATCTTGGAACCGCTGTACAGCCCACCCCTGCTTTAACATGTAGCGTAAATGTAATAGGACCATGTTTGCATTGTTTAAAATAGACTCTCATAGCAGTTGTCCTGTGTCCTCAGCTAACTCCATCTCGGCGGGGCAGCTGCTGTGTGGAGGCCTGTTCTCCGCAGACTCTCTGTCAAACTGGTGCGCGGCCGTGGCTCTGGCTCACGCGCTGCAGGAGAACCACACGCAGAAGGAGCAGCTGCTCAGGGTCCAACTGGCCACGAGTCTGGGCAAACCCCCCGTGTCTCTGCTCCAACAGTGCACCAACATCCTGTCCCAGGTAAGACCGGGAGAGGGACCGAGGCAGGCAGAGGGGCATATGAGGGGCATGTGAGGGGCACCATGCACTTTTGTTCCACAGTGACCAGAGCCCTGTTGGTTGTTGTGGTTTTTCAGGGTGATAAGATCGCCAGACGGGTGAGTAACGCGTGTACTGAGTGTTTGTGTGTTGGGGTGGCGACGCGAGCTTGCCGTTAGTTGCCATGGTGTCTTTCTGACCCAGTTGTTGAAGGTTTCCACTGATGTTTAACCCTTATTTGTTCCTAGTCCTTCGTATGATCCAACTAGGGCTGCACAATACGTCACTATCAAATCGAAATTGCAGTTTGAATTGGCACACGTGTCAAATCGCAAACAAACTGCAGTTATTTAGATCGTAAAATGTCCTCCTCAAAGAACAGAATGGATAAATCTTGGTCTACCTGTAGTTTAGACCTCCACAAACTAATCTTGTATTAGTTTAACGTTCGTCATTTTGGTACAAATGAAAAAAACGAAATCTGCGACTCTCTAATCTGCAGCTATCCATTGGAGGTGCTGATAACTTCACAGCTCTTTGTTATGATGAAGTTCACGGCGACATCAGCTTCCATTGGGCACTGCATTTTTCTAACAGCGGACTTCTTTCTTTTAGTAACTCGTTTTAGAAGAATATTGTGGTTTAAATGTCCAAATTATATAAAAATGATGCATGGGCGTCAGAGGTTATAAGTATACAGCAGACAGAAGCACAATAGGTCTTCTTTAAATAAGAATTACATATCTTATCTTAGTACTTTCCAGAAAAATCATAATACAGTCTTTACCCAAAATCGTGCAGCCCTAGCCCCTTCCCTCACTCCCTCCCTCTTGTCCTGGGTTATTATAGAGACACGATGCTGCTGTTTTAAGGGTTCATTTGCTCCTAGTGTCCTCCTAATCTCTAGTGTTTGCTGTGAATTTCAACTGTAACTTTAAGGTTTCTGTCAATTTAACTCTTTTCTGTGTGGTATTGATGCTGTAAATCTTTGAATCAATGTTGCTCACTGTTCGGGTTTAAGACGAAATAAGGTCAAATATTCAAATCACTCAGGGGCAAAAGCGTTACTCTTTAAAGTCAAAAGTGTGTGCATTATTCAATCTGAGATCTACTCAACTTTTTATTTTTTTAATTACTTACAATCATGAAATTAATTATGAAACAGTCCACTGATCAATGTTTATTCTGCATCCTTTTCTTCTGCCACTCGACATGGTAAATTAGTAAATGAGTCCGTAAATCCACATCTCCACTTTAGACATGGCGGAAAGGAAGCCAGATAAGAACGTTTACTTTTTATTTAGACAGCGCCCCCCAGAGGCCCAGGGACAGGTGTCTGTGCAGATGCCTGTGTGTCTGTCTGCGGAGGGCGACTCTCTGTGGCGTGTGCAGTACGAGCTATTTAAACACTGGCCCCAACAAATCTATAACACCCGCTCTGTTTGTGATGATGTTTACGGCAATGTCAACTTTCATTGGGCACCGTGGTAGTCTGAGGAATATTTCTTTAATTAAGTCTTTTTAGATGAATACTGCGATTTAAAATGTGCACATTTTAATATAATGATCCATGGGTGTTGCAGATTATAACTTCATAACAGACTCAAGCACAATAAGTGACTTTTAAGAAGAGCTTCTGCTGCTCTTCTACCACAGTCTTTCCTTTGGTTTCAAGTTGTTCCTGTTCTTGAGAATAATCTTGTAAGGCTGACTCACTGGTTCGACAAGCACACATTTTCAACTTTGCAAAAACATAGATTTTGGAAGAGCTGTAGTTTCTCATGAGCACAATTAAAGGGCATCTTAGAACATAATAAAAACAGTCTTGTCATTTAACGGTGTAATGTGATGTGGAGTTTAGTATCACTGATAGTTTTCTCAGCATTTACAGTTAGTCATTATTTTCCTCTTGTTTTTGTCACTGTTGCATTCTGTCCAATTTGGAGACAAAATCTCAAAAGGTGATTGATTAAAAGTTGGAATGCAGATGAAATTAGCCACAATAAGGACATATGGAGTATTTTACATGAGCTTGCTGCTGGAGCACTGTGAGGACTGTTAAAGGTACACTATGTAACTTTTTGGTTACTTTTTAGTTGGGGGTTCATCACCTGCTTGTTTCTATAGATATGTCATTGCTTTGTCTGGAATGTTCCACAGTGGAACATTAGACAGCTCCTCTTTACATTTAGACCCCGTTTACACTGAAACAAATCCGCGTATCACCGTATCGAAAACGATCTGCGTCCACACACGTCGTTTCTCTGTCTGCAATCCTTATCCACACATCTTTGAGCATATTTGTTTACATTTTACAGAAACTAAACTTAAAACCACATGTCTAATTAGCATAAATTGAGCCCTCAAAACAGCTCGCTATTGTGCGCTGATGCGGTTCAGCTTCAGTCGGACTGAAGGACACAACTCAGTGGATTATATGTTCTTTCTGTGACAGAGGGGTGTTCTGCTGATGGTGAGTCTGTTCTGTTCTTCTGTCGCGTTGGAGAAGGTTCATATTAAGCTTTTCAGAGATTATATGTCTGCTGGTCATACACATAGGCCGTATATATGAATATATTCTAGCCTCTTAGTGTTTTGGCGGTGAATTTGCTACTTCGCGGTGCATAGACCTACATCACCATATCAGCGTTTTCAGGCATCCACACAGTGCTGGAGCAGATCCGTACTAAGATGAAGTCGTGGGAGCTGGCTGCACCAGATCATTCCGTCTCTGGAGCCGTTTTCAATCGGATTAGTGTGACGAACACTGCATCTGCAATGAAAACGATTAAAATTCGAAAATAGTGTGGACGGGGCGTTACATTTAATGCCATACTGTGAAACATTCCAGACAAAACAATAACATCTCCACGGAGAAAAGTGTTTGACGGACCATCCACCAGAAAAGTTACACAGTGCACCTTTAAGCATGTTGTTTGCCTTAGATTTGCTTCACTGCTGTAGACCGCACACTGCTGCTTTATAAATGGCTCTCCAAACTCCATGAGACGGACCGATTTTTGACCATGAACACGTTGCCATGGAGACGTTTGGACCAAAGAAGCAACATTATCCTTTGTTATGAAATTGCATGAAGAAATATATGTATTATTTCAGAGTTATTGCTTTGCATGTGCTGTTATTTTTAATGTAGAGATGATTTATGATTTATTGATACAAATGGGTCAAGAAGAAAGAAACTGCTGCAGTGCTGTTTTAGTTTTAGCTTCTGCTTTGATGAAATGAAGCTCACACACACGCATGCATGTTCTGCTTATCGTTTTTATAACAATAACTAACAGTTTGGACATTTTTTTATCTATTCTGTTAACATTAAAGCAGCTTGGTTTGTGAAGCTGTACATTGTTATATAAATTCTGGTACCTTTTTTATTAATATTTGATGTTACATACAGTATAATACAATCAATGCTACATGTCCTGATAAGGCCACACACTAAAACAGTCAGATCTACACTACCAGTCAAAAGTTTGGACACACACTCTCATTCAATGTTTTTTTTTTTTCTTTTAAAGGTGTATTGCATAACTTTCCTGGTAGAGAGTCCATCACCTGCTTGTTTCTATGGGTATGTCTTAGTTTTGTTTAGAATGTTCCACAGTATGACATTAAACAGCTCTACCTTGCGTTTATTCAATTACAGGTGGTTTTATTGCTTAAAAATACCTACAAAAACAGGCGTTCTGATTGTGAGCGAGGTTGCCTCTCCACAGATCTGACCTGTTACTTTGTACTAGTATGATCACTATGAAGATAGAAAGGTTTAAAGCCATACTGTGAAACATTCCAGATAAAGCAATAGCATCTCCATAGAGGAAAACAACTGCCCGAGCCTCCGCCAGAAAAGTTACATAATGTACCTTTCTTTACGTTTCTACAAAAACTGTAATAACAAAAATATTTATATTTTGGTTCAAATTCCTCCAAGTATCAACCCTTTGTTTTGTTGACAGAGCTGCAAATCCTTACCCTTCTCACACTGAGCTTCTAGATCAGACATGTCAAACTCAGACCTGGGGGCCAAATTTGGCCTGCAATATAATTATATTTGGCCCAAATATGTATTAGAGCTGTCCCTCCGGCTACAGATAGACTATAGATACATTATTTATTTCAAATTTTGTTATTATTTTATATGATGCTTGTTCAGGATTCAATGTTTAAGCAAAACTATTATTAAACATTTATTTTAATAAGAAAAGGTTTAACATTACATATCTTGAAAGAAGCAAAAACATGCAGATGTTGTTGAAATTTTCCAATAAATATTTAATTTGACCCATGAATTAGTCCCAGTTTTTAATTTTGGCCTCTATGAATCTGAGTTTGACAGCCCTGTTGTAGATGAAGTTTTCACTTCACAGCTGCATCATGTCAGGGTCAAGAAATGTCATAAATTCAAACTAGCGTTGAAAGCAAAGAGTTTTGTTTACTACTTTCCATATATGTCTATTCATAGTTTTGATGCCTTCAGGAAGAATCTACAATGCAAATAATCATGTAAATAAAGAAGAATAAATTAAAAAGTTTGCCCACACTTTTGACTGGTAGTGTACAGTATAATGCAATGCTAAATAATAAGACTAGAAACTAAAACATGATCAGATGTGTTTTGACCATGAGGCTAAAATGGACATGTTGCCGTCATAATGTGTCTCTCGTTGGACCTGGTTAGTTTTAAAGGCCTTATATTACACAAACATGACTATTTTGAGCTTTAGGCCATGTTATAATGTTGTTACCTCCTCAAAAGCAGACCTGGACTAGTGTTTTTTTTTTTTCATTCACACATGTTTGAGCAACTCTTTATTATTAGTCTGTCTACATCTTCAAAACTCAAAATGCTCTGTTCCACCTTAATGTCATGAAGCGGTAGTTTTCATGTTAACATCTCCTTTTGCCTTTCGTTCATTTATTTCATTCATCATGTATAAAAAGACATTAACAGTTTCACAACATCAAACATACAAGAAATGAATGAAAAGGAGCAGAAAGAAGAGTAATCTTATGTTATCTGACAACTTTTCCAGTCAAAACATCAACACCGATAGTTACTTTACAACATTTCAAATCAGTACATTTCATTTCAGTCACAAATATTAATCAATTGCAAACACAAATCTTCACTTTTATGCACCATAACTTAGTTTCCTTTTTCATACATGCACATTACACTGGATTTTATGTGTTTTTTAAATGCCGTCATTGTACTTGATTCTTTTATATCTTTGTCAAGACTATTCCATAAATGAACTAGTGTCAGTAGAGATTGGCAATTCCAGGGCTGAAATTACCCAAATGTTTATTGTAAAGGTCAGTGGAGTTTAAAAACACAATGGAGCAGTACCTGTTTTACCACATGACATCACAAGGTGGAACAGAGTGTTTTCAATTTGAGAGAAGAAGTCAGCCTAAATATGCAGGATTTGTGTGTTTAAACATGTGTGATTGAAACAAAACACAACTCCAGGTCTGTTTGTGATGAGGAAATGACATTATAACATACAGTAGATCAGAAAATAGCCAAGTATGAGCTCTTTTAGATGTGTGATTGACATTTGTTCTTTTGTCTTCTTCAGGGCAGTAAAGTTCAGACCAGAGTGGGGCTCCTCATGCTGCTCTGTACCTGGATCAGCAACTGTCCCATCGCCGTCACACACTTTCTACACAACCAGGAGAACGTTCCATTCGTATCCTTAATTAAAGTAAACAAAGCACTAGATAAGGTGCTGTTTAAAGGTGCACGGCGCAACTTTTCTCTTGCTTGTCTCCATGGAGATCTTATCGCTTTGCCTGGGATGTTGCATGGTATGGCTTCAAACATTTCCATCTAGATTTTATTCATTACGGGTGTTTTTATTGCTCAAAAATACCATCATTCTGACTCTGCGCCATCTGAGTTGTTATGTAGCGTACTGCTGTAACCTAGCAAGCAGAAATGTTACGCAGTGGACCTTTAAGATGTGATCATAGTGTTGTAACAAATCACAATACTAGAATTTCAAACTCTGTTTCAATAGTAAGAAATAGACTCGAAAAAAGACTCTGTACTCAATACCGATTTCAGTACCATGATTATTAAAAAAAACACACTTTCTTTAGACACTACAATGTGGTTTTCAACATTAAATCATAGTATTTTTTTATATTCCCTATGTGCTCTTAAACTTGTTCTGTTCTAAAACTATTCAGAAAAGGTTCATTTCTGTCCAGTGAATGTGACTTTTTTTAATATCGATACCTTCTCAAATAAGTGTCTAGTTTCAATTCTAGTTTTAGTATTGATTTGTGTCTGATTTTCGATACTTTTGGCCATCCTTTATTAACATGACCCTTCAAACATCCTTAACTTGAATGAAACAGTTGACAGCACAGATCTCAGAGAACCTGGGAGAGGATGAGAGGCTCGTACAGGGTTTGTGTGCTCTGCTTCTCGGCATTTGCATCTACTACAACGACAACTCACTAGAGAACTACACAAAGTAAGTACACACTAGTTCTTTGAAGGGAAGGGATTGTATATGACGATTGTGTATTTCAGACAAACCGTGCATGTCTTAAAAGGCAAATATTGCGCTATTTCCTGATCTATGTTATTATGTGGTTTCCTCGTCTGAAACATACCTGGAGCTGTGTTTTTTTTGGAGTTGAGGAAGTGCTCCACTGTGTTTTTAAACTCCATACACATATATAATTTCAGCCCTTGAATTGCCAAACTACTGAACTAAAAGTAAAATTTTGCTGTTAACTTGAAAACTACCACTACATAACATGGTGGGACAGAGCATTTTGAGCTTTGGAGATGCAGACAGACTAAAGCATCACTACTCAAACATGTGTGAATGAAACAAAACACAACTCCAGGTTTTTGAGGAGATAACAGCATTATAACATGGCTTGAATCTCTTAAGTTAATATAATGTAATATGGGATCTTTAAAGTGTTAATACTATATTTTTCAGACAATAAGGCGCACTTAAAATCCTTTAATTTTCTCAAGAAATCAACAGTATATAATCTGGTATGCCTTATGTATTAATTCTGGTTGTGCTTACTGACCTCGAACTGATTTTATGTGGTACACGGTGCTCAAAAATCTGTGAGACTGTTTTAGTACAACTTTGGTAAGCTACGAAGCTGCACCGCTTGATTGGAGCATTAGGGCTACTGTAGTCAGGAGCCTTGCAGTGTCCGACAGAAGCTGACTGCATCAGCGCACAAGGAGTGAGCTGTTTTTTTCAGTGCTTATAGTTTATGCAAATTAGCCATGTGGTTTTATGTTTAATTTCTGTAAAACATAAACAAATGTGCAAAGCTGCATTAAACACATTATTACTCAATGTATATTTGAGGTCTCTTTGTAGGAAATAAAACTAATTTAAATGATCCACCCACATTCACATTCATAAAACACATTCACCAAGACAGAGAGACAACGCTGGGCGAATTACACCACGATATGCCGATGGATCGTGAACGCCTGGGCTAAGGGATCAGTCTCAAGTGTCGTCAGTTTGTTTCACTTAATGCTTCTTATAATCTGGTGCACTTTATGAATGAAAATAGACGAGAGAATTCAACATTATTGATATCGCGCCTTATAATTCGGTACGCCTTATAGTCTGAAAAATATGGTATATGAGCTTACGGTTTATCTTACAGATCTTATAGATAAGTTATGATAATGTGTCTAATTTTGATTTTTGTTTTTTTTCCAGAGAGAAGCTAAAGCAGCTGATAGAAAAGCGTATTGGAAAAGAGAACTTTGTAGAGAAACTGGGGTTTATCACGAAACACGAGCTGTACTCACGAGCGGCGCAGAAACCACAGCCCGTGTTCCCCTCTCCAGAGCAAATGTTGTTTGACCACGAGTTCACCAAACTAGTCAAAGATCTGGAGGGTCAGTAACAACTTTTTCATATAATCGATATATCAGTATGGTCATTAAAAGGGGGTGTTTTGCCAAAATTGACTTTTAAGAACTTTCTACAAGGTTTTAGGGAAGGGGGAGTGACTTAGCACACAGAACAAAGGGAAGTTAGACTCAGAGCATCAAGAGTGAAAGTGAAAAGTATTTAACATGTTAATAGAGGGTCGTGCTTTGCCTGGAATTTTCCAAAGTATGGCATTATTTTTTCTGTAGCATTTATTTCATTAGCTGTGTTTTATTGTTCTAAAATACCCTAGAAAACATGCATTATTCTGTGTTTTATTGGGGTCGCAACTCCAATTTTGTGACAAGGTAGATGGATTTAATGCCATACTTTGGAAAATTTCAAGCAAAAGAATTAACATCTTGGCAGCAGACCTTTCCCCTGGGAATGTTACCTAGTGCTGATCTGAATGTTTAATCTATTGTTGTTCACAGGGATGATAACGAAGGCCGTTCACAAATCCAGTGAAGAAGAGAAGAAGGAAGAGGAAGTGAAGAAAACGTTAGAACAGCACGACAACATTGTAACTCAGTACAAAGAACTAATCAGAGAGCAGGTGAGCATCACTGAACTCTTTGAATAAATGTGCCAGTATAGTCCAATGCAAATCTGATTTATGTTTAATGTTTTCCAGGATGCTGAGATCCAGAAGTTGAAGGAGCAGGTGGCCTCTGTGTCGACTCAGAACGAGCAGCTCCAGACCACGATCACACAGCAGGTCTCCCAGATCCAACAGCACAAGGACCAGTACAACATCCTCAAGCTTAAATTAGGTTTGTCCCCATCACCACTAAGAATATTTATACAAAACTAGATACTCATTTGAGCAGGTATCGATACTGGGGCTACACAATATATCACAGCATACTCAATTTATACTAGAAGTGGGACCAAGTTGTCGTTTTGCAAGTCTCAAGTAAGTCTCAAGTCTTTGACTTCAAGTCTTAAAAATAGTGACTCAAATCTGACTCGAGTACAAGTCACGACTTGCAAGTCCTCACCTCTGATTTATTGTAATAACGCCAAGAATCTGATCTATTTGGAGATCAATAACGTAGACAGCAGAAGATACATTCATAATAAAATAAAATCAGTCATAGCAGCTCTAAACCTGACGGGACGGGAACGCTTGTTGAAGGTCTAAGGTTTTATCAGATCTATGATGTAAGCGGGAGTCTGGCCATGGAGGGCCCTAAAGGTCAGCACCAGGATCTTAAAGTGGACACGAAACAAAACAGGGAGCCAATATAAGTATTTTAATACTGGAGTGATCTGTGCTCTACTGGTGTGGGTCAGAACCTTGCGGCAGAGTTTTGGACCATCTGCAATCATGTCAGTTCCTTCTTGCTGAGGCACGTAAAAAAAACTGTTACAATAGTCTAGTCTCGAGGACACAAATGCATGGATTACCATCTCTAACTCAGCTTTAGAAATCATCGTGCAAAGTTTAGATGTGTTTCGCAGTTGGAAAAAGCGATGTCTTTAGAACACCACTCTAAGCAACTCACTAAATACTGCATCATCAAAAAATACTCTTCGATTTCTTAAGTTGTTTTAGTTGTTTAGTTTCACTTTCTGGAACAACAAGAAGAGTCTCTGTTTTGTCTGGGTTCAACTGAAGGCTGTTATCACTTAGACTATTAGACTATTTATCTATCTAAGGTTGTTCATCTGTCAATATGTTAAATAAAGCAGATTTTATGATTTTCATTACTGAGTCCATAGTTAGCCGTAATTTAATCCTGTTAGTAAATTAAAGCATTTTGTTTTATTATAACTGAAATTACTAAGGCAAAAAGTATCGTCAGAAATATTAATAATATCAATATGTCACTTCTTAACCATATTGCCAAATTTTCTGATATTGTGCAGCTCTAGTCTGTACAAAAAAATGACGTGTTAATAAATTGTTTTCAACACATGGCAACAGAGTGATCTAAAACCCACTCTTTAAAGTATGTGTCTCATATTTGCAGGTAAAGACAATCAAAGCCAGTCGAGCAGTCAGGGGGACGTGTCTCAGGTGAATGGGGTGCAGCAGACGGAGGAAATGACGCAGCTTCGGGACGAGGTGGAGGAGCTCCGCAAACAGAACGCTCTCCTACAGACTCAGCTCGGGGACAAGGACTCACTCATCAACACACTGGTTAGTCAAATAAGAGTGAATATGGAAATCTTTATTTAAATATAAGTCCTAAGGCTGTTTAAGTAATGTTTAAGTATTTTGGTGATATCTTCCGGGCCCTATTCAAACTCTCCTTACGATTAGCTGTAAGATTCTGTGCAATGCTCCGCCCACAAGCCTTCATCGCCCACGCTCCGACATGGCAATTTTCCATAAATATACAAAAACATGATACAAAACTTGTACACAACAACTTGACAAACGTGATGCGATGTGCGGTGTGCACAATTAGCATGCTGATTGTGTCGTGATAGCACGCTGAATATAAAACATATAAAACACAGAGTATAAAACATGTTAACAATACGTTAATACGTTGCAGAAAATATACTTTTCAAAACAATAAAAGGTAATATGGTGATCTAAATATATGTTATGTGTTAGTAGTTAATACCCCATAGAAGTAAAATACCGTATTTTCTGCACTATAGGGCACTCTGGATTATAAGGCGCACTGTCATTGAATGGTCTATTTGCAAACTTTTTTCACATATAAACCGCACCGGACTATAAGGCGCATTAAACGAAACACAACAGTTAGATAAGTCAGTCAAACTTTATTTAACATGTTCACAATAACTCTCAACTTTGTTCAACAACTGTCTGAGACGCTAAATTGTTAGCCTATTCACAATAACTCATAATTGTTCAAACAGTTGGGTGATTCCGGCGTCCAGCACGCCCGCATCCCTCTCGTCATTATCCGGTCAGTGTGGTTACTGTTCCCTGGCAGTTCAGTGATGATTCTGGTCTTGGTGAAAGCTCGGACCACAGTTGATACTGATCCTTAGCCCAGGCGTCCACGATCCGTTGGCAGATCGTGGTGTAAGTCGCTCGGCACTGTCTCTCTGTCTTGGTGAATGTGTGTTCTCCTTCTCTCATCCACTGTTCCCACGCAGCTCACACTTTCACTTTATAATAGTCTTGAGTTTAAAGTCGGCGTTGTCAGCGTGTCTCTTGACAGATGCATTTTGATATTAAAAAGGAACATCGCGGAGTAATACATACTGTGATTCCGACTACGGGAGCTGTAATGCTGGAAGTGGTGCGGCTTTGTAGTTTACTAAAGTCGTACTAAGACACCCCAATAAATTAATGTATAAGGTGCTCTGGATTATAAAGGTGCACAGTTGTTTTTTGATGAAATTAAAGGTTTTTAATTGCGCCCTATAGTGTGAATACGGTACACCCTCTTGGCAAAAAAGCATTGATTTAGCAAGCATCTTATAACTATACAACAAATACTCCCCTTAATACAGCAAATAACAAAAAGTGTTGATATTATTTCCATTGTACATGTATTAATCATGGTTTTCACTGTCACCCAGAGATCAGAAGCAACACTATCACCAGACGCTCCATCTGACAACACAGAACTACTCAAGGTTTGTGTCAATTATCCAGACTTGTATTGTACTTGATTGTAGGGCTGTAGTCAGGGGAGAAAAACTTAGACCCTCTTCCCCTTGATTTATATTAGATGGAGGCTCATGTGAAGTTTCTAGCTCCGGGCCCCCAAATTTCTATTGATGGGTCTATCTGTAGTCGACTAAAAAAATTCTTGGTTGACTAAAGACATGTCCTGCAAATTGATTAGTTGATTAAAAAGAGGGTGTGGCAAAAGCTCTCAAAACTATTGCGTATCTCTGTGTATCTGACCCAAACTGCACTTACAAGACTACACCTGCAGGGGGAGTCCATGCAAAAACAACAAACAACTATTTATGTAGGAAAAAATACTAGGAAACAGATTAAATGTGTGAATCTTGAGCTTCTTTTTTACATCTTTACATAAATACCAACTACCAAACCAAACCAAAACTTCTCCTTTGTGCTGTCCCTTATGAATCCTTATCTAAATAACATTATTAATCAACTAATACACATGTTAGACTACAATCCTATATATTATTGACATTTAACTCTCATATTTTAGGAGCTGGAGGCTTTGAGAAGTCAGGTTCAGGCTCAGTCAACAGAAATCAGCCAACTACAGACGGAGAGACAAGAGCTGCTGAGAAGAGCTGAAGCCACAATGGTAAAAACACATGAAACTGAAGGCAAATCTTTATTAAAACTTATCTTAACAGGAGACCATAATAATATTAATTTTGTCTCTTTTCATCCAGGCGTCAGACACAGTTCAAAGCAGTGACGGCTCAGAAGACCGCGCCAAAGTGACAGAGCTGGAAAACAGACTCGCTGCACAGACGTCGGAGACAGAGAGACTAAAGGTAAGTAAAGGGAAAGTTCTGGTTTAAAGGGCTTTTATTACACTATGTTCTCATCAAAAACCGACCTGGAGTTGTGTTTTGTTTCATTCACACATGTTTAATACACAAACAATGCACATTTAGACTGAGTTTTAGGCTCACTGTCTGTAACAGTTGCTGTGAGCCTCGTCTTTTTGGTCTTAAAATGTTCGTATTAACCCTCTCCACATGATCTTTGTGTTTTTATTTCGCTATTTTGTCTGTTACAAAAATCGTATTCATAACTGGCTGGCTCCATATTCGCTCCTGTAACCATTAGCATCTCAAATTTCTTTTTATTTGGATAATTTCCGCCCTGGAACTGTCAGTCTCTGCTAAACTAGGGTGACCAGATTTTCAAAATAAAAAACTGGGACACTCCTGGTTTTGGGTGGTTTGCATTAATAAAATTGTGAGACGAGTGCATAATTAAGGAAAATTAACCCATGAATGTGAGTCAGTATAGTCACATTTTCTTTTCATGGTCATTTTTAAGGAGCTTTTCTGTATTTTACCTCAACAAATGACAATTTATGCCTCTCTTTACTGTTGGCAGGTGTCAAACTGGGCAAAAATAGGGACACCTGGGACATTTTTTGTATAAAACTGGGGTAAATCACTGGTTTTAGATAAATCTGCTGGGACAGGGGACACAGGGCTCAAAACTGGGACTGTCCTGGGTAAATAGGAATGTCTGGTCACCCTATACTAAACAAATTTATGTTTATGTTTATGTTATTGTTTATGTTTGAATTGCGGCACACAAAGACACAGTGGCTTCACCTCTCTGTATCTGTGCTCCTTTTTTGTGATTTTTTTGTATGTATTTTTTGCATTTTGCACATAAAATGGACTTTAATATTTGCTACAACCGTATGGAATTACTGGACATTGGTTTTTAACAGAGCATTTTGAGCTTTGGAGATGTAGACAGAGGATTGCTCAAACTTGTGTGAATGAAACAAAGCACAACTCTAGGTATATTTTTGATGAGGTAACAGTATTAAAACACAGCTAAAAGCTCACAAGAGTCGATTTTGTGTAATGCAGGACCTTTAATTTGTGTATCTTCTGTTCTGCCACAGGGGGAGCTCAAGAGCTTGTCAGAGGGCCGGGCAGACTTGGAGCAGCAGCTAGCGTCAGCCTCCAGCTCTGTGGCGATCCTGCAGACAGAGAAGTCCAAACTCCAGACAGATCTACAGGAGTCCAAGAAAGAGCAAGACGACCTCCTCATGCTGCTCGCCGACCAGGACCAGAAGATACACAACCTCCGACAGAGACTCAAGGACCTGGGAGAGACGGTACATAAACACAGACTAGGACTGTCAAAAGTATCAAAAATCAGATACTAATCAATACTAAAACTAGTACTGAAACTAGATACTCATTTGAGCAGGAATTGATAATAAAAAGTCACAGGGCAGAAATGAACCTTTCCTGAATAGCTTTAGAATGATATTGAGCTTTATCAGAACAAGTATAAGATAGGGTAGACATGTCAAACTCAGGCCCGGGGACCAAATTTGGCTTGCGAGATCATTTCAAATATGTATTAGAGCTGCCCGCTGGTTACAGATAGGCTATAGAGAGATTATTTAAAATTTTGTTATTATTTTATATTATGCTTGTACTGGATTAAATGTTTAAACAAAACTATTATTAAATATTCATTTTAATTAGAAAAGGTTTAACATTACATATCTCGAAAGAGGAGAAAACATGCGGATGTTGTTTTTCAATAAAAATTTTGGCCCTCTGTGAATTTGAGTTTGACACCCCTGAGATAGGGTGACCAGATGTTCCCATTTACCCGGGACAGTCCCAGTTTTGAGCCCTGTGTCCCCTGTCCCGGCAGATTTATCCAAAACCACTGATTTTTCCCAATTTTATACAAGAACTGTCCCAGGTGTCCCTATTTTTGACCAATTTGATCCCTGCCAACGGTAAAAAGAGGCATAAATTGTAGTTTGTTTAGGTAAAATACAGAAAAGCTGCATAAAAATTACAAAAACATAAAGAAACCAGGGATGTTTCAGTGTTTTATTTTGAAAACCTGATCACCCGAGTTTAACAGCACATAAACTGGACCACTCTGGAACCTACCTGGACCACTGAGGGATTACACAGATATAATGCCACATGGTAAAAGATATATATATAAAAAAGTACTATGATTTTGTTTTTTACTATCATTGTGATATCAGAATCTGTATCCAGTATTGACTCTGTTTCTTAGTATCGAAATCAAGTTCAAAATTATCTTGACAAGACTGAAACTAACCTGATCTCTACTTATTTTTAGAATCATGACGTGTTTTTGTGTGGGGTTTATTTATGGTTAGTTTTTCAGATGCTTTTCGGCTCTCGTCTTCTGCAGTATCTTTTTATAAACTTGATTATTTATGAATGAGCTCTTGAGTGCACGGTGTTGGTAAGAAGACGACGTAGGAACCAGCTCTACCAGCTCAGGTAGTTTTTAGTGGCTTTAGTGACGACAGGTTAAAAATAGAATTAAAATAAGTTCATCAGTCATCATTTTAACACAATCTGACCATAAAGGACTGACTTAGATGGTACGACAATAAGTGAGATGATTTATGCTGTTAAATAAGTAAGAACATAAACAGTTTTTAAGTTGGTCACTCTCGTATGACCACAGACTCTTATTACTCACCTCTAGCAACAAGCTGTTAAAAAAAATTCCCCCTTAATCAGTTCTCTGTCCATCTGTGACTAACAAGTTAATATGAACCATGATTGAGGGATAAAGATTTAATGTCTTAAATGATGGAAAATTGACTCTCGTCAGCTTTAAGCCATGTTAGAATGTTGTTACATCATCAGAAACAGACCTGGAGTTGTGTTTTGTTTCAGTCACACATGTTTAAAAAAGTAAAAGGTAGCTGTTAACTTAAAACTAAAACTTGTGACCATACCGGCTTGTCAAAGCCTGATCCCGTCAGATCTCAGAAGCTAAGCAGAGCCGGGCCTGGTTAGTACTTGGATGGGAGACTGGAGGGAAAATCAGGTGCCACAGTGAGGTGCCAGTCCTTGTTGTGACCTTAGGCAAGACACTTCACCCACATTTCCTAGTATAAAAGTGGTATGTGCGTGAGTGATGGTGGTGGGCGGAGGGACGAATGGCGCCGAATGGCATGGCAGCCACGCTTCCGTCAGTATGCCCCAGAGCCGCTGTGGCTACAATAGTAGCTTAACATCACCGGGTGTGGAGAAAAAGAATAATGAATCTATAAATGCACTGTAAAGCGTCTTTGTGACATATGTCTGTGAAAAAGAGCTATATAAATAAAGACTTACTGACTTACTTATTTACTTACTTACTTCATGACATCACAAGTTGGAGCAGAGCGCTTTGAGCTTTGTAGATGTAGACAGACATGCTGTCGGGAGAACTGACTCGGATTTATCGAATATTCAATAGAATGCAGGGTAATAACAAAGGATCAGATATGTGTCAATGAAACAAAACACAACTGCAGATATGTTTTTGACAAGGTAACAACATTATAACATGGCTTAAATAGTCAATAAACAATAGTCAGAAGTGCATAATTTAGGCCCTTTAAGTCAAATTATCAGGTTTTAAAGTGAATATGAACAACCTAGATCAGAAAATATCGCAATATGTGCTCTTTTAAACCTTTACTTTCTTTATATCCTAAATTCTGCATTTTGTGTTTGTGTGTTTCACTTGAGTCAAACTGTGACATTGTGTTCACAGGTGGAGGATGAAGATGACCTGGACGCTCGGGACCAAACGGATGACGACGACGAAGATGAGGACGAAGAAGACAATGAAGACTAACTATAGGAGCACTGAAGAGAAAACGCTACAGTCTGGTTCTACATTTTGAGTTTGACTGAAAATACACAACTGGAAAACTGGAAAACGCGACTCTCCTCTGCCGCTCTTTTATTTTTGTTCACATGTTCACCGTAGCTGTTCAGTTGATTCCTCTCTCATTATACTTTAAATTGTTATGGGGTTGTTAAGTACGATGTCACGTCTGGGTCTCAGTTGTTTCATTTTATTCTGATATGTAACGCAGCTCCAAGTTCGCGCCTGTAAAATCCTAGCCTCGATGAGCTTCATTTGACTGGAGACGAACGCATTTAGTCCACGAAGATGCAGTCAGCAGATCAAATTACAGCAAATATTAAGGTTCACAGACATTCCTAAATCTAACTCTGATGCTAACCTTAAGCTGATTGTCAAAAATCAACATTTGCGAGCTTTACCGCTATCAAAAAAACGTCTCTTGTTCGGTATAACTGCGTTTGAGGGAAAACTGGGTCAGACACATCAACGGAAAGTAAAAAAAAAAAAGATGCTGCGTGCGTTTTTGTTATAATTTTAGGTTTAAATGAGTCTTTTCTTGTCAAAAACGGCAGGTGAATAGGACAACACTGTGTGAAAGTGGGTCGCCATGGTTTCCCTGGACGAAATGCAGAGTTTTTAGGGAGTCCCAGGAAACTGTTGGACCCTTAAGTGACAGTATTTTCTTAACAGCCCTTTACGTTTTACTTCTACAGTGTTCATTGTCATTATTCTGTTTATTTACAAAAACAAAGCTAGCAGCAAAGTATGACGTCACCTGGATGAAGTTTAATGTAGCAACAAAATCCATGTATCATTCGTTCGTTCGTTTTTCAGTATAAAACCAAACATAAGAAAATGAAAAAACAATCATTTTCTTCATTATTTGTCTCCAAAACCAAAATGAAAAAACGGATAACAAATCATTTTTTCAGTTTTCGATTTTGTGTTTAAATGAATTTCCCGTTTCCGTGACTTAAACTGCGATGCCGGACTTTTGCGTCGCATATGGACTGAACCAGGACTGAACCAGGACTAAAATGTTTTCAGTCCTGGTCTGGTCCCAGTCTCAGTCCTGGTCTCAGTCCTGGTCTGGTCCTAGTCTCAGTCCCGGTCTCAGTCCCAGTGTGATCCTAATCTCAGTCCCGGTCTGGTCCTGGTCTCGATCCCGGTCTCAGTCTTGGTCCTAGTCCAGGTCTTAGTCCTGGTCTGGTCCTAGTCTGGTCCTGGTCTCGGTCCTGGTCCTGGTCCCGGTCCCTGTCTCAGTCACGGTCTGGTCACGGTCTCAGTCCTGGTCTGGTCACGGTCTCAGTCCTGGTCTGATCACGGTCTGGTCACTGTCTCAGTCCTGGTCCTGGTCAAGGTCTCAGTCCTGTTCTGGTCCTGGTCTTGGTCTGGTCCCGGACCTGGTTCAGTCCAGTATCCCAGTTTAAGTCACTGAAACGGGAAACAGCCGTTATCCATTTTTTCCATTCTTCATTTAAACACAAAATCGAAAACTGAAAAAAACAAATCATTATCCGTTTTTTCATTTTTGTTTTGGAGACAAATAATGAAGAAAATTGTTGTTTTTTTTGTTGTCTTATTTTTGGTTTTATATTGAAAAATTAATGAACAAATGATACACGGATTCTACAACTAATTTAAAATCCTATAAAAGTCCTATATTATGCAAAGTTGACTCTTGTGACCTTTAAGTAATGTTATAATGTTGTTACCTCATCAAAAACAGACCTGGAGTTATGTTTTGTTTCATTCACATATTTGAGTAACTCTTTATTATTATTCTGTCTTCATCTCCAAAGCGCAAAACGCTCTGTTCCACTTTGTGATGCTCCTTTTGCCTTAAATTCAGTAGAGATTGGCAATTCCAGAGCTGAAATTATCCAGATTTGCAACAGAGTTTTTTGAGTTTTAGAAGAACTCAGCCTAAACGCACAGGGTTTGTGTGTTAAACGTGTGAATGAAACAAAACACAACTCCAGGAAACAACATTATAACACAGATCAGAAAACAGCGTAACATGGGAGCTATAAAATATTAAATTTTTGTAACTCCATAAATCCATTTTGCGATGCTGCTTCTACAGTTGATGCATTAAAGTTCACACCACAGTTTCCATTAGTTCCCAAGTCTTTGCCTGCACCTGCATCTCTTCACGTTGGCATGTTTTTACTCCACATTTCGATTTCTGAACAGCTCTATAATGCTGCAAAATAGTCGACAGATGTAAAGATATTTTTGCAACTTTTGTCCAGTTCTAGCATCCTGCTTCTGTATATTGTGTAACTTATCAATTTATGAGCCACTCAGAAGGTAAATGGATCTGTACACCTGTATGGAAATATAATTGTAGATAATTAAATTTTACTAAATCTGCTTTGTTTCTGTGAACTTTTCATCACGTTTTCTCAAATTGTGAGGGTCTTCACAACTTTAAAGGTCGCAAAATTGGCTTTAATTGAACTTTAATGTTGTTAACTCGTCAAAAACAGACCTGGAGTTGTGTTTTTTTCATTCACACGTTTGAGTAACTGCAAAAATATCAAACTATCGCTATATCGTATCATTTAATGTGATGATACAGTATCGATATCATGGCCTGCTGTATCGATATATCGCCAAGAGTAATTTTTTCTTATATTTTACTAAATTATTTTGTTACAGAGCTCAGTTTTGTTGCTTGTTCAGAGGAAGGAAACTTGTTTATGCGACACATTTGACATTTTCACTGTTTTGATGACTTAAAATGTTTTTATTTCATATAAACTTTGCACAAGAAGTGGTTTAACAAAGACTTTTAGTATCACATCCATGATTTAACCTTTATTTTCACTGAACCGTATCGAATCGCTTTGAAATGTATCGTATCGAATCAAAAGCTCACTGTATCGAGATGTGTATCGTATCGGTAACTTGTTAATGATACCCAGCCCTATCATGAAGTGGTAGTTTCCAAGTTAACAGCTCCTTTTAAGTTTAGTTTAAGTAGTTTGGCAATTCCAGGGCTGAAATTATCCAAATGATTCTAGTGAAGGTGTGTGGAGTTTAAAAACACAGTGGAGAGTTTCCTGTATTACCACATGACATCTTTGTTTATTTAAGGATCCTCATTATAGTCTCTTAGGGATGTAACAATAACCGAAATATCGCGATATCGTATCCAAATTCTAGATTTATTGTTAGAAATACTGTTTAATGTTTGAAGATAATTCTAAATATCTAGGATTTTTTAAAAGCAGTCTGGAATTGGAGAATGTGGATTTATGGATATGAAATTTTCCAAACAGAAGCACAGAAAATATCGTAATATGAGCCCTTTAAATCATCAAAGGTCGTAAAGTTGATGTTGTTACAGGGGATGGCCATGAGGGGGCGACAAAGAGGAAATCCTATCTAAGCTGTTTGTATAGGACGATATTCTGACCTCAAAACCAGAGGCAGAGGCAGAGGCAGATGCTGAGTAATACTTACATAATATGATATAGTGCTGTTGCCTCATGTTTATTTCTATGCAACTGTGGGTTATTTTGTTTAAGAAATTCATCCTTATACATTTAAATGAGCATAATTTATTGAGGTTTCACAAAATTAATAAGAAAATTAAACCGTGAAGAGTCAGTAAGTGTGTGTTTTCAAGTTGTCCCTTAGTTAACCTCCTTTAAAAACAAAAAAAATCACCCAAATCAATTAATAATGTTCACATATTAATGAGTTTTCTTATGATACTGAGCCAAGTTGACAGCAGTGTTTACAGGGGAACCAGGTAGAAAGTCCCCCTGAATTGTACCCTTTATGAAACAAAGTTAGTTAATCTGTATACATATATATAAAAAAAAAAAAAAAATCAAATAAAAAAAAAATGTCATTATATATATTGTCCACACGCAAGTTACAATATATCTCAACACATTTGTTCATACATACAAAAAAAAAAAAACATGCAAAAATTATGTGGTCTCAACTGTGCCGCAACTATTTCAGGATTTTATCTTACATATTTCAATAAAGCGCATAGTTAAGACCTTCCTAAAATAATGATTTTTGAACAAATTCTGTAGCTTTTGAAGATTCTTGTGTTGCACTTCTTACAAATTATGTTCATAGCAAAGCAGGTAAGGAAATAATTAATATTTCTTCCCAAATCAACATTTACAGATGCTATAGGAACAAGTGGAACAAGAAAAAATGCCTTAAAATACAATTTCATAGTAGACTTCTGCCAGCAAATGAGGATTATATTAATATTATATACTGAAAAAATGTGTGTCGCTTCAGAAAGATCGGTAAAATGACATAAACAAGACCCGACATTTAGTCTCACTACATTCACATTTCATTACCTCCGCCAAGGAGGTTATGTTTTTGCCGGCGTTTGTCTGTTTGTTGTTTGTTTGTTTGTTTGTCTGTTTGTTGGTTTGTTTGTCTTTTAGCAACATAACTCAAAAAGTTATGGACCGATTTTGATGAAATTTTCAGGATTTGTTGGAAATGTGAAAAGGAAGAACTGATTTCATTTTGGGGGTGATCCAGAAGAAATCCTGGATTCTGGATCACTTTGAAATTTTAGTTAACATTGTGGTAAATGGGGCCAAAAATTTTGTTTCTCAATATCTCGGTTAATTATTGATCAAACCCCATGAAATTTGACTCAGGGATGGACAATGGGATCCTCTTTCATATTCCAAAGGCTGATCCGGATCTGATCCAGAAGACTGATTTTATTTCAATTTATATAAAAAATGGGGGTAGTCCTTGGCGGAGGTCTGCGCTCTCTGAGTGCTTTTCTAGTTTTATTATGATATAGAAGTCCTCCAGCTCCTCGTGAAGGAAGTCTGGGAGTCCCTGCTTAGGCTGCTGCCCCCGCGACCCGGCCCCGGATAAGCGGACGAAAATGGATGGATGGATGGATAGAAGCTGATTTTCTAACACAACACATCACGGTGTAAGACACGGTCGACTAAAGACCGGTGAGAATGTTCCCCCTCTCCCGGGCACAGCAGTTACCAGTGTGACACCCAAGAGAAGGGGTGCCCGGACGGAGGAGGGGGACGTTCAAACCGAGAGAATGGGACTTTTAAGCCAGGGGGATGTTCGAGCCGGTATTCATTTACAGGGTTTGGTTCTTCTGTCACTCTGACCCAAACCTAAGGCCAGATCTTAAGAGGCCCCATTACAATGTCCACTCACTGTTAGACTAAACATTTATTGTATATCCCTAAGCTAAAAAAATACAATCCTCGTAAAAATATAATTAATTTTTGTTGTTTTAATGATTGATTTTAGAATTATTGAATTACTGCCTGTGTTTGAACTCTGTACAACAGTGTTTCCCATACTTTTTTTCTGGTGATGCATATTTTAAAAATCACAAACCTTCGTGACCCAAATCAATAAACATAAAGTTAAATAATAAATAAAGTTTGATTTTACCATTATTAAACATTAATGAAGATATTTTATTGCTGACTGAGTGATTGTGTCTCTCTGAACAATTAGTATGACTCAATGAAAAACAGTAATTGAAGGATCCATAAGTCGCCTATTTGGACATTAAATGTGGCCTGTTTATTTTTCTTTTCAACATATAATTGAACCAGCAATATTGGAACAAAATTGTCACTCGCTCTCTCATGTGTCAGAACTGTATATTGCAGACCGACATGCAGATCATGACAAGGCGACCCAAAAAAAAAAATCTCTTCTACAAGAAAAAAATCTCTCTACAAGACAGAATGAAGGGACCACAAACAACTTTAATTTGGTGCATACTATATGCATATTTGTTGTCATGTTCAGTTTCAGAGACAGGAATGAAAAAAGTTTGACAATATCATGACCAGTTTCTCAAAAGCTCTATATTACACACAAAGACAACTCCAGGTATGTTTTTGATGAGGAAACATGATAACAGAGATCAGAAAACAGTGTTATATGGGCACTTTAAAAGCAGTTCTTTAGTAAATTTACCGACTACTTCTGCCTGTATCCATCCTCTGAGTAAATCGAGTCCTCGTGCACATTCTAGGAACTGACATTAAGGTGCTGTTGTGATCAGAGATAATCTTGTAGAGGCTGGATCAGCATTGCCAAGTATTATACAGACATATTAGACTGAGGAGAAGTGCTCATCAGTATTACACCTGTCCACTTATCCACTCTCCCATTTACACCTGACACGGTTCAATATCCGGGATTTCGCTGTTATCAGTCGTCTGTCTGGTATTTAGAGCTGATAACGGGCAGGGCCAAAGGCTATACGCAAATCCAGTCGTAAAAGGAGATGTTTTATTTCAGATAGTCCACTACAGTTCATGGTTTTCACAGGTAATGACTCAGAATTATGGTTTGGAGGCAAAGGCGGGGCAGTTACATTTACTCAGTTACATTTACTTGAGTAATTTTTTCTAGCAGAATACTTTTACACCTACTTGAGTAATATTTTATTGAAGTACAGTACAGTACTCTTATTAACACTGGTGCAACAACCACTACAAAGCATCTCTCCTGTTAAGGTTAATGTATATTATGCACTGTCCCTGTCTCAATAAATTAAAATTAAAATTAAAAAGTAATAAAAAAAAATATATATATATAATATATATAATATATATATATAATATATATATATATATATATATATATAAAATATAAAATTAAATTAAATATAAAAAATATATAAAAAATATATAAAATAAAATAAAACAAAATAAAATAAAATAAAGCTATCTGAGTAAAAGTTTTAGTTACTTTTCCCACCGTGAGGAAGTCTACAAATGACAAAAGCTACAAAACGAAATTATTTGAACAACTTCTTCGGATAATTTATTTTAATTTTTTTCAAATTCCCTTGTCTATCCTTGGAAAATACCTTTTTTTGTGCATTATTTAATGCTTTGTCCTTCAAATTACATTAACTTCAAATAATAAATCAGCTCTTTCTTCGTGACAGTTACTCTTTAATTTACTCATACTTCAGTAATGCTATGGTCTACTACCTTGTACTTCTACTTAAATAATATTATTTTGAAGTAACATTACTCTTACTTGAGCACATTTTTGGCTTCTCTACCTACCTTTGTTTGTACGCTTAATATTATGCTATTTTCTTATCTATTTCCTCATCACGAACAGACCTGGACTGGTGTTTTGTTTCATTCACACATGTTTAACACACAAACCTTGCATATTTGTTTATCATTATTAGTATTATTATTTTGAGCTTTGGACAGACTAATAAAAAAGTGTAAATGAAACAAAACACAAGTCCAGGTCTGTTTTTGATGAGGTAACAACTATAGGGTGTAACAGTAACCAAAATATCGTGATCGTATCGTCAAAGTTCTCACAATAATATCGTGGTCCATCACAATATATCGAATTACAAGTCTCTTTGCTTAAATTAAGAGTTATGGTGCAGCAAAAAAAAAAAAAAAGACAGAGAGAACTACATAGACCATGATCCTTTGCTCCATTTCAGCGCAAACTACATGAAGAAATAGCAGTTTTAAGCGCTTTTAAGTCTTAAGTCTTGTCTTGTCAAGGTATTTTACGAGGAAAAAGTAGCATATTAACAGTTTTTTTTAGCCTCCACAAAATATCGCAATAAATATTGTACCGAGAGATTTGGATATTGTTACATCCCTAATCGTGAGCCTCTCCGTCATATCGTGAGCTTTCCCACAATATCGCAATAAATATCGTATCATGAGGTTCATACCGTGACGATATCGTATCGTGAGACTTGGATATCGTTACACCCCTTGTAACAACATTATAACCTGACTTAAAGCTCACGAAGAGTCATTTTTGTGTAATATAAAACCTTTAAATCAGCATTAAATCAACATAAACTAAAAAAAGATAAGCCTATTTGTGTATTTGCGTGTTATTTTGTCATTTTGCTGTGGTCTCTAACCTGTCTGGGACGTGTTTGTAGGACAGTCTGGCCCCGCCCTGTCCTCTTCGTCGCATCCTGCTCCATCTCTCCTCATCCTCCCCCGCCTGCCCGCCCTTCTTCCCCGGCTGCGTGCTGCTTTCCTCCGCGGGTCCTCCCTTCTGCTTCCCCCGCCGCCGCTGCTGCTGCTGCAAGAGGCCGGTTCTTGAAGAAATCTACTTTATTTTCTTCGTCTTAGTGAACTCGGACATCAGCGGGACTTTGCCAAAACATGCCTCTTTGGTTGTCCTAACTTCAGCCGTGCAGCCCGCGCCGCCGACCCCCATCAGGTCCACTCCTCCTCGGTGAAACTGAAGACGCACCTGCACAAACTCGCCCCATATGACCGTCACAAAGGTACGACCACTCACACGTGTCTTTTGCTTCTTTCTTAACCGTATTTTTTATTGTTGACGCGATGTTCAGACGGGTTTGAGGCGTTTTTCCCCCGCTGCATCGTTAGTGGTGGGTGTTGCGTTTAGCGGCGTGGGTTGGAACATGTGGCCGCCCTTGTGCGCACGGCGGCCGGGGACAGGGCACGATGGCACCGCTCTCTGGTCCGGTCCGGTTCAACTTTTCTTTCAGCTTGAGTTGGAGCATCTTTGCAACAAGTGTGTGGAAGAGTGTAAAAAAGTGTTAAAGACTTAAAGATATTACGCAATTTTCTGATCTACTGCGTGTTATTATGTTGTTTCTTCATCACAAACATACGTAAAGTTGAGTTTTGTTTCATTCACACATTTTTATCGCACAAATCCTGCATATTTAGGTGGAGTCCTTCCCTCAAACACTCTGTTCCACTTTGTGATGTCATGTGTAATACAGGAAGTGCTCCACTGTGTTTTTAAACTCCATACGAGAAAACGTGGTGACGTCACGTCCGGGGCGGCAGCCATTTTGGTAGGCAAAAAGCATCAGTGTCAACAGTACAACATAAACATTGTCAACACTTAGTGTACAACATCAACAATCGTCATACAACAGTACAACTGTACAACATCAACATTGTCAAGTTATCGCCGTACAGCATCAACAATCGTCGTACAACAACAAATACGTTCAACATCAAGCAAATTTATCGGTCATACAAGTCAACAACGTCAACAAATACGTACAACGTCAACAATCGTCATACAAGTACAACGTACAACAACGTACAACGTCAACAATCGTACAACGTCAACAATCGTCATACAAGAGTACAACGTCAACAATCGTCATACAAGAGTACAACGTCAACAATCGTCATACAAGAGTACAACGTCAAACATCGTCAAAAGTTATTGGCAAGTTTTAACTTTTCATAATAACGTTTTTGATCCTCAACATTCAGTGACTTGGAGAAAGATGATGAAGTCAAGTCAGAACAATTAAATGCAAAACCTTCTTCAAAATACAATGAGTTATCTCATGACAGACATACGCAACGCAAATGTCAACACAAACGAGCGGCCCCACTGACTTTTTGCCTAAAAGCCACTGCGCACGTGCAGAAAAGCCAGATGTAAACAAAAAACGTTTTCTTGTATATATCTCCACTTGAATCATTTGGATAATTTCATGCCTGGAATTGTCAATCTCTACTGAAAAAAAAGTAAAAGGTAGCTTAAAAACTATCGCTTCATGACATCACAAGGTGGAAAAGAGCATTTTGAGCTTTGGAAATGTAGAATTATGTCCACCTTGTGATGTCATGCAGTGGTAGTTTTCAAGTTAACATTTACACTTTTACCTTTAGTTGAGTACAGATTGGCAACTCCAGGACTGAAATCATCTGAAAAATCCAAGTGAAGGTGTATGGATTTTAAAAACACAGTGGAACAGAGTGTTTTCAGCTTTAGCCTAAATACGCAGGATTTGTGTGTTAAACTTGTGTGAATGAAACAAAACACAACTCCAGGTCTGTTTGTGATGAGGAAACAACATTATAACATACTGTAGATCAGAAAATATCGTAATCCGGGCCTTTTTAAAATAGGCTTTTTTCCGCTTTTGAGACTGCCCCCCTCCACATTATGGTAATCTTTAGTATCTCTTTACTGCCCCGGGCCTGACATGACATAAGTTAAAATCAGGTCAGTGCACTTCCCCTTCTCTGGCTTCAGACCAGCACAATATTAAAACTATAACAACCTGATTTCTGTTTTACTGTTGTCACGATACTAAAATTTCAAACTCGATGCTCAACACAGATTCTGGTGCTCATTCTTTAGACGTAGAGAGTGTAATTTTCAACGTTAAATCGTAGTACTTTCTTCTCTATTCCCATGTGGTCTTATATCTGTGTCCATGGACCTAGACTAGTCTCTGTGCTCTTATACTTTTTCTGATAAAGCTGAAGATTATTCTAAAACTATTGAGGAAAGGTTCATTTCTGTCTTGTGAATGTGACTTTTTCAGTATCGATACCTGCTCAAATGAGTATCTAGGTACTGTAGATTCGATAATAGTTTAAGCATTGATTAGAAGAGCTGGGTGTCATTAAGAAGGTTGCGGATACGATACATACCTCGATACAGTGCACTTTCAATTAGGGGTGTAACGATATTCGAGTCTCACGATACGATATTGTCACGGTATGAACCTCACGGTACGATATTTATTGCAATATCGTAGGAAAGCTCACGATATAAGTGGAGGCTCACGATAAGAGATGTAACAATATCCAAATCTCTCTGTACGATATTTTCATGATGTACATCTCACGGTACGATATTTATTGCGATATTTTGTGGAGGATAATATGCTACATTTTCCTCTTAAAATCCCTTGACAAAACTTAATCCAAAGCTAAAACTTAAAAGTGCTTAGAACTGTTATTTTTTCTTGTAGTCTGCACTGAAATGGAGCAAAGGATCATGGTCTATGTAGTTCCCTCTGTCTTTTTTTAGCTACTGCTGCTTTATAACTCTTAATTTAAGCAAAGAGACTTGCAATTCGATACATTGTGATGGTCCATGATATTATTGTGAGAACTTTGACGATACGATATCATGGTATTATCGGTTATTGTTACATCCCTAGTTACGATATATATCAAATCAATTCTATACAGTTCAATAAAAGTAAAGGTTAAATCATGGCTGTGATGCTAAAAGTCTTTGTTAAACCACTTCTTGCGCAAAGTTCATATGAAACAGAAACATTTTCATCATCAAAACAGTGAAAATGTCAAATTTGTTGCGTAAACGAGTTTCCTTCCTCTAAATAAGCAACAAAACTGTAGCACGGTAACAAAATAATTGAGTAAAATATACAAAAAAAATACTCTTGGTGATATATTGATACAGCAGCCTCGATATTGATACTGTATCATGACATTAAACTATACGATATATCGAAAAATTTGTAAATAGTTCATATAGTTTAATTCAAGTGTCTGAAAAATGCAAAAGATGGTTCATTGTGCTAGATTATAAAGAGTGGGGGTAGGATTAAATAAGTTTTCCTCTTCCCACTCCTTTTTGGGCATTTTTTTTGTTTTTTATGGTTATTTTCATTTCTATTATGATTTTACTTAGGTTATATGTTCCATTGTATAAGAATGTAAATCTTTACTTGCCCAAAATAAGTACATGGAAAAAAAAAAAAAAAATCAATATATTTGCACAGCCCTATTGACTATTATCTGATTTTCAGTACTTTTCTGTTATAAAAGTTCATTGTGTAACTTTTTGGTTGGGAGTCCATCAACTTCTTGTTTCTGTGGATGTGTCGTTGCTCTGCCTGGAATGTTCCACAGTAAAATTAAACAGCTCTACATTACAGTTATTCAATTACAGTTGGTTTTATAGCTCATAAATACCTAGAAAAACAGACATTCTGACTGTGAGTTGAGTTTCCTCTCCACAGATCTGACCTGTAACCAATGTTGGGAAGGTTAATTTTAAAATGTATTCCCCTACAGATTACAGATTACATATCCCAAAATGTAGTTTGTAACGGAATCCATTAAATTACTTAAAATGAGTAATGTAATCTGAATACTTTGGATTACTTGATTTGCTGTAGAGAAGCAAAGACCAGGATATTGTAACATAAGATGTTTTGTCTGATAAAAGACAATAAAAAAAACCAGACTTTACTGAACCAAATTAAAAGTATTATTGATAGAAGAAGAGACACAGTCCACATGGCATGGTTTCGTCCTGTTAAATCCTGTTTTAGACCTGGTTTAGTCCTGGTTTAGATCTAGTTTAGACCTGGTTTTATACCTGGTTTAGATCTAGTTTAGACCTGGTTTTAGACCTGGTTAAGTCCTGGTTTAGACTTGGTTTTAGTCCTGGTTTAGACCTGGTTTTAGAACTGGTTTAGATCTAGTTTAGAGCTGGTTTAGATCTAGTTTAGACCTGGTTTTAGACCTAGTTTAGACCTGGTTTAGATCTAGTTTAGACCTGGTTTAGATCTAGTTTAGACCTGGTTTTAGACCTGGTTTAGATCTAGTTTAGACCTGGTTTAGTCCTGGTTTAGACCTGGTTTTAGACCTGGTTTAGATCTAGTTTAGACCTGGTTTTAGTCCTGGTTTAGACTTGGTTTTAGTCCTGGTTTAGATCTAGTTTAGACCTGGTTTAGATCTAGTTTAGACCTGGTTTAGATCTAGTTTAGACCTGGTTTAGTCCTGGTTTTAGACCTGGTTTTAGACCTGGTTTAGATCTAGTTTAGACCTGGTTTTAGTCCTGGTTTCATCCTGGTTTAGACTTGGTTTTAGTCCTTGTTTAGTCCTGGTTTAGACCTGGTTTAGATCTAGTTTAGACCTGGTTTTAGTCCTGGTTTAGATCTAGTTTAGACCTGGTTTAGATCTAGTTTAGACCTGGTTTTAGACCTGGTTTAGATCTAGTTTAGACCTGGTTTAGTCCTGGTTTTAGTCCTGGTTTAGTCCTGGTTTAAGATTTAGTGTGATTTAGTGTCCGGCAATGAGTGGAATTGCAAAGAAAAAAAAAGGGATATAGTCCAAAATACCACAGTGTAATCCATTTATTTCAACAAAGTAACTGTAATCTAATTACCACTCACTGAAACAGTAACTGTAACTGAATACAGTTACTCATAATTTGTACTCTGATTACGTAACTCTGGTACATGTAATCTGTTACTCCCCAACACTGCCTGTAACTCAGCTTGGTTTAGTCTCGATGAAGATAGAATTTGTCTGTGAAACATTCCAGGCAAAGCAATAACATCTCAGTGGGGAAAAGTATTTAACAGACCCTCCAAAAGAAAAGTTACACAATACACCTTTTTAAATTTGAACCATCTGTGTCGTGGAGCTGTCCAGCCTCTCAGTACCTGCCCTGTTTTTTTTTTTTTTAATTCAGTACTGAGTGTTTGCTTTGTGCGTTACCACCAGCTCCAGATGG